TTTCTTCTTCACCGGGGGTGGTGGACTTGTCGATTCTGCAGGACTTGGTGGGAGTGGGACATCCTTTGGTAGACGGGGAACGAAAGGAGTGTGATTTATGACCTTGACCGCGGCCATGAGCGTTCTGAGATTTCGAGCGATCGCGAAGCATTCGCAGGACTTTTGCAAAAAATGTCACCGCCACTTCGGCGGCGTTTGCCGGTGTATGTCCCAGAAAGGAAATCGATCGGAATTTCACTCTATGCAAAACCACTGTCATTATAGCAGAACACGATGCCGCTACAAACCTCTTGTACATATTGCTACAAGGTCAACTTTTTTTAATATATACAGCGCATCAGCCTCGAAAGAGAGTCTCGACCTCCAAGAGGAATATACATAAACACCAAAGCAAATAACACGAATAAGAATGGAAACATCAGAAAGCAGTGAAATCACTGTATATCCTTGTAGCCCACGAATATCCGCACAGACCGGCAGGGTGTGTACAGGTCTTCCTCAGAGGCAAACCGTCGCGCTTTAAGCATAGCCTGATAGAGTCTCTCCTCTTCCACAAGTTCTGCCTTCGACATTGCCTCCCGCGGAGGAACAGACCACCCCAGTTCAGCAAGTGAACACCACAAGGATATTCGCGCCTGCATATCGCTACGAAACTGGTTCAGAAATTATGAGCATGCATCAGAGAAAGTGTTACTCACCGCTTATAGCGGTCTACCAATATCTCGAACTTCGTCCGACTCTCAAGTTCGGATAGCTCCAGATCGGTATCCCACCCACACTCAGTTAATTGCCCTGTACGATTCCTCGTGCGATCCAAGAGCTCCTCGTACATAGCCTCTTGGCACCCCAGTACACTTTGATACGACAAGTATAGTTGCATAGCGAGTGAACGTTCGCTAAGCTTGTCGATCTCATCGAGAGGAATCAGGGACTGTGAAGCAGCAACGCCCATAGATGTACTCTCAGCCGCCGAACTATCAACGATATAGAGCGGTTTTTTCACGACATGAGCTGTTTCTGTTTCAGAGCTCAAGGTGTTGGTTGTATCGCACGAGAGTGCTGGTAAATGCGGCGAGCAATCTGCGGGACTCGTTGTTGGGCATGAAAGCGTAGAACTCTCCAGATTGCTGAATAACGACGATTCCCCCGATGACGCTGATTTACTTGTAGCAGAGGAATGAGTAGACGAGAATGAGACGGCGAAGGGACGAGGTGTGGCAGGTGTGAGAGGCGCGTGAGGTTGTGAGGTGGTTTCAGATCTGTCCGAGGATAAGGAAGCTTCCATGAGAAGCGCATTTGGTGGTAACGGTTGTGGTAATGCTTGTAAAGGGGGTAATGCAGGCATGCGGAAATGGACAATAGGTGCAGATATTACGCGACGGAAATTCGAGGTGAAATATATTGGGAGAATAGCTGATGCACGTCAGATGCAATTGAGATCACACACATACAGTAAAACATACCTGTTGGACGTAAGTTGATAAATCGGTTCTCAAATACAGCATAATACAAGCTTTCGAGTAGTGCATGGTCATGAGGTAGGGGAGGGATGTCTGGTTGTGACGAAGGTAGTTTGTCAATGCGATTATGCGAGCCGTTGGGATAGTGAACAGAATCTGAACGCTTATTGCGTGCTCGCAAAGGCGCCGTGAACCAGGTAGGCAGTGTAGGGAATAGGATATCTGGGATTAGTCAATAGGGAGATGTGAAAGCAATATAATGATGTACCATGTTCGAGGACTTCAACAACCCCACCCGGTCGTAAGACACGGTTCACTTCCTTGGGAGACAATCAAGATATAGCTGCAAAGGAGGAGAACAATCTCACCTCAAAGAGAACACCCCACTGGAGCCAGCATGTTCAGAATGTGTCCATTAATACAGTATGAGTATATGTCAACATACCTTATTCTCAGGGATACCCTGGCCTAAGCCGTGCATGTGAACATGGTCGAATTCGTCATCGTCGAACGGGAGTTTCGTCGTCAAACTCATCAGGGGATTCCTTAGACCGGTCTACACGTTGGTTCAAATGTATTACTCACAAATTACCGTGGACCCACGAGATGCGATTCGCAACATCTGGTTCGAGTAATGATGTCGGGACTTGTACATCCACGAGGTCAAACCCGACCTTTGTGACGTCTGTAAACTCCATTTTGATATCAAGAATAGAAGTACTCACGAATTCGCAATCTGGCCATTCCTTCGCAGCATCAAGTATCCACGTCCCCCCCTATGAAACACACAAGTATTGTCACGTAACTGAAAGAAGATGTGATGTAAGACATAACTTACCCCACAGCCAAGATCGAGAGAGCGTTTTGGAGAGTCGTGATGTGGAAATTGGACGACCGAAACTGATTTCTTGACGTGCATGACGAAGCTGTGATCCATGTTCTCCCTATAACGGGCTTAGCCGCCGGTCAGGCACACAGTAACGGACAAACTCACAGCTCTAGGACTTGTCTATCGTAACTTAGAGGATATGGAGCTTTCTCTGGGTCATAGGAATGATGACGGTGACCATGTTTATTGAGAAAGTCCCTGTTTCGAGGAACACGCCTGCCGCTGGTAGAATCAAGTGCCATTGTTGTGGCTGTGCTTGGACGTGGTGGGGGCATAATGGAAGGAGCAACAAAGAGAGTTGTACTTGTACTCCTGAAATAAGTCCTAGTCCTCAGGCTGGCGTGAATCGTGTAACGAAAAACGGAACGTGTGTTTTGAGAAGGGCTATGATATTATTGCGAGGGAGTCGGCGTGGGACAGGCTATCATTAAATCTAACGTTAGTAGGCAGAGAACAACAGACTGGCACTGACCTTCCTCTTTATGGTCATCAAAGCTGCTCTCAAGCAGTGTTCGAGCTGGCAAATCATCTGATACACAACTCGTTACAAAATACCTGGACAACTTGATCGGCTATCGAGCCTTCGACGCCGAATTACATCCGCGAACCCTCACACACCTACTTAACAGGCCGTTTTGATATCAACGTTGATGACGGTCCATCATCGTGGGTTCATTAGATCACCCTGCATTTTTTCACAGATGGCCTGGACTCGTAATGACTAGAATGCAATTATAGAAATCATAAGAGGTACGATACACCCGTAAAAGCTAGGTAGAAGGTATACAGCTATCCGAGGTCCAACGAATACTTCCTAACACAATCAGTAACCGAGATCCTTCCTGAAGTGTGGGACCATAAAATGTCTCGACTTGACCAGCCAAGCAAACCAATCACCCAAGGTAAACCCTCCCAAGAACCCGAAGTAGCCCATGCCGCCTTTCTATAACGAATCATGTCAGGGTCAAGCCACAATAACTCCCCTGGCTTCTGACTCACCTTTCCATTCGTGATCACAATAATCTCAGGTGCACCCGCGTATTTCTTTGTCGGCGCGACTCCGTTCAAGAAGCTCACTACGTTCGCCACGATAACAGGAACATGCCACATGAGCTTGGCTATCTGCTTCTGCTCATTCCAGTCGATGATATCCCCCACAGCAAAGATGGACGGGTGATTGAGCAGTTGCATGGTTGGCTTGATCTTAACGAAGCCATGGCCGTTCACAGTGTCTTCACCAAGGGAAGTCACGTACTCAGTGTTGGGGTGGCCCCCACGAGCAGATACCTGTATGTGCTGGTGAGCTGGTTAGATGTGCACATACAACAGTGCACGTACCACTAAGTCGGCGTCCGAAATTTGCTTTCCACTGCGAGTGGTGACACCAACAACACCCGGCTCTGGAATGTCATCGATGTATTCATTGAACATGAATTCAACACCGCGAGCATGAAGGCGTTTCTCAAGTCCCTTTCGGAGGGAGTTGCCATAGGTAGCATTGATAAGTTGATTACCACCGTGGACAATGGTAACTTTCTTTGTCTGTATTGCGTAATTCGTCAGAACTGCCGTGGCCTGACTAAATTTGAAAAAAATATTCACCGGGTAAAGATCCTTGACTTCACCAGCCAACTCTGAGAAGTATTACATTAGTAACGACACGATGATACCTTACGCATACTCACCGATACCAACGGCACCCCCGCCAATGATCACAACGTGGTTTGCTTTGGCGAACTTTTGGCGCCATGCGTTAACAAATGGCAGGACATCATCCTCGTTTTCTGGGATAGCACAGGGACCACTGGATGTCGAGCCAGTGGCCAAAATAAGCACTGCATATGAAATGCGCTCCCCGTTGGCAAGGACAACGGCACCTCCCGGGACGCCAGGCTGTGCCTCAATGCTGGTCACAACACCGACTTTTGTCTCGCCATTGCCATTCGCGTAGATCCTGTCAAGCTTGACGAATGCTGTTTCTTCCAACTTAGACTCTGCGTCGACGACAAAACGGACGGCTGCAGGAAGGGCAACAGCGTAAGAGCGGGAGTTAATAAGAATGAGGTTGTATCTTCTCGGGTCCAATTTTTTGCTGAGCTGTTTAGCAACTTGGAACCCAGCGTATCCACCGCCAACAATGACAACGTTCTGTTCTGCGTTCCCGGCCATTTTCTAATGATGAGTGGGTGGTGGTAGTAGTGAAAGAAGATTAAGGAATTGTAAAATGATGGTATGTGCGGCCGGCATGATTCAACGCGTTCTTTTATACGCCGCTTCGGTGATGTTGTTCGAGATTCAGACGTGCCCGAACCTATCGCAAGAAGCAAGTTCTGCCGAACAAGGCAGCGGGTTTGCGGCTGCGTCAGCACATATTACGCGTATGCTTACATAGCCATAATCCTACCGCGCTTATCCACGTACGTCGTTGCATTGGTGATTGTACAAGCCCGCAGTACTTGCGAGCTGCGGTGATGATAATTTGCGAGAAACTGCAAGTGCCTTGAAAATTATTAATGAGGTACTATCCAGGTACGCTGTACACGCGTGAGACTCCGAGGCCAATTTTGTAAGACAAGTTTTCGGCTTTCCCCAGAAAGCTCAAAACCACCAAGCTAACCGCAATCTGCTCTGACTCGGAACTTTGTGTCAAAATGCGCAGGTCGGGTAAGCAACGCAAGGCCGAGCTGCAGCTGAAGCGTGCCGTCAAACGTGGTGACGTAGCCCCACCTGAAGCACAACCGCGCAGGAAGAATTTCAGGAGACCTCCGAAACTCGGCCATTCACTTGACGCAAGGCTTTTAGCAGATGACGCATCTAGGGCTGCAAGGAAGCTTCAATCACAATTCATCAAGATTGATCCCGCCTTCCTGGAGTCCACGAAGCACTTGGCTGCTACCTTGCCCTTGACGAGGCCTATATCTGCTGATGTATGCCTCCTCGGTGTTAATCATGCACAGTTTGGCACCGATCTCGTAAACGATCAGCTTAATGTCCCGAGGAGACCGAAGTGGAAGTACACCATGTCAAAAGATGACGTAGATGTCAATGAGCAAGGCTGTTTTCGCAGATGGATGACTCAAACCGACGCCATGGTAGAACGTTGGCATAATCAAAACAATCAGCCAGATGCATCGACTGATCTAGCGTCGGCTGACCCAAGTATCCCTGATACTACTGTTCAAGAAAGAATGCCTTGTCCTCCCACCCATTTCGAGCGCAATCTCGAAGTTTGGAGACAACTGTAAATACTAAATTTATCTGCATCTGATTTCTGGTCTCACAAGTTAGTGTGCAGCTGGCGAGTAACAGAAATATCTCAAATCCTTCTTTGTCTTTTGGACTCTAGATGTCCACCGCTCCACTTCCCGCCTTCGCTCGAGTCCTATTTAGCCTCTCGAAAAGCGAAAGTCATTCTCGTTCTCACAAAAGTCGATATCGCAGGTCCAGAAAGAGCTGAGGCATGGACTGCATATCTTCGGAAGCGGCACCCAGGGCTACCCATCGTCCAAGTTGAGGCGTATCAGCAAAAAGTTGGCGAGCAAGGACGTCCAGTCTATGAATCGCACCTCCCCCTTCCCTTCAGAGAACGTTTGGTTAGCGCCATGCGTCAAGTGCACGAAGAAATGTTAATCCCCCCTGAACGGGTGCGCTCGGATGAGGCCAAGCTTAAGCGCTGGAATCCACCAGTCAAGCGCGAGATTGATTGGAATGGCTTGCTGCATGCCCATGGCAAGAAAGTAGGAAGTGTCGTCGGGGGCGCAGCTATGCCAAAGGGAAAGGGCAAAGAGGATACCGCAGATGATGCCCAAGAACTAGAACAGGAAGCTAGTGATAGTGAAGGACAATTAGAATGGCAAGAGCCAGAATTTCTGACTGTCGGTTTGATCGGTACATTTTTCTTGTGCTTTCTCATATTTGAAAATTGACAGCTCATCCCAGGTCAACCGAACGTTGGCAAGTCATCCCTTCTCAATGCACTGTTCGGAATACACAAAGTTCGAGCATCACGGACCCCCGGAAAGGTAAACCAACAGTCTTAATCCATAAGATACAGCGCCTCGTCTTACATACTCGACCAGACAAAGCATTTTCAAACTCTTTTTTGGAGCCCTGATGTCCGTCTCGTTGATTGTCCAGGGCTTGTAATGCCCGCCTTCACACCAATGGACACTCAAGTTCTCTGCGGAATATTACCCATATCCCGTGTCTCCGCCATCCCATTTTGCATCCACCAAATTGGGCAACTTCTCCCGCTCGAGACTATCCTGGGTCTCACACACCCTTCAACGAACAGCGCGCCCGTTGAGGACAAGCGCACCTGGCGCGATGGTAAGCAACCTTCAGCGAAGGACAACAAGATGCACTGGACAGCGACGGAGATCATGACTGAATATGCGAACAAAAAAGGCTGGGTTACCGCAAAGGCAGGCAGGCCAGATATCCACCGTGCAGGCAACGCCAGTGAGTATCTTTTATTTATTTTGGATCTTCGATAATAATCATTAATAGTACTGAGACTCGTCGCGGAGGGCAGGATAGCATGGGCTTTCTGGCCTCCGGGAACCGACTTAGCGACTGTTAGATCCAGTGGGGGCAACGGAATCTGGCTCATTCGCAATGCAGACCAGCACGCCCAAGAATTAGATGAAGATGATGAGGGAGGATCAGGCTATGAAACTGACGAGGTCGAAAGTCCTGATGAAAGCAGTGAAGATAGCGATGAAGATAAACATGCGACCGACGAAGAAGAACACCAGGATGCGGACATCAAGTCTGTTACTGTTGGTCGCTTTGGTGTGCTAGCGATAGATGATTGATTGAAGGTTGGTCATCACACTGCAATCAACTATCCTGCCAGCGCTGCAACAACGTTGCAATTGATGATCAATAGTGGCACCATCACCCTTCAAACTATCAGTGAGGTGATTTGGCTAAATTTAACGACCGGAATCCGATGTGCCATCACAGCGAGCATATGGAGTTCTCGTATCATACTGATATTAGACACCAACACGTTGCAGCACATCAGGCTATGTCAAGCTTCTAGTCTTAGATCAAACAGAACAGCCTCTGACTTCGATTTGAAAGTCCGTAACTTAGTGCATATTCGCACTGGGTCTGTTCTTGGTGTTCGAATATGGTAGCAGTGTTGCACAAGCGTGGATTGAACTCAGGTGTACCCATGTTTTCGCTACTATAATGCAAAGGCCCACTGCATTGGAACTGCGGTACTGCCATACTATATAGAGTTCGACCTTATATATCCGGATCTGGAGCATATTAGTGTTCGAAATTATATTGATCATATCTTAAGTAGTTGTTCGGGATTTTCGGATATTCAGCTTATATATCTTAGAGAGAGTTGACAGGCTATATTCATGGGATATGGGATATATATTTGACACCTGTTATCACTCGTGGTAACACATACACACTCCTGAGTTTTTGACCAGTTATGTAATAACGTGTTAACTTGCACGGAGCCCCTGAGTGCAGCACTCACTGCGGTCACCACTCGAGGCACTATTACTCTTACTAGGCGTCGTCGCCAGCGATGACATTGCTTTCGTTTGTAATTTGAAAGATGAAGGGAACGAGCGCACTTGAAACGGTATTTTGGAAGGACACTGTGAGACTGGTCACAATCGTAGCATACGAATGCGGAAAATGCCGTTGTTTGTAATTGTGGACGATTCACAGAATTAGCGGGTTGGCATATGGCCTTGCACAAGCAAGGTGATTCTCGACGTCAGATGCTACAAACTCAACTGCATTGTCTTGTGCGATGATCCTCGTCGTGTATTTGAGATCAAGATTGCACCGACAGAGAGTGTCAGCGCCCTCCAAAAGGTTATCAAGGACATGAAGAAGCCACATTTCGACCATGTTGACGCTGACGATCTGATCATTTGGAAGGTCAAGGTCAATTTGAACGACCTACACTTACTCGACGCGATCGGAAACCAAGGCGTGAAGTTGAAGCCATTAACCGAACTGTCCGAAGTGTTCACGGGTGGAGTAGAGCACGGATGTATTCATGTCGTCGTACGACATCCTGCCGTTGCACGACACATTAATCCACTTGTTACTCGACGACTCGCTTATCTCAAGAAGGGCGCAGGTACTGCGTCCCTCGAACCCAAATATCCATCTCTAGGATGTCCTTAATACCAACTCAACCGGTCACATTCAGGAATTCTCGTATGATGAGACTCCAACAATCGGGGATCGACTTATCTTCTTCGGGGAAACCGTTGGCAATGCGACTGGGAGCAAGATATGTATCAAGTTCGTCAGGCACTATTACCCTGAGGCCCACGAATTCTGTGCCAGGATGGGGCACGCTCCCAAACTTATCGCCTACAATCATTTACCCGGCGGCTGGAATATGGTGATTATGGATGCCTTTGATATTGATAATGATTGCGTCCCGTAACGGCCTGGCTCATCGACTGCTCAGTGAGATACAGTAGCTGTTTTGGACCGCCAGCCGCTGGAGGAGGTCATCACCTCTCTCATCCGGGAGTTACACGATTACAATGACGGCTACGTTCATGGCGACCTTCGGGATACCAATTTCGTTGTGGGAGACAACAAACACTTCATGTTGCTCGATTTCGACTGGGCTGGACCGATCCATAAGACCCATTATTTTATGCATGTTAATCGGAAGGATATTCGACGTCCTGATGGTGTGTCGGATGGGGAGAAGATTGTGGCCGAGCATGACTTGGATATACTGAATTATCTATTTCATCCTGAGCAAGATGGTCAGGACCGTCGGGAGCCAGCTGCAAAGCGCCGCCGTACATCTGGTGAAGGGTCACCAATGGCCATTTGAATCATTCATAATTCGTTGTATCAGCAAAAGTCCAACATAGATTAGTATCTGTTGTATTTGTAGTTAGCCAAATCGATTATTGCCGATGCGCGTGCCATCGGTGTATCTGAGATTTCCAAGTAAAATTGTACCTATGCACGACCTCTGATCTCAGCAGTCGATCCTCGTATCGCGTGTGTGCTCTTGTTACAGCTGTTTTCATATCGATAGACCAGAATTTCGAAAATTCATTCAGCCGCTTTTGTTTGTTGTTGGAGCCACACCAAACAGAGGCGCTCGCTACTAAGCTACTTTTGTCCAACTAAGTTGCTTGGGAAGTACTAGTACCGGCCATCATCATGAACGGAGACCATCGATATGTACCAGATGCTGCAAAACAGCAGTGGTTTATCATGTCCACACACCGCATGACATCAAAGGCCATAGCACAAGTGATGGGATGCAGCCATCGAACAGTCAATTGATCGCGTTCTTCGGCTCTCGCAACTCACAGGTTCTGTGGTTCGAAACCCTCTGGAAAGTGGTCGTCCTCGTCTACTTACAGCACAGGACGTTGCAGTAAGTGAAAGCACAAAGATAATGTACAATTACAGATACTACTACTTGATGATTATAATACACCACACAGGCCCCACATGTCCGAGCCGGGTTAGAGACTTACAAAAGTAGCTTAGTAGTGAGCGCCTCTGTTTGGTGTGGCTCCCACAACAAACAAAAGCGGCTGAATGAATTTTCGAAATTCTGGTCTATCGATATGAAAACAGCTGTAACTCTCCTTTTGAGTACTTTCTTCGGGTCCACCGCCGCTAGTTAATAACATGCTAATTAGCAAGCGGCTAATAAGCAAGCAGTTTTATCCCGAACCCTATATCCCTGGCCATTACACATGTTGCACTCTTCAGAGCTGAGTTTCAAGAGGCAGAGTTTGGAGAACACCGGTGCGCACTGATTAAGATTGTGCAACACCCTACAACACATAACAGCGTGTTTTTGTCAAACATACTACTTGGTGCCAGTGGCCAAGAGCATGCTCTCCTCATGGCTGAGCAAAAAGTCCAACAACACACAAGCTCTCAGCCAACCAGATCAAATATCTAAAGCCTCCCGCTCGACAGTGGAACTAACAGGACATTCATCACAATCTGCAATTCCCATCACAGACGATGATCACAACGATGTCCACGAACACATCTGGGATCCCAGCACATACTCTACCCAAACTGAACAGGACGTCCTCAGACCAAACCCATCAGCTACTAGTACATCAAGCGACGTGAAGTCGTTGGGACAATCAACCGAGCCAGTAAAGTTTCTGACACCGCATGATGACATTCTCGCCGAACTCCAGGGATACTTGCCCTCGAGCGGTCCTCAGGCTGCAGAGCGGTCATCTCTACGACCGGATGCTCCCCAAGGATCTTCCCTCAATCTTTCCTCAAGCGCTGCCGAGAACTCATTGTTCACATCCGACTCTTCGCCCAATCATGAACCAGCTAGGGAGGTCATGTATGAACCGTTCACCGGTCAGAAATTATCTGACTATGTACCAATGCCGGTGCGGTCGGGTGCTGACGATGAACTATGGTCCCATCTATCGCATATTCTGGAGCTCCAGAGCGAGATTTCAAAGATGCATGTTGATATGGAGAATGTCGGTTTGCGGACTGCGCGGGGTCATAACGTACCTGAGCGCGGTGGAAAGGCTGGCACCACCAGGAAGGAGACCGGGAAGAATAGGAGAAGTGATACACTCGGAGAAGAGGAAGATGACAATGAGAGTGATGAAGCGACCGAAGGAGAAGATTCGGATGACAACGACGAGGTGTTTGGGAAGAGAAAACGGGATGAAGAATTCACAGGACTGGCGGAGCGGTTTGCGGAGAGAAAGGTTTCCATCGACGCTGTCATGAATAAGGTATATGCGTCTTGCAGTTCACCGTCCATGTGTGATCTTACTACTTCCAGTTGGGCGACCTTTCGAGCACGCTCAAGGCCTTTCATGCGTTACCCATTCCAGTACTCGATATTGCATCCACTCGTACCAACACCATGTCTTCCGATGCTTCACTAAGCACCGATCGCGGTACTGGTGTGACCTCTGCGGTTACCTCGACGACATCAGCTCCCCCTCGCATGTCAGTACAAGTAACGACGATCATAGATGACTCGCAACACGTGGATAGCCCAGTGGACGTACATTTCGCACAATCCATTCTCGATCGCAATGTCGGGAAGAAGTAAGCTTTCTGGATGTATCATATAGTTCGGGAACAAGTTTTACGATACAAATAAAGTTGAGATAGTTGATACTGGCTATAGCTAGCTCATTACATTAAAACACAGGTAGATGAAGAAAAAAACATGAGCCTTCCAGGCAGAAAGCCTGCTTCCTCAGGAAAGAGACCAGCTCCCACACTGGATAGCATGACCAATCGACACTAATGCATCATTTCAACCTCCGAGGAGAGCCAGCGCAGCCCTGAGTTCCTTTCTCGCTTGTTCAGCATCCTCGTAATCAAGCGAGGAAATAGCAAAACGACAGTGCTTCTGTGCTTTTGCAATGATAGTAGGCGTAAGTTGAGAATTATTCATCGGTAAAGGGGCAGGAACTGGAGCGGGAGGCGGAGGCACCATGCGAGGAGGTGAAGAAGGTGCAAATATTGTGGGCATTGGTGGAGGAGGAATCATGGGCGGAGGTACTGGACTTGAGGGCACAAATCCAAGCGGAAGTTCTTGAGACGATATTGAAGGACCGCGAACACGCGTTCGCGGTGGCGAGCCTCTCGGTGGAGACATTGAGGGAAGGAAGGTAGGATGCGGAGGAGTGGGGGGAACATGATCTCTGATTGTCGGTGCATATATGACAGGCCGCTCTTTGGGTGGAGATGAGGACTCGAATACGGACGGCCGAGACTCGCTAGCAAATGGTAAGAACGGAACCTGACTAGGCGATGATCCGTTAAGCAACGGATCTCGGACTAGCTCTTCATCGCTAGTCGTGCCCTCCACGTCGGTGCTAATCCAGGCTTTACGAAGTTGACTCCCTCTGCCATTGAGAGGGGGTTCGTGCCAGTTGTTTGCCTGGTCCAAACTGACGCTGCTGTTATCCTGAGCAAGATCGAATCCGGGAGTCGCCGTCGTACTCCAACACCCGGGGCTCAGCGATTCATCATCATGGCGAGGGGAATGCAAGCGATTGGCACGAGTGATATCATCTGGACTCATCTTTGGAGATGGTGTCTGTCGATAATGCGACGTTTGAGGCAACGTGGGGGATTGGCTCGTTGCTGAAGGGGAGGTCTGGGGATCTTCAACTCGTGAAGGTAGCTCCGAAGCTCCAGAAGTAGCAGGGAGGGGTTCTAGGTCAAACTGAGACCCAGCAGGACCTGGTGTGGGCTTCCTACCCTCCCGATATGCCTTTGCAATATCAGCTGCCTTCCATTTAGCATATTTGATCTTGCCATCTATCTGTGAATGTACGTTAGACAAATGTTGTCCGACTGCATGATACCATGACGGCTTACTGTATCGGAGATATCCGTCGTTGGAAATACTTTCAAGACCTCGAAGAAATTTGCTGCGGCAAGAAACTTCTTCGCAGTTGATCTAATTAGGTGTGAGCCAATCTACCGGAAATTAAGACAATGATAGCTGAATACCTTGTTGCATGACCTTCACGGTCTTCATCATCGGCGATGCGGAAGATCTTTAGGGCAAAGTTCTCAACGAACGCTGCGCTAGCAGGCTCGCTATCTATAGTGTCACTGGGACCGATCTCTGTTTTCAAGCGCTCGAGTGCGTTCAGGAGATTTAGAAGCAGTGTGCGTGAAGCAGCATCCTTTGCTTTCAAATTGATACCAAGTTGTGCTGCATAGTACGCGCCTACACACTTCCGTGAGCTATGTGATGGGCTTGAATGTAAAGGTTACCCGTACACCAGTATGCCACAACTGGTTGTTGATTGACCAGTTCCTCAGCACGTTGGAGGTATGGCGCTATAGACTTGAGACCTGTCGATATCGGTGGGAGACCAAGGGACATGATGGCTACTAATCAAGGGGGAGTTTCGTGAGTAAGTACTGCGGTGGATGAATGTATACAAGGGTAAGTTAAAGTCACGAGTGCTGTGGTACCGAAGTGCGGACGATTCGAAAATTAAATTATAGCCTTAAGCCTGGGGGTTTTTATACCGATGGTGGATGGGCAAGCAAGCTGTGGATTGTGGATTTGTGAGAGGCCTCGCGCCTGCAACGAGGACAATACGCAAAGCTGAGCTGTGTACTTGGTTCAAAGTTCAATCATTAACATGTCAGGAAACCGAAGTCATCGGGACTCGGAACATCACAGCTTGACGTCAATTCGTGTCCTTGTTTGGCGGTATGGGCGTCTTTGTCTAGTTCCGACTTCGAGCGACATGTCTACAGCAAAACATGGAGCTTCCTGGCTGCCAACACGTTCCCATCAAACCAAGTACCAATTCATCGTTTACTTGTGCTAGCGTCATGCGGAAGCACGGCATCATTTTAGCCACAGCTTGGCGGAACATCAATTAACCAGAATCATACCCGGAGTAACGGCTGCATGACGTGGGGCTACTTGAAAGGTGCTAACATATTGATGATATTCCTACAAGAGGTTGGGTGCTGGATTTGCGATGGTGCGAACCTAACCTTTTTTCAAGAATCCCGTTGACAACAGAACACCGTAACTTTCAGTGGAGTACTAGTACTCTCCGCAGATAAGGGAGAAGATGTTTATTATAGACCTGAGGCACCGTAGGGACGGACTTGTCACAATGAGAACCTGCAGAGCTCCACATCATTGTGATTGACGGGTATCGGTATACCTACGTATTTCACATATTTCATCATGCGAACACTTATCTGTGAGCAGGCCAGTCACTAAGGTTTTAGATCTAGGTGGAAACTGCGCACTTCGGCGGATTTATCTTTCACCTAAAGGCCTTTTCCGGAGTAGGATACTAACCTATCCGTCTATGGTGCCTTTTTATTATAATATAGGTCTCAATGAAGGAGCTGCGCTCGACGTCAATTTCAAATCAGACTGGCGGTCAGAACTGAAGTAGTTTCAAAGCTGAGTTGTCAGCGTCGTGGTTCATATGGATTTGTGACTGTGTCTCTGCAAGGAACAATCATTCGTGAATGCCAATGACAAGCAAGCACGAACCTCAAGGCGCTGATATCGTCCTTCGGTCACAAACTTCGTCCCTCAAGCTCAAGGCAGCCACCGGTCACTCGACTTTGAAACAGAACCGCGTGCAGCCCTCCAGCGCTGATGCGGATAGCCAGATGGCCGTTCCAGCCTTGCGCTCAATGAGTGCGATGAGAGGCCTCCTCCTAGCAGAAGTCGGGGACTCGATGGTAGAGTTCGACGTGTATGGAAAGCCTGGGGAATCCGGGTACCGCGTTGGCCAACGCATATCAGCGGAGTCTCTCATGCCTCCGGGAAGCTCAAAATTTGCCCCACCACCCCGAAAGGTCCTTTCCGCCCCAGGTCCTGTGGTCGGAAGTATGGCCAGCCTGGCCACCAGCGCGACTCTTTTCGACGTCGATGTCGTCCCTGCCCAGAGCGGCGCAGAAATCAAGCCCCTTCTCGGAAACTCGAATTCCAGATTGGAGCCCGGTGCAATTGTCCACCCTCACCCGGCATTACGCAACGCAGATAGCAGCGGAGATCTCGGCACCGATTTCAAGCTCGTTGTGCGAGAAAAGGCAAGGTGGAGGTCACGTGTAGAAGTGGACATCATACTCGAGAACCACACTTGTGTGCAAGGTAGCTACCTCAAGGGGACAGTCAAGATTCACATCAAAAAAGGCTCTAAGAAGGATACACCATTGCTGCTTTCTCAGGGGAAAGTCAGGGTCGTCGGATTTGAGTGCATACCGCAGAAGGATAGCAAGTGCACATTTTATAAATACTCAGCTCTTCTATCGGAAATTGCTCCATCGTGGAAAGGTCTCTTCAAATCACCACCGGATGAGGATGGCTGGGCCGAAGCGCAAGAGGGCGTCCACGTCTTTCCGTTCGTGATGCTTCTTCCTCCAGATAGTGGCTGCGGCATGGCGAAAGGGGTGTTGAGCATAAGCTCCGGAGTGGCGATTAAATACATTGTTATGGCGTAAGTGTCGGAGCTTCTGTGTTCTATCACCCCGCATCTGCTGATAATCAATCAGAGAGATCAAAGTCAAGGACTCCGCAACATCCAAAGAATCCATCGTTCACTTCTCCCGCGACTGTGAGGTATGGCCACGTCTAGACGTTGTCTCCACGCTTGCCACAAACTCCCGCCCACTGGTCGCAGAGGTTGCCGCTAGAGTGTTCATGGGTGGCCCAGGAAAAATCAAGTTGTCGGCCCGTATCCATCGATACCACTGGGTCGCCGGCCAAAGTTGCACCATTCATTTCCGAGTGGTCAATGACTGCAAGAAATTAGTAAAAGGCGCCGCCATTGCGCTAATACGAACACTGACCGTGTTCAAGCCAAAACCGCACTTGGATGCTGGGGATGCTGATCCGGATGCTTGTCAAACCTCAACCAAGGCAAAGTGCGTGACGGAAAGCGTCCTTGAGTTGGGACAGCGTTGCTCTAAGGGACATGCGAGCGCAAAAGGGTGGTGGACAGGTGTCGCTCCTGGTCAGACGAGCGAGTTCAACCACTCTGTGATATTACCGGTAAGCCGCCACGATCTCTTTCTGGTTGCATTGTGGTAATCGAACTGTGATTATCCTTGTAGCCCGACGTTCACTCTATTGCCCGAACACGACTGCTGGAGGTTGAGTACACGCTTCGCATAAGTGTAGGAATTGGAAGATGTTCCTCGGATGTACACGTCATCTTGCCAATTCGAATCGTCAACTTTCTTTCGCTCGACCCTCCACCTACGGTGCCACTCCACACTCAAAGCAGGCAACGCCCCATGCCCGAGTTTACGAAGCGCGAATCGTGGTACCGAAAGTCGCGTGCTACAAGCAGGGATCTTGTAGAAACCGACGAGACGGTCCCTGGTATGAAATATGCCAGGGACATAACAATTGCCACAGAGCCAGATAATGTTGACGAGATGCCCGTCTTGAGTGAAGAACATCATCAAAACCCGAACACAAGTGTAGATTCGGCGTCTATTTACTCACCTTCTCAGTCTGCGGACACCATCGGACACCGTGAAAACATTCTCCACCCCGTATCCGAGGAAGATGTCGATCAAGATCCGGGGACACCCAGTGGCACTGCAAGCTTCGCCAGACATATAACAGCTTCAAGCAGTGCGGTAGAACCACATATCCTTGCGCGTCCTCGAGGACCCCGTTCGACACCAATTCAGTTCCAACCCCCCCAGACCGAAAACACGCCAAACGCGACGTTCCTTTCTCGTCGCGTTGAGGAGCGAATGCAGAGTCCAGGCGCGAGCTGGGTCATTGTCAGGCCATTTACAGACAATCGAGCAGATGCAATCAAGACGCAGAAGTCACGAATCTCGAACCTTGGGAGCTCATCGATGATCCTTCCCAGACCACCTGCGATATTAGAGGACCCTGCGATACGTCCAACGGCATCAACGTTGCTCCCAGGCACCCGACGTGTGTGATAGAAGGCGATCTGTGGGTAGTTTGGAGTTTTCGTGCGGAAGGGACATAGTGTAACAGAATTCAAACTTGACTCGTCAGATGATGATGTAACCCTCCAACAAGTGATTAATTGGCACAAAGCTGTTAATACATGATATGATTGTAGACGATAGCATCAGGAAGTCGACTCAACAAAAAATAGCCTCGTGTCTACTTCTGCATGACCATTCTCTCGTACTCTTGGGACTCCATGAATTGAACACTAATACATCTCCAAACTCATACCATCATGGATCTCATAATCTGAGAGCGTGATGTGGTCCTTGTAAATCGTATACCTGACAAGGAGAATAGTGTCATGAGTATGTGTTCAAGAAGGCAAGTCATAATTTATTGGCATCCTGTGGCAGGGGGGGGGCATCGTAGCAATCAGCGGATGCTCACCATTTCTTCAGCTGAATCTTCTTGAAGTCTGTACCAGTTTGAGCGGCAATGAGTTTCTTCAGGTCACCCACAGTGTCATCTGGGCTGCACTTGACTCGGACTAGTAGATTGCTCAAGCTAGGATTCGGATCATGGAATTGTGTGCACTCACCTTTTCGGCCCAGCCGATCATTTGCAATTACCTGCGGTTGAGTGAGTGTTTGCTATCCTCTTCTAGAACTGCAGGACAAACCTCGATCAAAGGCATGAGTAGTACTAGGATGAGGAGATGATATTCCGGCAAGCCATGATCACGTATTGAGTGACAGCCGATATTGCATCACGCGTGACCGACGCGTGACTCCGCGTAGCTCCGAACTTAAGTGTCAAAGCTCCTTCCTCCATGGCCATTCCACCTCGGACGACGACGCCTGGCGTCTACAGGCAATATGGCCAGCAGCATCCAGTGCAGCGCGTCGGACCAAATGTTACAGATGACTATGAAAGTGGGTACCTGTTTGCATGTAAATTTCATTGATTTATGTGTCTTCAGGGTGGTATACTGAGGCGACACCCAACAACCGTATGGTCTTATCGATACGTTCCGGCATAAACTCGGAGATTGCATGGGCGCTGGATAGGCTGTATCGATTATGTGCAAATGATCAATTCATCTTGAAAACCATTCCTGGTCTAACAGACGCACTGTTCGAATGGCCGGAGTGGTATGCGACAGAAGGATACCTAATGGCAGAGCAGTATCGACTATTTGCTATGCCAGATGCTGAACACAGAAAGCGACGGCATGCCCTAGAATCCATATTTATCCTCCGCAATTCGGCCACGAATGAACCCAATGCATATGAACTAGCTAATCATTCCCGAACACTCCCATTACTATTTAACGCCCTCACCAACCTCGATCCAGACACGGATATGAATGCTGAATTTGTTCTCAACGCCGTAGAACTTCTGCAGGCCATATCCCTGGGCGTTATCCTGCCAGATCCTGCTTCGAACAAGAAAGACCCCCTCCCTACTCTGCTGCAAATTGCAGGTCACTCGTCGAATCGCTCCCTTATCATCTCAGCTTTGACCCTTTTGGCACAACTTTTGTCTAACATACAAAACACTCGTCGCCTGGACTCAAACTCGCCAGCGCTGGCTGCCGCCGTACGTTACTTGCCTCTATTTGTCGATCGAGCATTGGTAGAAGCTTCATTGAATTACCTATATGCCCATCTTTCGCACCCACCAATGGTAAAGGCTTTTCTGCATCATCCTCTCATGCCAAGCACTCTTCGCGTGCTTGTTAGCTTTCTTCTATCTGAACAAGTAGAAGAGACCGTAAACCTGGATATTAGTGCAGTCTCTCGCGCCATCCCAGCAACAACGGTCGTGATCCCCGTCCATGACCTTACCAAAGAGGAGCTTGAGACCCTAGTTTCCATGCCTGAACCCCAGCGCTGTTACGAGTGGTGAGTACACGTTATGCAGGCTGTATTATGATATGATAAAGTCATTTTTGCAGGATGAAAATCATGTTCATTGCAACACCAGACGGAGAGCTCACCCAAGTCGATTTTTGGACTCTTTACAAAGATGCCTTTACACCCTTCGCGGACCGCCATCCTGTCCTGGTCGCATCAGACGTGATCAAAAATGTTAATGTCGTTTTTCCTCAGGCTCAGGCGATGGTCCTTCCTGGGCCGCCACAGCGCTTTGTCGTGCGTGGTGTGGACAGGCGTAAAAATACGGAAGCTGCTCCTCGTTTCAAGTGCTTGTGGGAGCGCTCCCAGTGTTCAGCTTCGCCATTTGAGGCCCCCGGAGAGCTGTACGACCACCTCCTTCAACATTTGGAGTCGTCCGAGAACCCCGAGCCGCCATGTCTCTGGGCCACATGTCCATTGCCATCGACATCAAAACAACGACTACGACCTCATCTCCTCACCCATCTCTCAAGTTCCCAACCACCCGCAAAACATCCTTCTCAAGATGATACAATTACTGTTACCGCCGACGGAGAATCGTATCCCTTCACAGACCCCACACAGCGACAGCCCCCTCCTCTAAGGCAAACGAACATATCCTACACCCGGCCTGTCGCTGATCCTCCTTCGGCTGCACTTACCGCGTTGCTCATCATCCGTATTCTCTTCCGCTCATCATTCGTCGCTACCTCGGAGACTGCCCCCCGTGTGGATGGCGAACACTTTGGGTTCCCTGGTGTTGTAGAAGACGACGAGGGCGACGATGTGGTAGAAGATATTGGGGGCGAGCTGGAGGGCGAACGGAGGGGTCGACGGGCATTTGTGGGCGTTAGGAGGATGATGGAGGACGTGAGGATGAAAGACGAGGCATTGATGAGTTGGATGGTTGAAATGGTTTATGCGGCGTATGATGGGCTGTTTAGGTCGTAGTGTACGGGGCGCTTACCCTGTGACTTGTTTCGATCCAAAAATAATGAACGTCCATCATTAGCTGCGCATCACCCCCACTGACACCCAGAGTACCACCACTGTATATAATCGACGCGGGAGACCACAGCTGTCTTTTTGCCATTGTACAGGTATTCATGAATGCACCGCGAAGCTCCTGGCCCATCAGCTCGAGATATGTAACTATTATCAATAAACTATTCCAGGCAAGCCTACTACTACGGTACGACCTGAAAGTCCTGACGCGACGCATAGGGTCTCAGTCCAGCACAAATCTCTCCTGGACACGATGAACAGCGCTTCTGGCAAGAGCTGCTGTCCTTGGAGCCCGACCGTACCTTTCTAACGCGTCTTCTATGTACACTTTCCAAGGACGAGTGCCTCATTTCACACAAGGTCTGTTATCCACATTGTCCAACATCCAACACTATGGTACTGACAGACAAATCCCCGCCAGTAGCTCGTGCTCCATGCCCTATTTACTGTCTGCACCGTGTTTGCAGCCGACCGCAAGGGCAAGGAGACCCGCGGCCACGCCATCGACACGCTCTCTATCATGCTGCACACTGTGCTCGCCAAGAACCTAGCAGGTTGGGAGGTGATGGAGATCTTTGCTAATAGTGTGAACGAGGCCGACAGGGTGTTCATGGTACGGTCGATGCGACACCTTCATTTCCACTATATACTCACTGTCGCGTATAGGAGTTTGTTGGGATGATTGCAGATGTACTGGGCGATAATGATGCTCCTGGTACGCTCTGAGAAGGATTGATGTGGACCTATTTGCCTGACCATGTTTTAGAGGCTCTTCGACACCAGGTTCTCCAACTAGCTGTTGTCTTCACGTGTAGCATCAGCCAGTTAAGCCCCGGCGCATACTTCCTGCGCCGAGACCTCTTTCCTTGCATAGCTAAGGTACAGATTACTGTTCCATGGTTTTGTTGTCGGTCCTGAGGGAATGACGTTGCTTGTGATAGGTCATCACATCCCCAGATACTCAACGCTTTACTTTTGAAGCGTCGCTCCTCCTCTCTATTCTGGCGAATTTTCACAAATCTGATGCAGCGAGGCTTAATCCATACCTCCAGCGCATACGTGATACGCAAGATACAGAACTCATGCGCAAGATTTGTTGGGCAGCGGGGTTTGCACTCGATGCTGCTGTCAAGTGCGCCTTTCCGGGCATTCACAGAAGATTGTCAGCTGACTTGGTGGTAGGGCATACCAAGAAATCTCGGACGATTCGATCCCCACATTTTCAAAGAGCGTCGGAGCCCTGTTCACCTCTCTCCTACCCGATCGTGCACTGGCAATGCAGCCACTCGACGTACCTCGAGACTTCCTTAAGACTCAGTACGTGAAACTATCAAGCTTTATGTTGCATTCCTCTTACTGAGAAAACAGACCAATCGAGGCGACTGTTTCACTCCTACCCGTTTTCGAGTTCCTTTTCTTCAATCCCCTTTTTGCGCAGGTGCTAGTGGATATGATACACAAGCCATCTGGTAACAAACAGAGCGCACCGGTACCACCACTAGCATATAACATCCTCTCATTGTCATCCTATGTGTTGACTCATGCCTCGTCTTCGGCGTCACCCCGCACGTTGGCTTATGCAAACCTTGCATTGAACACACTTCTTGTGATGTCTGAGAATGCAGCTATAATGTCGGTCTTTTGTAAGCCTGCCTCCTCAAAGGAGGCAATCAGGCTGTGTCGGCAGGTCATTGCTTGTACACGTCCAATTTCACAACTAATACTGAAATGAATGCAGAGACTTCCACTCCTTCCAGTGCCATCGTCTACGCGTGCACCAATCTGCGCACTCCTGGATTGTTGTGTATTATGGCTACGCCATAATCTACATAAGCGGCTCGAGGTGTACACGTTCACGTGCGTTTCTTTTATTTCCCGACCTTTACCAAGACTGATTGTTCGCGGTGAGATAGTACGTGTATCTGGACGTGCCATCGCGTCATATGGTATCTACAGAAGGAAAGAATACGATTAGGCGAGTTGATTTAACCTAATTGCTTACTCTTGGTGTCTGACGCGGCATTTTTACTCAGAATACGACTGGCTTGAATTATGGAAGGCTGTTGTTGACTTACTTGGGTTTCTTTCCGGCAAGCTAGATAGTTTGGTGACGACTGGAGGCATCGAGCGTCTAGTCCAGGAGGTATGAGAATTTCGATGTGCCTTTGAAGCGAAATTGACCGTATTTGATAGACTATCCGGTTACTTGACCTTGCTTTGCGCAAAGCAGACCTAATTTTACCCACACCCACCGCCGTTCATGAGTTCATCGTAAGTCAACTAAAAATAATTGAATATCCTAAATTCATAGGAGTCTTTCAGTATGAAGTCGTTCGCTCTTCCGCGGTGATTAGAAAGCAAACGCTGCTTTTAGAATCACTAGGACAACCCACGTCCGTAGACCGTGGGGCGTTGCTGCGTTCTGACAGCGCATCCAACACTCTGTCTCGTATTCTTTCCACAGCCGCCTACTACGAGGGAAAACTCACTTTTACTGGTACACGTAGCGCCAAGGACGCATTCCGGACTGTTTCAAAAGACATTGAGCAAAACGGCTTGCACAGTGCGCATAATGCGGACGACACAGACCCACCGTACGCCTGCCCTGCATGTTCTTTCTCAACGAATGCTGACCCTAACAAAAGGAAACATGCGGAGGATGTCGTTAGTTTTATTCGTGTTGCATGCACAGATGGCTTAGCGCTGATGTCGTGAGGAGTCTATTGGAAAATTGGCGGGACTCCGCTTCCGTTGTGACGAGAGACTCTAGACTAACTGCTACTCAGTGACACCATCGGCTATAGATAGTCTATCTGCTTTTGCTTGGCCGAGCGCTTAGATAACCATGTATAATTTGTAAAGGTTAAAAAGTTTTTTCGAGTAGCCATAAATGGGACAGAATGGTCCCCGAGCATCCTCGAAGGGATTCAAATAGAGGGCGGTGATCAATGAATAGCGCAGGTTGTTGACCGTCTACCAACACGACATTTGCCTGCTAGTAGTCAATCGATGGGATGCCTCTCACGAAAACTGCGAGCATCTCGTTTATCGGGCATTTATCAGTTTCCCAGAGGCCTATCGATAAGATTACGCTGCACCATTCAAACGCGTAATGATACTACTCGGTGAATGAAAATCTGGCTCGGTGAACAAGGTCACTGAGTGTCACCCATTCCTTTTCAATTCCGTACTCACCCGTCCACCTCTTCCTCTCATACAGCCATCATCTGGCCTATCATGGTAGCCCTGCGTATCGTGATTGCCTCATCTCGTCTCAGCAGGCAATCTGCAGCTCGTTCTATATATCACTCTCTTTCAGTTCGCGGTCTCGCCACTGCAAAGTCTCCAGCAAATCTCTTCGAGTCGCTGGACACTTTTACTGACAGGCATGTTGGACCAGACGACAATGAGACCGAGTTTATGCTCTCAAAGCTTGGCTTTGACTCCATGGAGTCCTTTCTAGCTGCGACCGTGCCGCAAAACATCCGTATTGCTAGCTCCACCGTCAGCAATGCGTCCATCCCAGCATTGAGCGAGACAGAGCTTCATGCAAATGCAAAAAGGCTAGGTCGGAAGAATGAGCAGTTCAAAAGCTTCATTGGCATGGGGTACCACAACGCCGTCGTGCCCCCTGTGATTTTACGGAATGTGTGTCACTCGCTCTTAGCTACCCCAGCATTGTGTTGATCGTGTCCATAGGTGTTCGAGAACCCTGCGTGGTATACCCCTTACACCCCGTACCAGCCCGAGATTGCCCAGGGTTCGTTGTCATTTTTTCCACTAGTTTTTCGTTTAATGGTGCCACCAGGTCGTCTCGAGTCATTGGTGAACTTCCAAACGATGATCATGTCCCTCACATCGATGCACGTCTCAAACGCATCCCTCCTCGATGAAGCAACTGCTGCCGCAGAAGCCATGGTCATGGCATACGTGCAGTCCAACCAGAAGAAGAAGACATTCTTCGTCGACAAGGCGGTCCTTCCACAGACCATCGCTGTTCTCAAGACACGTGCTAAAGGTTTTGGCATAAATCTTGTCGTCGGTGACGCGGGTGACGTGCTCAAATCCGACGCGTTACGTGCTGATCTTGCCGGTGTCCTTGTTCAATACCCTGACGTGAATGGTTTCGTCACCGACTACAGTGATTTCACGAAGCGGGTGCATGAAGCAGGCGCACTTGTCATTGTCGCGACAGACCTTCTTGCTTTGACACTTCTTCAGCCCCCGGGTGAATGGGGTGCTGATATCGTTCTTGGCAACTCTGCCCGATTTGGAGTTCCTGCCGGTTATGGAGGTCCTCATGGCGCTTTCTTTGCTGTCACAGAGAAGCTCAAGCGGAAAATGCCTGGACGTCTTATTGGTCGGAGCAAAGATACCATGGGTAACCCCGCATATAGGCTGGCATTGCAGAGTAGGTCCTCCCTGCTATCTTCTATTTCGTGTTCTCATCAATCACATGCAGCCCGGGAGCAACATATTCGCCGTGAAAAGGCCACTAGCAACATTTGCACCTCGCAAGCCCTTCTTGCCAACATGGCCGCCATGTACGCAATATACCATGGCCCCATAGGACTCGAGCGCATTGCAAAGAAAGTGCACTTCCTCACACAGACCCTCAAGCTTGCCGTCGAGCGCCTCGGATTCCGCGTGATCAATGCGTCTTCCTACTTCGACACGCTCACCATTGATGTCTCAAAGCACTGCGCAAATGCTGAAGTTATGCATGCCGCTGCTGCGTTGCAGGGCCTCAACCTCCGAAGAGTGGACAAGAATACTGTTGGTGTCACTCTCGACGAGTCAGTAGGCAAAGAGGACCTCCTGTCCCTCATACGCGCCTTCCACATCGCCGCCTCGCAACCAGCGCCCAATCTCGCTGACCTGCCCGCTCCAAAAGAACTTGCATTTCCTCATCAGCTCGTGCGCGAGTCCGAGTTCCTCTCGCACCCCGTTTTCAACAAACATCACAGCGAGACCGAGATGCTCCGGTACATATTCCACCTTGCAAGCAAGGACCTCGGTCTTGTGCATGCAATGATTCCGCTTGGCAGCTGCACGATGAAGCTTAACAGCACGAGCAGCATGATCCCACTTACATGGCCCGAGTTTGGTGGTATCCATCCGTTTGCGCCACACGAGCAGGTTGCAGGATACAGGAAGATCATCAAGGTTTGTGATGTTGAGTTATAGTAGGACAAAGACATTAATTATTATTGGTAGGAACTGGAAGACGACCTTTGCAAGATTACTGGTTTTTCAGCTTGCTCTGTGCAACCAAACTCGGGTGCTGCGGGTGAATATGCTGGGTTAACTGTTCTCAGGGCATACCATGAATCCCGCGGGGAGGGACACCGTGACGTGTGCTTAATACCCCTTAGTGCTCACGGCACGAATCCTGCGGTGTGTCTCGTATTGTCCTCTGTCCTGTAGTGATAAACTGATGGAGGTGATAGTCGGCTGTGATGGCAGGCTTGAAGGTTGTCCCGGTCAAGACACATGCAGATGGGAATCTGGACCTGGAAGACTTGAAGGCAAAGGCCGAGAAACACAAAGACAATCTCGCGGTCTTCATGGTGAGTTTTGTTCACATCAATCGGAATCCGAATTCATTCCAGGGCAGATTACATACCCCTCGACGTTCGGTGTCTTTGAAGATGGCATTACCGAAGTACGTATCCTTATCTTTCATACTGATCTGGAGTACTCAATCATACGTCACAGGCCTGCAAGATCATTCATGACTGTGGTGGACAAGTTTACTTGGACGGTGCAAATCTCAACGCACAGGTTGGACTGACGAACCCTGCGGTCTGCGGAGGCGATGTTTGCCATCTCAACCTGCACAAGACCTTTGCTATGTGAGTGCGCAATGACTCGCATTTATGAATGCTCATACGTCTTTCAGTCCCCATGGAGGTGGAGGACCTGGTGTTGGGCCCATCTGCGTCGCCGAACACCTCGCACCCTTCCTTCCCTCGCATCCCCTGGTCAAGACTGGCGGTGATGCCGCCATCGATGCCATCTCAGCTGCTCCCTTCGGCAGTGCCTCTATACTCCTCATTTCATGGGCTTATATTAAGATGCTCGGCGGCAACGGCCTTTCGGAGTCCACCAACATCGCGCTTCTTAATGCCAACTACATGGCGCATCGACTTGCAGGATACTACAGTCTTCGGTTCAAGAATAAGAACGGCCGAGTTGCTCACGAGCTGCTCATCGACCTTGCTGAGTTCGATAAGTCTGCAGGGTTGAAGGTGACAGATTTCGCAAAACGGTTGCAGGTATGTATTCTTAGAATTGGGTGTTGTTGTTGCTGACCGGCGCATCTAGGATTACGGCTTCCACCCTCCTACGTGCTCATGGCCTATCTCCACCTGTATGCTGATCGAGCCTACCGAGTCCGAAACGCTCGAAGAGATCGATAGATTCTGCGATGCTATGATTCAGATCAGGAAGGAAGCGGAAGATATCATCACTGGCAAACAACCCAAGGATAACAATCTGCTCAAGAACGCGCCGCATCCGCTTTCTCTCGTGGTTGCGTCTGACAAGGAATGGAACCGGTCGGTGGTTTTAAAGGTTGTGTTTCGTAATATGGCTAACGTAGCCCTTCTAGTCCTTATACGCGCGAAGAGGCTGCATATCCCATGCCATGGCTCCGCGAGAAGAAGTTCTGGCCAACTGTTTCTCGTATAGACGATGGTGAGTTGTCTCTCGAGCGGTATCTAGGCATTGGCTTATTTCCATCATCTAGCCTACGGCGACCTTAACCTTATTGTAAGCAAATGATTTTATAACTCTTCCAAGCTTACCGTTCCTGTTTTCAGTGTGACTGCCCGACAGTTGAGGAACTTGCATCCTAGTAACCTAATTTTATCATATTACGACCATCTCTCGACGTGTTTTCCTGCTCGATTGTTTTTCTACTCCTCTAGAACACACACACTTGTCGCGCGTATTGCTCAACCACACGCTTTGTACACCTATACCATTATTATTGTAGTATTTACCATCACGAATAGATTTACGATGATCATTTTGGGTCTACTGCTGTTGCGCGCTCTCTGATGGAATAGCCATCGAGTTCGGTGGGTAACGTATGCCATAGCTGAGGGAGATACCGTTTGATGCGGTCCATCACCTCGTCTTGCTGGTTTGTCCGTGCAGCAAACGAAAGAAGTACCTTGACCGTGTTAACATCAGGCGCAATGTTCGGCTGATCTTTCCCCATCTCTAAACACACAACCTTGAGCGCATCATCAAGCTTCCCAACGCGGCACATGCACTCTATCCACGTATTCCACGTCCGCAAGTTGAACTTGAATCCGAGCTTGGTCATCTTCAGACATACCTGTGCAGCCATGGGCCAGGCATTCGCAAACCCACATGCGTCAATGATAATGGCAACGCTCGCTTGATTGAAGCGCCCGGTGATAAAGAGCGTTTCCCAAACGCGGTATGCCTCCGCGAACAGCCCAACGCGCTGATAAGTGTCCATCAGCTGGTTCCAAAGCACCGTATCAGGCGTGAAGGAAGGGTCGAGCGTCAGGTGATCGTGTGCCCTCCGCACAGCTGCTGCAAGGGCATCACGCTCCTCGGGCGGCAGTTCCCCTGAGAGTAGCGCGAGATGCCGGAAGAGGATAGTATACACAGGAGCTGTGATCTCAACCCCTCTCGTCCGCATGTCCTTCACTACTTCGAAATAGTGCCACACGGACGGTAATCTTTCGTAGTCTCCGAACGAGAGCTGGGTAAGGGTGTGAAGGATTGCTTGGTAGCCTTTGGCATCGAGGGGAGGCGCATTGGGACGTTTACATATTCGTTTATAGGCCTTCAATGCGTCGTCGAAGCTGGAAGCACACCGCATGACAACGATGGCCAGGGAAGAAACAGCCATCGGGCTGTTGAGTTCAATATTTCTAGCCTCCATGTCTTCAAGGAGGGAAAGCGCAATAGGAAAATACTTTTTGACGTTCTTGGAAGCGCCAAATGCGAGGAATAAGATATTGTAGAGGTTGGCATCTGGGCCCGAGGAATGCCGGCGCCCTGGAGGTTGGAGTTCTTGTTTTGAATGAGTGACAGGAGCAGCCTCAGCAAGGTCCTTGTAGAGTCCTAATGCTCGATCAATCGCGGCATCATCAAGAGTGGTGCAGAGGGCATTGACTATTGGGTGTACCAGGGGTGTACCAGGAGTAATCCCAGCAGACTTGGACTCCTCATAGATCGACAGAGCACCTGTCAGGTCGCCGATACGCACGGCATTACTTATCAAGATAGCCCAGTGAATTGTGGATGCCTTCAAGTGCAGTTCGGCTTCCGCGTATCGAAGGTACTCGAGGCGGTGTGTATGTCGGATGAGAAGTGTAAGGGTGTGCGAAGAGAGTTTGAAACCGTCTTTCTGCAATGACTTGCACAAAGTTACGGCTGCGGCGATCCCCTTGTTCTCAGCCTCTTTCTCTATGCTCTCTGTCCACTCAATCATGTTGGGATCTGTCGTCCTCGACCTCTTGCTAAAACGTTTCCAATAATTATCTTTCATCTCCTGAGCTCGATCCGTAAGACCAAGTTTGACAAAACCATCGTAGAGAAGTTTCGCGAAGTTCTCATCATACGTCAATGGGGTATGTTCCATGATATCTAGAGCTTCGTGAATTTTCTTGATTGAAGCACCAGTGTCGAAGAGAGCGTTGAATAGAATTTCAAAAGTTTTGAAGGTGGGACGACGTCCAGAACGATGCATCTTGGAGACGCTGTGCTGAAGTACCCCCACCTGGCCAGATCCAGCACACCACTCGAAGAACATGTGCCATTGTAAAAGCGTAGGCGTTATATTTTTCGGCTTTTGAGGCATGTTCATAAGCCAGTTGAAAATCGTTTGAGGGTTGCCATTTGCGATCAGGCCACGAAGGATGACATTGTACACTTTCACCCCTACTTCGACACCGCAAAGTATGGGGAGGTCGACGAGAATTTTCATCACCATATCCAAATCATGGTGCCTACCCGACTCAGCTAGTAATGATAGCACATCGTGGATCTCCTTCTCTTTGAGGGGTGGAGCCGTAGGTTTATCCTTCCTTTCCTCGTCCAACACGCGGAATAGGCCGTAAAACTGCTGGTGTAGAGCACCAACATTTGCCGTGGGGATACACCGCCGGATTTTGTCAACAATGGCATCGATATCTGGGACATAGGAAAGGGACGGGTCGTGTTTGACAGTCAAGAATCGTCTCTGGTCTCTCTTGACGCGAAAGACGGGTGCTGCACGACGTAAAGTAGATGGCCTCGAGACGGAACGGGTGAAAGGACCTGCGGGATATGCTAACCGGGCAACAGCGCGGCTAAGGGACATTCATGCGCGCTCAGATACCTGCGCTAATAGTTTTGCCTGTCAGATGAAATACGGACGGTCAGTGTCTGATTCCACATGATTTCAGTCCAGCCGTACCAACTTAGTAGTTGCGGTAAAGTGTCGTGGGAAATATATTGGAAGACGTGGTCAAGCACTTCGAACACATTTCTCACTTACCAACTACCATGTCTGAAAAATTGAAGGAGTTCATTGATATTCCTCAGCAGTTCATTCGCGACGGCAACCAGGTTAGCATCGCTGAACTCTGAATTATGTATGAAGTTGGCTGACTTGTCCTACTTGTCAGTTCCTTACACGTTGCACGAAGCCATCGCAAAAAGGTGCCTTTTGAGTTTCATCTACATCCACCATACGGTACTGAAGTATAATTACAGAGTTCATTCAGATCTGTAGGGCAGTCGCTGTTGGCTTTGCTGTTATGGGTTTCATTGGATACTTCGTAAAACTCATCCACATCCCGATGTGCGTCTTCCACGTCGTTCCTCATGCTTCGCAAACTGATATAGTTTTTCTAGAAATAACATTCTTGTGTATGTGCTACTATCTTTTAGAATGCTCCTTTGTGCTCATGTTTGGACAGCGGAGGGGCATAACTTATTCATCTCGTTAATATGTGTTCCATTTTCGCGTGTCGTATACCTCCGGCTCGGTTGGACAGGCGCTCTGTATCGTATCTCCTTTCCTTCATCCACGCATTCCGTGCAGTCACTTGCTAAATGATAGGCTTTCATTGGACCATATATTTGTCCACAGAATGTTGCGATGCGATCCCCCATGATCCTGTTTGGTAAGTCACTTTGCGTGTAACGCTCTATGACGAGTGTGCGCTTGAGACAAATATACGCGAGTCTCGTCTGCTATGGCTCAACTGAAGTGGTGTGTAGTAATGAATCTGAGGGAGCGGAACGAGCATTCGGTATCTCTGGTGCTGCTCCAGCCAGCTTCTGCGTACGCAGACAAGGGAGCCAAGCGTAGAGCATATCCTGTCGTGTTCGTCAGACCTCGTTCGTGCCAACTCACTCTCGTACCTTTTGTAATCCAAACACAAGTGCTGAGGCCAAAGGGACTGTAGACAACGAAATCATTAATATTCCAAGTCCGCTTTCTCACAAATGAAGTTGGAAACTCCTCACGAGCTGCAGGAACCATATAATAAGTCCCAGCTATAGGCTGTTTGGTCAAAAATACAATGGTTGCCCTAGTTGGCCATGAGTACATCACAAATCTCGCACGTAATCTTCCACGCACATTAGAGCCGCCCACGAATACAAGCAAAACAGGCCAACTCTGAAAATGAGTGCGGTTGAAGGTCGCCTAGGTGCTAGGAGCGGGAACGAATTCTTGATACGTTTCCATCTATGATAATATTGGATGGCAATAGCAGCTATAAGAGAATACACGATCAGTTACTATCACCGCAAGTACTGTAACAACCACGTTACCTTCAAAACATAATACCGATGCCATCATCGCGACACAGAACCCTGGAACTGCCAATGCTCTAAAAAGTTCGGTAAACATCTCTTGAAAAATATGCGTATGTATACTCACAAGGAGTGCACATAAGACGTGCAGAAAAGACCATTAAACGGTTGTGCGGAGGCCTTGTGTAGTTTTGTCAACTGTAAATATTTCGTCAAATCGTAATTTCACGTCGTGAGGCTGGGCTACAGACAATCGATGCACCAATTGAAAACCCTGCGAATACGATATACGGCGGTGATATTATCTGAATCGGCTCAAAGTTAGCGCGATTTGAATTCATACAATCTTGCCGTGTACTCGCTAGGAACCTGCAAAGCCACCGAGGGAACTTCTCAGCAAAGTGGTGTTCAAAGTTTTGAATAGTTGTCCAGGTCTGTTGATTATACGCGTCAGACATTGGGGCAGAGAAAAACTGCCGCAGGAACCTACATGGATAGCGACGCCGACAACTGCAACTGTGGCCCTGGCTGACAGTCAAACGTGCACCAAGCTTGGTAATGAGATGACAACTCACATTGGGGCAGCTCCGTATATCATCGCTGCTTGAACTGTGCACACTGTTTGGTAGCGAGGATGGACGTCTTCTCCTGTGTATAGACTGACATGTGTAATGCTCGAATCATTTGATGGAATTGCGAGGATCACTTACTAGAGACAGTGTATTATCGAGTAGCACACGCATGTCACGCACAGATTTATTAAGGTTGGATGCCAGCACAACTTCCTATGGAGTAGGGCAGTAGTGATGATGACCGGCAATAGAATATGTCCCCCAGTTATCAAGAAGAAGAGGTAGAGAGGGATAAGATGCTTTAGGTTTGATGAAGGGACTTTGCAGAACTCTTAGCAGTGAAGACTCGCCATCAAACTGACCACTTACGAGATGCATATAAATCGACCATAATGTGGCGCGCACGGCCAGTGGATCAACAAGTGAAGGATCCACGTAGTATATAGTGGAGGAACTGCGACTCGGACATCATGCCAGTGCAGCTGCTGATGTCTTGTAGATCTGCCTGCTGTCGGGCCAAATCCGAATCCTGTTATATACTTACGTACGTTCTAACATTGCATCCGGCTGATACAAGAAATTCACAGAACGCGGAAACGGGGTCGATGTTTCCAAACACGAGTAAATGCAGCCAATCGTCGAATGAAATCCTGAGAGCACAATATCAATGTGTTGATCGAAACAGGTTCATATTGTAGAAATAGCTGTGAACACATCTACTCAGCCCCTATCGAGTCTCCACCAGCAATAAAGGAAACCGAGTAGAAACCTTGGCAAGCTCCACAGCCGACAAAAATGTAGTGTCTGCCCCAGGCACGCCATAGGTCAGTAGTGCACTTATCTTATCTGCACTTTCCTTTGCGGGTTGCATGGAAGAAGTAGGCGGAAGAAGTGCTGAGAGTAACATTTGAGTCCTCATCAAGTATTCCTTGGCAGCTTGTTCTGGATTGGGTTGTAGATGACCCCCTGAAGATTGAACCTATAAATCCCATTGTTAAGATGTTGCATCGCAATAGTGACGGATACATACTTCCGACTGCAGCGCAGCGATCAGTCTGTCAAGTGAAGATGTCTCAAGTGCCTCGGAAGGCCAGACCAACGCAAGACATCGCAGGAAGTTTGCATCATTTAACATCTGTACATTCCGACCTGTATCGCCGTTCGGCATATCACGGGTGAATTTATCGATGAATAAGCTAAGGAGTGATGACGCTATGCTGGTGAGTTGTGATGGATGGTGCGTGAGACCCAAGCTGTGCAAGGAAGTCGATAAAGCATGTAAGCTTTCCATCAGGGCTGGTGATGGCCCTGTAACATTGTAACAGGGTATATTGGCTGGTGTCAGAGAAACGTCTTGCAAGGCAAACAAAGAACAGACCAGAAAGTGTTAAATGAAATTTTGCGTCGTCATATACTGAGATGACAGAAGAAATAGTGTGTTCCCTCCACCGGTTGATGATTCGGTCGAATAGCAAACCCGTTTTGTCTCGAAATTCTAGACGACTCAGTTGTTAATAATCAGGTATGTATAGTTGGTGATATGATCAACATACGCAGTGCAACAACCTCGTCACAACCTATATTGTTAAGGAAAGGCGATGTCAATGATATTTCGACCGCCACTCGACTAAGGAAAATCATATTTCTCATCGCTGGAGTGGTGTCTTTTTGTCTGGTGAGTTTGGAAGGCATTCGGGTGTGGTGCCGTCTTACCTGACTGGTTCATCAGCTCGTCAGTAGTCGAAGCAAGAGCGTCGGCGATCATGGAACAAAAGGCCTTCGCCTCCGGGAGATATGCCTCAACTAGATTGCGGGCTAACCTCCTGGATGCCGCAGCTTAATCAAAGATATTCGAATGAAACAAAGATATGAACACACTTGCTGCTCTGATCCAAACTAATACGGGTATAGTCTTTTTGCAATGAAGCTGCAGATTCCTCCAGAATGTTCAAAAAAGTCTGCAGGCGAGGTGTCCGACAACGAAGTTGTGATTGCAACACTGTTTTATACGTTTGGTACGGGTGTTCGTACGCTGCAGGTCCACCTCCTGTCAGGGGTGGAGGCGGAACAGATTGGGGTACATATATGCTGTTTAGAGGAGAAAACTCTGATGGTCGAGCAGTCCTTTTGAATCATGTTTTTACAAAGAGTACCAATATACATACCTTCAGCAACGACACCACTACTTGCAGTAAGTGTAGACAATGCCTTCAAGAACAGCTCTTTCGCCCTGTGGATGGTATCGGTCCATATGGCGCTGACTCGCTTTCTGACAGCTTCCTCAAATAAAGTATCGAGTGCCGTCTGCTCCGTTTTCACCAACCCCGATGTGAGTAGCCACTTTCGTAGGGAGGATCTAACATTCCAAACGCTCTTCACGCTGTCCAACTCCAACAGCCAGCGGTCCAAAGAATCCCGAAGTATAGAGCAAGACTGGTCAAACCAAGTTCGTAATTTATCCTCCAGAAAGTGTCCTGGAACGGAAGACGAAGCGGAAGATAATTCGATATAAGGTTTGTATGACTTGATGTCAGCTGGAAGGAGGGTGAAGTATGACGACGATGGAAGTCCAGAAAGAATCGTTTGGGTACTCAAAGCCAGTTCAAAAGGAAGTGCAGTCTCTGAGTTAGATACGGCGAGCGATTCGGTATGCATCTGCTCCAGCACGCGAATTGCCAGGGCTGGCTGCGTGGGTCTCAGACTTTGGAATACGTTCCGAGCGCAATTCACGGTCCTTGATATTACCTCGACAAGAATTAGCAGTGAGGACTTCACTTCTTGAAGTCTGTCATTGGGAGAAGTGCATTTAGACTGCACCAGCTTGGAAGCCCCAAGAGGATGACCGTTTGTCTGTGACATAGGAACGCTATTGGGGGTTGCAGTTGTCGTGATAATTGAGTTTTTTGAGACCGATGTATGCATAGTCCGCGTTCTCTGGGAGAGATATGTCGTCAGAGTGTCTGTTAAAGGTCTTGATTCGAGGATATGGAGAGTCAGAATAGTTGCACAGGTGTCCTGGATTAAGGACATGAGAAGACAACGCGCACAACATAAAAAAGCGGACCTCGGGTGACTTTTCGTGTATCCTCAGAGACAGAGTGGCTCTATGGACAATCTGAGAGCGAAAATGAGATATGGTCTCCCACTGTCGCTGGATGAGTGGAAATTGCTCCTGAATGCAAAACGTCAGAAGATAAGAAAGGCATTTAGCGAGGAATTTACCATGATGTTAACGCCTTGGTTCAACCAACTATCCTCATCTTGATCATCATCACGAGAAAGTGCCCGGTGCACAACGCGTGCCAGCATGAATAACCAGGTAGCATGAAAATACTTTTCTCTTTCAATAAGCCGCCATAGATGTTCTGGGGCATCAAGAAGCAACTTTATGTGGGCAGAGAGCACTTGCAATGTTTGCAAATGCGAATCTGAAATATGAATATAAAGTAATGCAATGTCATCGAACAGACTAGTACTGACCTTCCTTGCCTACATTCGAAGTACGATTTTCCCTGGATGGCTGTTGCCGAGACGCAATAGCATCTTTGGTTTCTTGGAATGCCTCTTGAACACGCCTTGCAGACTTTGACATGGAAATTATGGACGTTGAGGCTTGTAGGAGATCGCGATACCGTTCCCTGCGCTTTCAAAGTACAGTCAAAGCGCGAAGTGCATTCATGAAAGAGCACGCACCCGACCATAACACGAAGCTCCTCCTGCTTGGCTTCAGCGTCCGATCTGAAATATTGTCTTGAGCCAAGGAAGGCGACTGACACGGGTAGGTTTTGACGCACCTTAGCTGAACTTGTTTCGCCTTGACCTCAGGAATAGTACATTTTGCAAACAATTCATCTGGGTCTATGTCCGCGGTCTCATCCTGTACCCTGGTGGATTGCACGCTCGAAAAATGAGTGGATGGGACCGAACGAGGGAAGTTTGGTGCTGAAGGAGATGGCGCGAATGTTGATGCTGAAGTCAAATGAGACAGTTCTGCAAGGTTCTTGATCGAACCAAACGATGCGACTGACACTGTAGACGGTCGCCGAGCCATACATACGAGATCGTTAATGTCCGACGATATTTGGACTATATGTAATGTTTCACCAGGCTGGTAAACTCAGAAATAGCCGACGTGGTCAACAGACTTGGTATATTACGTAACCATGAAGGCTATTGCTATGTAGTTGGACAAATGAAAGTGAAGACGCGAGATGTGCTCCATGGATATTAGCTGCTGATGATCATTAGGCCGTACACTATCTTCTCCCATCGTCAGAGCCTGATGTGTCTGCCACATCCATCTCCACAGGGCTAGGTTTCCTTTCATTTTGTGCTGGGGCAGGCGCGGCAGGCGAGGGTCTTGAAGACTGAGCCTGAGATATTCCACTCTGGGTTGGTGAACCACCGGAGGAGTTAGCCAGTCGCTGGTCAAGTGCCTTCAGTGCAAGTGCCCTGGAAGTAACAGTTAACAGGGTTGATTGGCTAAGGCAAGCGATTACTGACCGTCGCCTTTCAGCTTCGGCTCGAGCTCCACCTGGCACCTGACTATACCCTCCAGACTCAATGTCGTGAGGCACAGAAGTGGGAAGAAGGTGGAGACGTGTTGCAAGTTTGTATACTGTGTTTCCTAGCAATAATAGCGGTGTGCTGGAAAAAAATGGTATCTGCAGGGGAAAAAATAAATGAAATACTCACTGAAGGAATGGTGGGAACCAGCTTGTCAAAGCAAATGTTTCGCTCCGGTCTCCGTATGACACTACCCCTCCTAGGGAGTCGCCAACATTGCGCTTATAGAAGCGGAGGTATACCCATGACACAAACCAGCCAAATTGAATGAGAATATATGGGCTTTGGAAGCCAAGTAATGTCATTATGGTCGAAAAAGTCAAGTATGCCATAGGAAACCTCTACAAACGCCGTGGGTCAGATCGACAAGTGATGGTCGATTTTTTGTTTACCTTGACGCGGGCCTTGATAAAGCCCAAAATTTGAACTTGGTGCTCAGGGATAACTTGAGTAAATGAAACAAGCAGGCTAATAAATAGCGCCATTTGACCGTGATACTCCATGCCATACCTGCATTGTCCAAGGATGTGAGGAGGCGCTGCCGTCGCAAGATGTGTGAGAAACTTACAAGAACAACTCGGCATTACGCGTCACAGCAAATTCAATCCAGTTGAAGGCGCACCCGATAATATTCGGTCCGGTCACGCATACGATAATAAACTTGAGAGTTTCGACCGTCCCCCACAGGCGCTCAAAATAAGCTAACGAAGCGGGAATGACAAGGAGTGAAATGATGAGCTATCAAAAATTGTTTAGTATCAACACATTTCGTCCTCGATCGTCAGTAAAACAATACTTGCCTCGATAATGCTTATTTCGACCAGGGCTGAGGTTGCAAAGGTCCAAGGAAAGAATAGGCTTGTTCCAGGTACCAATGTCAAGTAGGCAACCGGTGTAGGGCCTGTTGTCCATCTTATCCAAAGATACAATGTGGAAGAAGCTAAAGTAGCCGCAGTAAAAAAACGCGTCACTGGTGGTACAGATTTGATGTATTGCAGCGGTGTCGAAAGGATAGCCATTGCGACACGTCAAAACCAGGGAAAGTCGTTGGATATGGCTAATAGAGGCCCTAGTTAGAACCAAAGCTCACGAGAGTGTAGTGGAGACTGTCGCCTTCGTTGAGAGAATCCTTGAAATTGTTGCACTGAATGTCGCAAGGGCAAACTGTACCACCGGACTCCGTGCCAGTTGGGAGTTTGCCGCTGTTTACTTGAAAGCACAATGACTTCCTTACGTCAGCAAGCCTTCCTTGCTTCACCTCGTCATCTGCTCAGGCAGCCCCCGATGGCGGACTACGATTTTCGCCCAGGAGGCTCACTTAAATTCAAGGGCGGTGTTGCTGAAGGAGGTATCGTGAAGAAGTATGTATCATTAGTTCTTACCATTCAGTGCACCTGACAGATAAGCAGAAAGAAGAAATCTAAACCCAAGCCAAACTCGCAATCTGATAGTGCGAAGGACCGCGAGCGCGAACGAGTGAAGGATTTATTATTCAAAGAGGAGGCAGAACTTGCTAGTGGTTCAGCGTCGGGTAGCAGTTCTCCTGCTCTACCAGGGAGTGATGCCAGAAAAACGGACGCAGAACGACGTTTTGAGGAGGCACAAAGGCGCAGGGTGAGTTTTGTGCTCAAGATGAAAGTCTTCAAATATTGACGCCAAAATCCAGCTCGAAAGTAAGGTAGCTCAATTGGCTCGTAAGACGCACAAGGATCGCGTCAACGAGCTTAATGCTAAACTTGAGTCGCTCAGCGAGCACCACGACATTCCCAAGGTATGTACAATTTTATGGCGGTCCGTGCAAAGTCTCACGGCATTGGTTAGGTTGGTCCAGGATAATATTTACAAAAAATCCCGTTCAACACTGCGTTCGGCTCAAAGACTGGTTTTGTGCGGGCCAGGCGGTGCAGAATTTCAGTGGCGACGACTATCTTCGTATCATCATCATGTCCTTGTAGACTGCTTGAAATTTATGTATTTTACACGCGAAGTGCCTGGGGTTCCACTATTGCCACATATTTGTTAGGTTGGTTTGATATAAGTAGCCACGGATGATGCGGGTCATAAATCCGTGACCACTCTTGACCCTTTCCTTCACGTTCATTCTCTGCATCATGTCTGCTGCACCGCAGACAGAAAAGAAAGGGCACATCTGCCCTCCCTCAAATGCTAAACACCCCTCCGATAGATGGGAGTCACTATTTGTGTACTCTTTCATATGCAAGTTCACGAATCTGAGGTTGAAGTTGGAGGGATTGGAAACACCGATGGAGTGAGCACACACCCGCACTACATGCACCTCACTCGCGTCAACTAAACACGCGATTTCCCCCGATGACAGCTTTGAAAATGCCCTCTTGACGCATGGTCCAGATCCCATACTCCAAAAGATTTTACAGCAATTTATACTGAATCTGCGACCGCAGACGCGTAATTTGAGGTGAACACACAGCTCGTTCACACAAGGGGAATGTTTGACCGTCATTGTGTTTTGTCAGTATTGATCAGATCTCTGCCACTTTGAATGCTGTCCTTGCAGATGCATTCAAGGCATCGGAGCGAACTGTGTTTTGGGACGACGAACTTGGGGCGAATGTGAACCCTTTTGCCGATTTAGAAGGCGGGTTTTTCGCAGCCGATTGGGATCTCAAAGTTTGTCATTGTCTTGCCATGCTGTACGAATTACCCCTGAGCGCGCGTCACGCTACACTCCATACAGCTCCAAGTTCTTCGCCAACTCGTGGAATTGCAACTTACGCATTCCATTGACATAAAAGGCACTGTGGATCGCGCGTGGGGCGTGATGCAGAACAAGCACAAGAAGAAAGACCCTGAAACTGCCCCTCCTGAATTCAATGATTCCAAGAGCCAGCAGAATCTACAACTTGTTCCATTAGGCCAGGATGCACAACGCAAGCGGTATTGGGTCGCAGATGGTTCGTGTGTCTTTCATTTCAAGCTCCTCGCCCTCTTTCCTATTTGTGTGTATTTGGTGCGAGGCCGCATTTTTTTGGCCCCCATGTTATCCGGCGTTAGCCGTCTGTAAGGATTTCCGGCTGACTCCCGTTTCTGATCTATCTTAGATTCCCCACGGGTATACGTTTCAACTAACCCCTGGAAAATCACTGCGACGTTCCAGGCGGTCTCTTCAACGCGTGCAGAGTATATTTCTGTGATTGAGAAGCTGAAAGCATCTTCCCCGCAAGGCGATCGTAAAAACAAACTAGAACAGGCCCATACTGCACTCGTAAAGGCACTAGAAAGCCGGATAGACCTTGTTGATGCGGACTTAGCGGTGAGTATTTGTTTGTCTTGATCAGTCATAAAAAATAGATAGATCCCATTTTCACTTGAAACGCTACTTGAAACGCTTACTCTCCGATTATTCAGCGCGTACAAAGGGCCCGCAAGAAGATAGAGCAGCGTCAGATACTCATGGCACAAGCTGAAATTCGACAGACTCGCACGCGACGACAAACTCGTCGACCCGACTACGTGTATCACGACGCCGATAGTGGGGAGGCAAGCGGTTGGCATCAAGTTTGATTTCGATTGCTAACTTATTTTTATGATCAGGATGACGCCGATGAATATCAATTTGAGGAAGACAATGACTATGATGACGAGCCGTTTGCGGAGGATAACTTTGGTAGTTCCCGATCACACGGCCGTCGACAGCCGGCTGCTACTGCGCAGCGGAGATCCACCCGTGCCACAAAAACCAAGCGACCATCCCCTGATTTGTCTGCCTTTGAATGGAAAGGTGAAAGGAGGTCGGCTCGTCTCGGCCCTTCTGAAGAGACACCTGTGGAGCGTCCATCAAAACGTGCTCGAACGGAAGAAAGCACAATGAGTTCTACATCTGTAGGCTGGCCCCCAGTCTTGCCAGCCGAGAATTCAAACGGCGTCTCGAAGGCGAAAGCGAATGGCGCAGCAGCTGTCAAACCAACTGAGATTGCAGTTGAACAGCTTGGAGGGAAAAAGAAGAGCAAATTTTGGTTCTACGCCGTGGAACCGATCTCTGCGCCTTCTGACGTCCTACCACCTGGTGGCAGTGGTTCAACCTCCCTGAACGGTTATGAATACAGCGGAGATACCGGCCGCTCCGGCACCAGTAGTAACACTTCGCTCCCGACACATGGCAAAGGAGATGCGATGGACATCGACAGCCAGAGAGAGTTCGGCTTGTCACCAGTCCCCCTGGAAGGATTGCGGAGTGTATAATTTTCTATTCCGTTGCTTCATTCGACTCATGGCATTTATTCTTTTTTCCCCATCTTACTCGCACTCCATAATATTCCACATACCAGCAAAGCCTCATCCATTGATCAGCCTAGTCTAATCATTCATCTTATTACTCCCTCTGACCTATGTAGGTCTGATACAGCAATGAACTTTTTATCCTCCACGTTTGTACTATATATCTATTCATTTTTTCAAAAAAAAGAACGCGTCGAGCTTATCACCTCATCTTGTATCCCCATGTGCAATTTATTAGTGATCGTGATACTGTTTTCACAAGTGTAACCAACCTTCCAACTGATAAGGACACTGAGTTTTTTTCGAGGCCGATGCGCCCGAGCGCGTCCCCTGTTGCCAGTTGGTCCACTTGTCCTTTGCTTTTAGGTAATAATTATGCGGGTGCAATTATCGGACTAAGTCCAAAGTCACGCACGGTAAAAGCATCTCGGTGGACTTTGCTTCAACACCAGCGCCGTCGAATGATTGCACGTATCGCGGAGAATGCTTTCAAGAAGATATCGCGATCTGTACCAAAGTTTCGTGGTGACCTTCGTGCTCATGAACTTGGTTTGGTTCGCCGAACAGCATCAACTCTGGTGAGACCTCCGTCCTCGGACGATGCAGAACTGGTCTCTCTCTTCGACCAACCGCAGACAGGGCAGAAAACCTCACCGTTATTTGTCACAGGCATTTTTCAGCATCCTCAACTGACAACGCCAGCTGCGTTCAGTGCGCTCGCTGACTCGACCCTCGTACGCGCGCAACTCTTAACAGAACGAATATTGCGGGCCAGGGAATCTCGATCCGAGCTCTTCAAAGTAATCAAGAATCTGGACAGACTCAGCGATCTCCTGTGTGGTGTTATCGACCTGGCAGAGCTCTTGCGGAATGCGCATCCTGATGCTCAGTGGGTGGATTGTGCTACAGAGAGCTACGAGAAGTTATGCGAGTTCATGAATGTACTGAATACTCATGTCGGGTTATATGAAGTGAGTCATGCACTTTTTCGTATCTCAAGGTGTCACCTCCTTTGGTAGGTGCTGCACACTGTACTACACGACTCAGAAATTGTCAAGTCCCTCAGTCGGGAGGCACTTCAAACGGCGTTGATATTCTGGCACGATTTCGAAAAGTCTGCTATCAAACTTCCCCCGGAACAAAGGGAGAGATTTGTGTCTCTTTCATCTGAGATTCTGTCTTTGGGTCACGAGTTTGTCACGGAAGCTTCTGCTCCGCGGCCGCCGGTGAAGATAAAGCCCTCCGAGCTCGAAGGTTTGAAAGACCAAGGGATGGGTGCTCGTCTTCAAAGACAAGCATTTTTTACGCAAAAGGACTTGCTGGTCTATCCGGGCTCTCACCAAGCCTATATGATCATGCGCGCAGCACCTGATGAAGAACCGCGAAGAAAAGTGTACATGGCAGGTCACACGAGCAGTGCAGAGCAAATTGACCGCCTTGAGCGGCTACTGAATGCGCGTGCTCAACTGAGTCGCCTTGTAGGCTGGAACAGCTACGCTGGCATGACGCTCAGCGACAAAATGGCGAAAACTCCGGGTGAGCGGTTACGTGTGGTAGCATATCAGCCAATCCTGACGTCCCTGTTACGTAGAAAATGTCAATCATTTTTTGGGTACCTTCTTGGATCGGACCACGCTCGTTGCTAGCAAAGCATTGCATACATTGAGTTTGCGGAAGCAAGCGCATCTTAAATCGGCGAACCTTCCTGTTATCCAGGCGTGGGATAGAGATTATTATTGCCCACCCGAACCGCCAGCACCACCGGTTCCTCTCCCTCCTCTTTCACTCGGACGTGTATTTATGGGCCTTTCACGACTATTTAAACACCTCTACGGAATAACGTTGCGACCCGTTGATGTCGCATCTAGCGAAGTATGGCACTCTGACGTACACAAACTAGAAGTGGTTGACGAAGACAGAGGCGTCGTTGGTTGGATATATGCTGATCTCTTCGCTCGTAGCGGGAAGTCACGCGGAGCGGCACATTACACTGTTAGATGCTCTAGACGAACGGATGATGACGATGAATATGGTGACCTACGAATACCCGGAACAGATGAATTCGTTGGTCCCTCTATCGAATTCGAAGCAATTAAGCGGCACAGACTACGCGGTGAGCATGGTGAGTTCCAGCTGCCATTGGTAGTCCTGCTTTGCGATTTTGTACCGCCATCTGCTGCTCGGGGCCCTACCATTCTCGAATGGTATGAAGTTCAGACCTTGTTCCATGAAATGGGCCATGCCATGCATTGTGAGAGTTCATCATTCTCGCTGAGATCATGACTATTGATGAGATAACAAAATTCAAGCTATGATTGGTCGAACAGAGTACCACAATGTTGCAGGGACGCGCTGTGCAACCGACTTTGTCGAGCTACCTTCCATTCTCATGGAGCACTTCCTCAACTCTCCAAAAGTTCTCTCCCTCTTCGACACCGACGGCTCTTCTATCATCAACCAAACAGGAAATCACCATGAAGATCCATGTCGGTACATCGATACCCATAATCACATTTTACTTTCTCTGCTTGATCAGGTATACCATTCCCCCTCTGTTCTTGAGCCGGGCTTCGACTCGACGACCGCTCTCGCAAATCTGTACAATACGCGTGGTCTGATCCCGCATATGCCTGGGACGTCCTTCCAGACACAATTCGGGCACCTCTTTGGCTATGGTGCAACGTATTACTCGTATCACTTCGATCGTGCCATTGCATCACATATATGGCGGAAGATATTTTCTGCTGACCCACTCAACCGTGAGCTGGGAGACAAGTACAAGCAGGAGGTACTGAAGTACGGTGGCGGGAGGGATCCGTGGTTGATGCTCAGTGCATTGCTCGATGCTCCTGAGCTAGAAGTCGGCGACGCAGAAGCGATGCGGGAAGTTGGTAGATGGAGGATAGAAGATGGAGTCGTTCCAGAAAGACATTAGGATCTATATCTATACTATCTACCGCTGCATCTGTCAACTCAGACTAGATCCTAGAGCGCGATTCTCGCAGAAATTACGACAAATCTGTTTTGTTTGATTCCAGTACATACAGAGCGATTGTAAAGCGAAGGAAAACAAAATGTAACATGTGAACAAGGTAAATGCGGGATGAGTGTCATACATGATGCATGATGCAGGGTATATTATGCAATGCGCACAATGAGTTGAGATACGATATGAATAATATTACATATATCTTGATAGGCCGCATAACGTATACGAACAGCATAGCGAAGCGAACATTTTGATGATTATCTACCTCCAGGATCAGCAAACAAAGCCACCAACGAAGAACAAGGACAATTACACAGATACTGCTAGATCCTGCTCCAGTATCCGAGTTTGTTCTCTTAGAAGCTGGAGTTGCTCCAGCTTCGCCAAGCGAGCGCCATCAGCAGGTGAGGGAGGCTGTGGTTGTGGAGCATGGAACAACGGGGGAAGCTGGAGCGCAGAGAGATCGATCGCTGGTAATAGCTGTGAGAAGTCGTCGCAAGACGATGGCAGCGAGAATTGATCGATGTCGGACAAGAAGGGTTGCTCAGAGTTCAAAAGATCCGTCCAGCTGAAAGGATCCGAAGGAACAATGTCAGTGAGATCTACTGACGGCTGGAAAATGGTGTCAATTGCTGTGGAAGCTCTGACGGCCTCGCCAGAATGATTGGGAGCGATTGTGGATATCGCGTTGAAGAAATTGAAATGGTCGAAATCACCAAGATCCGGTGCAGGGACATGAGCGTGGGAAGGAACTTCCAAATCAGTCAATTTTGCCTCGAACGATGCAACTGTCGGAGTGATCATGGTGAGTGAGTATCTTGGGATATGATAGAGTATACGTACGGTCTACTAGAGCGGGCTGGATGCACTTTTGTTGGAAGGGTTGTCCGACGGAATTTATTTGGGTATCAGGGAATGCGTATCCGTTGAATACTTCAATGTCAACGGGGGCAAACTGATCGAAACTGACGTTCTCAACTGGACCAGGAATCTCGAAGAAATTTGTCTGAAACCAGTGATCAATGTTTGACTCGAGAGGAACGGATGCTCTTGGAAGAGGATCAGACACAGCATGAACGCGGGGTCCAACATGGAGGTCTCTCGGACGCTTGGACACAGCGTGAGTAGCAGCGTCTGATAGCCTTCGCTTTCGCGAAGACCCTGAAGATAGCTGAGGTGCAATTATTCGGATCTCCTCAATGTTATCCAGTCCACCGCTGCTTGATGGAGGCGATGGTAAGGCAGAAGTATCTGCAAAGGGGGTCAGGTCTTTCGCGCTGGACCTGGAAAATGGCAATTAGTGGCAATTGGCGCAATGCATGACAATGACTTACCGAAGGCGTTTCGTCGGACGATCTGCACATAAAGATTGATTAAGATCAGTTGATATAGATGATACAGAGGCACGTCGCTTGCGACCAGCTAGAATGGGTGGAATGAAATCTTCTTCGTCTTCACTCTCGTCTGTCCATGAATCCTCAAGAGTGGGAACGGGAGATGGAGACTGCGAGTGCCTGGGAGATGGATACGAAATAAAAGCTGTGTGCGCCTTCCGAGCCTGCCTATCAAGCGCCCTTTGGATTCTCCGCATCTCCTTCTCCTCCTCGCGTTGTTTCTTTTCCTGTTGTGCGCGCTCCTTCTTCTCCCGCTCCAATCGTAATCTGTCGTCCTCTGTCATATCCTTGACCACCACGTCTAGGTCACCTGCAAGCGCACTTTTGGTGAAAGTAGAGGCATAAAGATCTTGTGTAGCAGCCTTCATCTGCTGGAAATCATGGAAAACGGCGGGTGCAAGAACACGGGCAGGGTCTTCTTTGACCAGAGCACGAGAAGCAGCATCAATAGTGTCTGCTCGGCAGTTGTTAAAGTGTTTGCGGCAAATCGTCGTCCAGCCGATGCGACGGCGAGCACTGATGAACCAGGTAGTAACGGGGTTCATGGAACATCCAGAGCTGCTGGCAATATTTGCTTTCGTATCAGAAGACGGGTAAGGGTTATGAATATTAGCGAGCAGCCATTTGTATGCTGGTTCGATAAATGGGGGCAGGGAAGACTCTGATGATCGTTCATCGCGTGTCGTGGGCATTGATGGAGGCGAAATAGTGACACGATTAAGGCGATCTAGAATGCCGCCCATGCCATCAATAAGTTGATCGTGTAATTCTTCATATGTTTTGTGGAAGTCAACAAGGCAGTTGGCTATGGTTTCCACCCTTGAAGTCACTATGTTCGCAAGCAATATAGTGTCATCAGACAGTTCGCCTGCGGATAGACAACGGGAAAAATCTGCGTGCAATGAATTCCAAGATGACTTGAATGACATCAAGGATTCGAGTTTGTCCTCGCGCAATATTGAATCCATTAGGGACTCCTCTGCTTGTAGGAAGCGCTGTTGTATGTCCTTGTCCATCCTGCAGATCTCGGGTTTGAATGGAGTTGAAGAGATGAGATGAGATACCACTCTGGGCTGTTGCAACCTACCAGTATGAAGACACACAATGCGGAACTTCAATTTGTTATTACCAAAATAACGATACACACATCATTTCATTGTCCACAAAATATATACATCAACTAGCTGGTCAAAACTTAAGAGTACACAAATCCAACTTTTCCGATGGCCGAAACGACTTCAGAAATCCTAAAGCGAATCACACAACGTGCCCAAGAAATACAATGCCTCGCTTATCCCTCTGGTACGGCTTCGTCGCGCTCGTTCACACCTCGATCATGTTCTCCACAACACCCTATCGCTGATATTTCCCTTCCTGACCCGCCCCCAATACAGCCGGCTCTTATGGCTGCTGGTGCCCGTCCAGAAATTTCGCTAGCAATAGAACAAGCATATCAGAAACGGGCCGCTGACTTACGAGCTATCTATCGCTCGGCTGTGACGCTTGTATGCTCAAACCAGGTGCAGCATCCGTCCAAGTTCCGCTATGTCACCGAACAAAAAGTCCTGTTTGCATTCACCGAGCTATATCTCAAAGAGCTCGTGGCCTGGAGAGAACAATCTGTTGCCTCATATCTTAAACATTCATCAACAAGCGACAAAATTCACACCTCAAGTTGTACACCAAAGTTTAATCACGTACGTCTGATGTCTTGCCTTTGCCCGTCCAGCCCTCTATAATGCCCTTTTCATCTCACAACAGGAATATGTTCCATTGCTTGAACACTTTTTCGCAGAGAACCCGTTTCCGACTCATGCCGACAAAGCCTTCCTTGCAAAGAAATCTGCAATGACATACCGTCAAATTCATGTTTGGGTACGCATATTTATCGGCATACATTGGTCCTTGATGTTGATAATCCCAAGTTTCAAAACAGGCGCAACAGAATGAAGAAAGAAGGTCAAGTGTTAAGAAAGAAAGCAGTAGCTGAGGGTGCCACTCTTCCTTTGGATAGCCTGTACCAGCGTATGGAGAAGTTCATTGTACTGGAAGAAAGGAAGCCGCCCGCAACGCCTCCCAGTCCTCTGCATTCCCCCACCAAGCAAGGAGACGAGATAGTAAGTGTAGTATCCCCCTTCATCTTCGTTTTATTCACAATGTCTTATATAGATGTCTATTGCAGCCCGATGCAACCCACTCGAGCCTCTGGCACCTTTGCACGCATTTCCATCGCCTTATCCCCCTTCATGCTCGTATGATCCTTTTCCATCGAAGAATGGTGTGACGAATTTCGGTGCGCCACAATGGCTCCGACGCCCAATGACCACAGCTGTTCAACGTCCTACATTGGACATGGATGGATTCGTAGACCACTTCTCGAGAATAAACATTCTAGATGATTCTGGCTCGCGTTCACGCGGCCATGTTGATTCATATGCAGCTGTAGCTGCCATCACGGTTATACCCTTCCCTGCACCTCTGCCTGCCCTCATTCGGGGGACAACTACCCGTATTACGCCCATCCGTGTTCCTATGCTCTCCGTTCCTGCAACCGCATCGCGTCGCCACGTCTTCAACACTCCTAGTCCCCAATCAAGACCTATCACATTAGTGCCAGCCTCCGAGACCCCAAGAGGCCAAAAGGCCCGCCGCCGAAAAATGGCACCATTGCCAAAACGCATCCCTCACGGAAACCCAGTTTCTCACCGGGGCGTCACGCCAGCCCTTTCAGAGGCGTCTGTCGCCTCACCTTCTCCATCATCCCCCTCGCGTTCATCTTCACTCGGGTCTGAGAATTCCTCGCAGAGCCGCCTATTCTCGAGCGCGAACTCCACGTCGAGCAGTTCCTCTGGCGTTATGACGCCGCCTCCATTCCCCTCACCTTCAACACAACTTGCGTCTCCTCCAATGTCCTTGTACAGTTTCTCTTCAAATATGACTGATCTATTCGGTGATGCTTTGGAAAGTGTTCCCTCGCCGGCGGAGGGACTTCAGCTTGACTTTAATTCAACTATATTCGGGCATGAGCACATTCCGAAGTCGGCGGCGTTCGACTTCTCTTTCGGTGCGTCCCCAGCAGCGAATTCTGTTCGCGCACCACCATGAGCCACTTCGTGGTGGGAGTCTACGGAGTTCGATCCAGCATGCTCCAGATAGAGCTTGCTTTCTACCTTTGGCACGTCAGGCCTTACTGCTGCGGAACATCTAGCGGTGACGAAGGGCTACGGCAACGTCCTATTGCATCCCTTCATCTAATACCCTGAAGCGGATCCTATGCACCATGCATGTCCTGTGTCTATGATAACGCATCTTGACTTGTCCTGTATTCTATTGCTGTCTAATCGCTGTTCTTGTTTTTTTTTCCCTTTCGCGCAATATCTTTGCTTTTGCTCATTCGATGTTACCTAGTCATATTGTTGTATTAGTCTTTATACCTGCTGTTTGTATGCTGCAAACAATTGGAACCGAATACTGGAACGTATCCCAGAGGTGGTCTCGCTGAGCAGAACGAAATCGATCACAATCTCGAACGTCAGTAACAGCCTTGTGTTCTTTAAATCGGGGTATTTGTCCAGAATTTACAAAAGTTCATCGATGATCACTAGGTTTTACAAAAGTCCACACGTAGGCGGACATCATACCCAAGATACAAAACTTCTTTCGCCTCAACGCATTTAGAGGAAGTTGCTGGCCTAGAGGACAGAGTCAGATGTCATAAAAGATTAAATCATGAACTAATGCACCATGCCCATCACTCCGCTCAAACCTCCACTGCTAGCGCCACCGATGAAGTTGCTCATCTGCTTCTTCATCAAAAGCTGCATGGCGTAAGTAGCAGCGCTATTCATCGCGCTCTGTTTGGCCTCGCTAGATCCGCCACCGGACTGTTCGAAGAGCGAGGATGCATGCTGCATGGCCATGCCAACCAGCTTGCTCTGCATATCACCTCCGCCGCTGCTTCCGTGACTTCCGCCACTCACCATGTCCGTGAACACCTGAAAAATTATGGGTATTTGCGATCTTGATCTTGATCATGGCTTACTTTGAAGGCTGCAGCTCCGCCCATTGCATCGGGTGCCATGCCTTGTGGGCCTTGTCCCCCAGAGCTGAATGCCTGGTCGTGAGCATTCTTGAGGTTTTGAATGCCATCCTCGTCGATGTCACCTTGTTGCTGGACAGTCTGATTCGCAGTGATTAAGAAGGGTCTAATTACGTTCAACGGGGAACGACAAACCCTGTGCGCATGAGACAAAGCCTGGTCCATGAACCCGTGGTTGCCAGAGTCGACATGCTGTCTCACATCGTCCGAGTTGACTGCCATCTGCTTGTGAGCACGACAGGGGTGATCACCAAGTAGATGACATACACGAAGGTCTGTAAGACTGGGGAGGCCGGTTATCGGGAGAGTTGAACTCTTGGCCTCCAGTCTTGTGTACGTGGGCTGTCCGATCGCTGCGTTTGAATATTCCTGCGATACGAACGGTGGATTGTCTACTTACTCTGGCTTTGAGACTCGGAGTAGGCCTCGTAACCTTGCTTTGCGAGATTCATGAAAGAGTCCTATGTACAGATCGAATCAATTTATGATCAGTTTGTACTGCGCAAAGCAACTTACCATGATGATGGGAGGTTATTGGGAGGTTGATTGTAGGTAGATATATGAGACTCAGAGACACCGCATCAGTCCATCGTTATCACTCCGGGACCGCAGTTAGCCGGTTCTAATCTAATCTCAGCCATTTCGGTTCCTTCCAATCAGAATCGTTCCGATGGACATAGTTCAAACTTCATCGTGACCCTGAGCTTGTCTTGAAGGGGTTGGTACTGTTGCTGGTCTTCAAATGACAACTCGAACGTTCCCTGTCAGTGTCAGCTGCCTACTACTAGTTCAGTGTGGTTCGAGACCGTGACTAAAATTTATTACGTTCAGACCAGGGTGAGTATCATTGCATACTAGCCTGTTTTGCTGTCACCACTTCACACTTGAAGGTTGCTTTCTACAAGCGCGACATCCAAGAACGAGCTAGAGGAAGTCTTCGAGACTATGCAACAATGTCATATCTATGGCTACACAACTCCTCGGTATCATAACATTCTACGCAACAGTTGACTCCAACTCTCTCTCATCTGCACCAGTGGTGGTTATCGTAGATCCGTATTGTGTGCCCGCAACTAAGGGCGTGCCGGTAGTTGCGCACGTGTTTGATGGCGGAGTAACCGCACCAGAAGGCGAGGTACTAGAGTGCATTCCGAGGTAACCTTCCGCTGTCTCGCGTGCTTTTTCGACATGTGGTTGCAGAGTGGATCGTGCAACATCGATGTGCGGTTGAGCGGCGGCTTGTGCGGATGCAAAGTACTTCTGAGCGGTTCCAACAGCAGACGATGCCGATGTCTGCGATGATGATGACATGGCGTCTCCTCCTGGCTTGTTCGAAGCTTCAAGTTGCGGGTCTGTGCTACCGTGAAGATAGTCCTGCGAAACATATAGGTATTCAGGTTCAAAGGTAACGAAAACGTAAACCGTTGTCTCACCTGAGCAGAAGTGGCAATATTCTCCACCGCTGTCTTTGCCTGGTCTAAATAACTTGCGCTGGTGTTCTTGGCCGTATGGAGATCCCTTTGCCCTTCGGAGGCTGCGGCGTTCGTCTTCTGAGACGCTTCGCTTGCGAAGACATCAAAGGCAGTACTAGTATCTCTCTCTCCGGTTAGTTCAGACCCCATTCCCTACAGGTTACAATGCGTAAGTGAATTTTCGCCTGGATGGATGAACGCAGCTTACTTGTGCTGCTTGTGCTGCTTTGGTTGCTGCTTGTTGAATATGCTCCGCGTTTTCTTCCACTTCATGTGCAACATGGGCGTTCGGTGCTTCAGCTTGCGCCTGAGCGGCTGTTGTCTCATGCTGAGCTCTCCTAGGGACCAAAAGTCGACATCGCATGGACTCTATGCCAAAAGATTGCTCACTCGGTGCCCTGAGCCTCCTCGACATTAAAAATGGAACATTTGTTGACTGTGTTCGACATGGTTGTTCGGTGTAATAAGTTGATAGACCGTTGCGTTTGTCTGGTCTTATACAACTACACCTCCATGACGTCATGGCTTGCCTACGGCGGTTGGTCACATGTCAATTGTAAGACTATAATGACGTCGTACTCCGGATACATGTGGATCGCATTTCGCACCCTGTGACTGCTCCCACTTTTCCAGGGGCACTTCCAGATGCGACACTCTTTTCCTTTTGAGCTCGCAGAGTTTCTTTGCTGACAAGACGCGGATGCGTTCCAGAATCCATATACTACAGATTACCACTCTTTGTTTGTCCTTAGTACGTTCTGATCGCTACCATTCAACATTCGTCATTGACGATGGTACCGAATAGGGCTAGGTTCATCGTCATTGTAGCCAATTGGTGTAAAAGGACGGAACGGTATTGTACATTGGCAGTGACTCTCAGTCAGAAATTCCGTCACATCGCCAAGACAAGTTGTCCAGTCATGACTTCGAAAGCTATCTACATATTGCAAGGACGGAGTGTGAGTCTTTGACTCATCCGTTAAACGTGGTCGCGTAAGCAGGTCAGAAGGGAAACTGCGATTTAAGGTCCAACTTGAGTCTTGAGCGTGCTGGATTGAAAGAGAATGCAGGCAAGGTCACTCTCCTGTGAGCAATCTGAACCTTGACGAATCTGCGATGAAGAGTGCTCATGCAGACCGGACTTTCGAGAGCGTGACGTCGCTGAGACACTCGAAGCGCTGTTTGCAATAGAGAATGAAGAGGAAAAGACAGCGGATAACGTAGTGTACAAGCCCATCTCCCACGCTGCTGCATGGTCGAGCTCGGGACCATGTATACCGGTGGTTATTCGTGCTTTAACTTCAAATACCGGTACAATAGCGGCGGCGGCATGCTGATTCATACAGTTCTTCGGTCAGTCATTACTCGTACAATACAGCCAGTGCCAGCGACTTCCGTCAGCTACCATTATGGTCAGAAAGTTTATATATGAAGCGAGCTCCAGGCGCACCTTTTCATGCCACCCCAAGAGCACGCTGCCGCTCACATCACCCCAGCCCGGCATCCCCATACCCTTGTAAAGGTACTTCATCAATGTGTCCTGAGCATCCTGGGAGAGCACTTTCACGACGCTGATTATCTCCGACGATTTCGTGCTATTCAGTATCGAAACAACGGTCTGTAACGTCAGATTCTTACGCAAATGTCAGCGTATTGGTGAGATGTGGGCAACAAAGTCACTTTAGCTTCCTCGACATTTGGCCCGTAAGGTATGCTGTCCAGCGCGATTCCCAGGGCCCCTGGTATGTCTCCCCTGCGCGAATAAGTAGTACTTAGGTTAGATCATGTTGTAAAGTAGTGATAGTATGGGACTGTACTACCTGGCTAATGTGCTCCGGACTGCGGCCTGCTTCTGTTTCGCATCACTCAAGACCTGAGCGGGATCGCGTGGATCTGGCTCACAAAGCTCGCCCTCCAGTAGGACATCCTCGTCATATGCGTCGATGTCGATCTTTCTAAAAGACATGGTCGTTGAAATGGAGTCTCGGAGGAGAATATTAAGTCACAAGTCACATTCAATGGGTCTAATTATGAGTAATCGATCGACAGATTCAGACTACAGTAGTCGAGCATCTTGATTGTTGACTTGAACATGAATTGTTCACAGCAAATGATTATAGTAGTTTTAGTTAATACTGATGGAGATGTCTTTCCGAGAGCTCGTGTCGAAGAATGGATACAACAAACAAATAAAAGTCGAACTTGACCTAGAGGGCCCCGAGCTCGCCTATCCGACAAATTCCCCTTGACACGGTAGACGTAGTGTAAATAGTCACATTAACAATTAATGATTTCGCCAAACGATAACTAAATTACTTGTCGATTCACCGAATGCAGATAATCCAAGACCAGCGCAGAATCGGAGCAACTGCTTCGCAAGCTTTAAGTGGAAGACACGTCCAAGAGGCTATGACGTTTGGTCCTTGCACACTGCTCGCAGAAGGCGATGGTGTCAGATATGCCGATGTCAGAGGATGGGGACTATTAGATCGTGACTGGGGCCTGATAGAGGTGCAGCTAGGTAGCGGGGAGCAGCTGCGTAGTCGGTCGACGTGACGGAAGAGGTGGGGGAGCGCGCTTGATGGCAAAGCTGGTCTCAGAGGTAGGCCGGCTGCTTGAGATGGAAGGTGGAAGCAGTTGTGGAGATGCGTGATGCGGGTTATAGTACACATCTTCTTCATCAATTTTCGCTGTCGCCAACCTTGACTCTTCCTCGTCCTCAGGAACGGTGCTAGTGACATTCTCTGTATCGAAACCATGTCGAAACCTCCCAGATATATGGCTCGTGTCCATAACACGACTTCCAAGAAGGTAACCGATATCGTCTTCGCTACCCTCGCTCGCGGCAGTATAGTGCAAGTCGTCTTCCGATGGCTGCGCCAAGACTCGATAAGATGATGGTGACAATGAAATGGTTTCCGTATACGTAGAGGGGAACAGCCCCTTCCGACTGTTTGACAGAACGCCAAGCCACCACTCATCCGGGACTTCTTGGATAACAATAATTTCGTCACCGACTTTGAAGGTGACCTCATCTGAAGAACCTTCTTTTCTTTGGAGGCTTATGGCTGTATAGTACAACTTTCGCCCCCATCGCCACTCGGATCGGTTATAGAAGGCATGCGGGGCGACTATGGGGCATTGCTGCGATATTACTTGTCTAGCAAGCGCATGTCTTTCGGAGCGTAGGTGTCTAGTAAATTAGTATCATGATGGCTTCACCTTCCGAATCCCCCAACCCAGAAATATCAGTTGGAGACCATCTTTGTTCCAAATCCGTGGTGGTGCAGGGTATAGAGAGTGGATCGAACTTGGCAGGGTGAGGTCGAGGCTTGACGCAGTGAGACAACATTTGACACTGCGTCTGAAAACCAACATAGATGAACGAATTAGAGGTAATGCAACAATATAGGACTGACGCGCAAGATGCATACTAGTATGAACGTAGAGGGCAAGCACTGTAAATTTGGTGAGAGGTGAATACAGCACTATAGAGGCTGTACGCAGGCAGATGGCACTCATATGTTGATCATTAACGATGATTCAAAGTGTTTGGAATGCGATATGAAGTTGTGTAAACATGATCTGTACGTAGGAATTTGTTACAGTGCCGCGTCAATTTCACCTGGCCCTAATCGAAGTAGCAATTTGTAAATCGAGTGTATTCGTTGAGAACCGTGAAAACGGGAACAGTTCACACGCTTAGCGCAATGTCAATCTCGTCCTTTGCAAGACATTGCACGAATGCCTCGCAAATGTCCTTGCAAATTTGCATGACAAGCTGCAATATGCACAACGCAGAGCTGGGAAATCATGCAAAGTCCATTTGCGTCTTTCTCCAGCCCAGCGCCGTGTGTCTCTGAGTCCTCCCAAGCCCTCTTACCACTACTACTATGCCTAGAGCCCCCAAACCAGTACAGGAATCGTACTGCGACTGCCTCCGCTACTGCTGTGGTGTTCTCACCAAATTCAGTAAGAAAACCTACGACAAACATGCACCATTTCGAACACCTCCACAACAACCCCAGTTCAGCCAAAGTTTTCGTGGATTATCTCCAAGGGCATCGCCCTCTGTGGAAAACGTCAGTTCCAAGATGCGATGTAAGCATTTGACCTCGCATTCATGTACGTGGACGCAGACTTGAACAAAACTCGCCTTTTACTCTTGATCAAAGTACGTCAATTGTGTCTTGTGTGCTCGCTACTTACGCGACAACTGTCAGGTCATCGCCCTTTTCAATGCAAACCAACGTGACGAGGCAATTTTGCGCGTCCAAGAGCTAGTTACCACTCGTCTCAGTGTGAATTCTCTTGCGTGTGCTATCGTGGAAGTGAGTGCTTTTGGTACAATCAACTCCTGATCCATACGTCGATGCTGATTTTGCGAACCTCGCGCTTCAGGCTTATCTACACGTCCAGGTGGGAATGAATGCATTACATTAGACGACGCACGCTACAAGTTCGAACGAGTATGATTCTAAGCCTAATGCTTACTTCGGACGCAACTTCAACGTTCAACTTTTGCGTTTCTGCAATCAGCCATGATCTAGATTTGCACGGGAGGGTTTTCCTGATGTCTGCAGCGATGAACAGGATTCAACGCGCGTTGACGTTGTCGTGCTTTCTCAGTTGTCATCACTCATCGCTGTTTATGTAAGACTCCGACTCACCATTCCACAGCTAAACGTGTGAGCAGAACTATTGAAGTTCTTCTCTATTTTGCGTTCAGTACGTGTTCTGATGAAGAGGTTCATCGCTGACATACCTGGCAGACCCGCCGTCACAACAGTACTCAGTCGACGAGGAACCAAACAAGTCGCAAGCTCTGAACCGTATAATATTAGATCCCGGGCACGGGAGCCCCCCACACGGCTCCCAAATGCATCCACGTGCACTGAGAGGACCAAGAGCAGTGAATACCAAAAGAACGATCGCCAAGAAATTCATCTAGACATTCAGTGTCATCAGTGGGATCTACAGGTTAGTGAGGTGAGCCTTACAATCGAAGAGTGCGAGATCTTCAAGCTAAGTGTGGGTTTTTTTGTTGGTTGTTGTGCCCACGCATATTATAGCTGCTGCTAGTTAAAATATTGATCCGCGAGTTCGAAAACAGCAATCATGCCTCGTGGTCTTCCTCAGGCAGATCACATCATGAGCATGCAAGGTCTGAAATACTTATACAAGGACTCGAGAATACACAAGGATTCGGACTTCCACAAGGGTTAAGGCTAAACCAAGAGCCACCGAGTGCCTGTAAGTGCCAGACCTGGCAAAAATAGCGCCCCGACGTAATCTAAGGGTATCGAGGCACACCCGACTTATTTCATTAACGATGATCAGCGGAGCTTATTTGTCGCAATTCTGCCGCAACCGGCAGGACTGGCATCCGGACGATACACTTTTTCGTTTCTGCAATCAGCTATAATGTAAATTTCTCTAGGTTTACACGGGAGAGTTTTCCTGATGTCTGCAGAATTCAACGCACTTGCGTTGACGTTGACGTGCTGTCTCAGTTGTCGTCACTTGTGTTTCGAATCACAGTGCTGTTTAAGACTCGGACTCATCATTCCGGTACAAGCACGGGTGAACGAATATAGATTCAGCAATTGACGACAAAATTTGGGGCATTCGGCCACCAATATTTTGGTACCATAGACGATCTGCAAGACTATCTGGGGTATGCTTTATCACAGCTAAACGTGTGAGCAGAACTATTGAAGTGCTTCCCTATTTTACGCTCAGTACGTGTTTTGATGAAGAGTTTCACCACTGACATACCCAGACCCCTCATTTGCGTCATTAACTGCAACAGTACTGAGTCGCCGGGGAACCGTTCAAGTCGCAAGCTTTGCTCATCACGACATTAGATCCCGGGCACGGGAGCCCCCCACACGACTCCCAAGTGCATCCGCATGCACTAAGAGGACCAAGGGCAGCAAATGCCAAAAGAATGATCGCTAATAAATTCATCTAGACCTTCAGTGTCATCAGTGGGATCTACAAGTCGGTGAGGTGAGCCTTACAGTCGAAGAGTGCGAGATCTTTAAGCTGAGTGTGAGTTTTTCTTTTGTTGGTTGTTGGTTAGTTTAGTTCTGTGCTCATGCATATTATAGCTGCTGCTAATTGAAATATTGATCTGCAAGTCCCGAAAACAGCAATCATGCCTCATGGTCTTCCTCAGTCATGAGCATGCGAGGTCCGAAATACTTACACAAGGGTTGAGGCTAAATCAAGTGCCTGTAAGTGCCAGACATGAGTGTTGCGGGCGGAACTATTTTGAAGTAGTTCTGCCAGCAAAACTGGCTGAGGTTGGCAGATCGCAGGATCGCAGATTTTTTGATGGTACTAGAAGTTTTCCGTGACATCCTGCTGGATGCGGCAGCAGTCAGATCAGTTGACACCTTGCTGCAGTTCCACAAAGTCGAATCGTCTCCCAGCCCTTTCAAGATCTCCGTCTAGTAGTCCGATTGAACTCTGTGTTCATATTGCAAATATATCCCTGTCCAGCAAACCCAGCCTATCGCAAAAGTTAGCGCGGACCTTGCCGCGTATCTCAAATGTGCTGATTAGGAAGCCGGCCTCCAGACTCACCGCTGATAGTACTTGGCCACTGTAGAGAGTCATAACGTGCATCGATTCATGTCGTGATATGTACATACAATAATATGCAGAGACACCCCGACGTAATCTAAGGGTATTGAGGCACACCCAACTGATTTCATTGACGATGATCAGCGCTGCTTATTTGTCGCAGTTCTGCCGCAACCGGCAGAACTGGCATCCGGACGATACTAATGTCCTCCAACAACATCTTACTTTAGGGACATCGCGGTTTCCATGAAGTTATAAGATCTAAATTACATCTCTGCTACCCTAGAGTTCTGCCACCCTTTGCATGAGTTCTGCCGTGGACCAAGCACAACCAGACTGGTGGGCAAAACTCCCGGGTTGGCTCCGGTAACGCGGCCGTCAGGGATCTCCCGCGATTTTGCATGTCTTGGACTTCTGCTACATTTTGGCCAGAGGGTTCTGCCGGCAGTGCCAATTCCACATGGCAGAATGGCAGAGTCCTAACCACAACACTAGTTGCAGATGAACACAACGTGGTATGAATATCCATTATAATGAAAGAGAAATCAAGTTCGTTGCGAGAATGGTTGCGGGTATATACATGCAGATGCACTTCACGTAATCGTACAGGAGAAAAACAAAAAAAAAGAGAGAGATTCTGTAATCAAGAACATGAAAAAAGAAGCTGATAACGGATACGTAACACGTTAAATCCGACGTGTGGGCTCCTCTCGTGAGCTGAACTTCAAGAATCGAGCAAGCACATCTTCTGAGCCACGTTTGAAGAGTTCCACTCCTCGAGCAGGATCCCAGACACGAGATGCTCGAGAGGGAGTACCAGGAGACTTCCCTTCGGCTGGTGATGCTGGACCTAGAGACGATGGAGTTGGTGATTGACTGGAAAATAGTTGAGAAGGGGACGACAGTGGACTCGGAGTCGTACTCCTATCTGCTCTCGGCGTTGTTCCGCCAGACTGTCCCGGTATCTGCGAAGGTAAAAGGGTCTCCCGAGAACTCATCATAACTGGAGAAGCGGAAGATCGCGGTGTTGATACCTGCGAAACAGCAGGGGACAACAAGCCGCTTGGTTCAGCACCCGCGGCAACATTCATCACAGGTGGCAACACCCTGAGACTTGATGAAGGGTGCCAGTGCTTCTTCATAGATCCGCTATGCGTGCGCGCTTTCAGCGGCCGCTTTACAGCGACATCTTCCTCCGAAGAAACCTGCACACTTTGGGTGCACATTTCCTTCGTGTCCGTCTGCACTCCAAATGATCGGTATTTCTTCTTTGTGGTTGCGATGCTAGAACTGCGAGATCGTACCTCTGTCACTGTTCGCTTGCCGTCGTCCTCATCCGAGTCCATCTCATCATCACCATCGTGACTGCTAGCTTCTGACTTCTCCTCCCAGGGTTTCTTTGGGTTTTCGAATGCGGTTGCTAAGGGAGTGTGCCCTGGAGGGCGCGCAAGCTTCGAAGCAAACTTGTGGATACCAGGAACGCCATCCCACATGTTCCCGGATGTCAATGATGGAAAACCTGCTAATGGCGAAGGCATTGGCTGGTGTGCTCCAAACTCCCGGCTCAACTTGCGCTCAGGAGTGGATGGAAACGAGAGGCGAGACGGGGACTGAAAGAACATTGACCCTTGTGGGCGGGGCTCGCCCTCTGGGAACACACGTGTAGGAGTAACACGAGGGCGCTCCTCCCAAGGGAAGACACGCTTAACCTTGGTAAGGTCAGGGGTAGGTGGCGCAGCGCCACCCTCGGTGGCAGGCCCAGTGACATTGCGGTAGTGCCCTAGCTGGAGTAGCATCTGAGGAATCTCAGGTACAGGTGGTGGGCTGAAAAGTGTTTGGGGCGATGGGTCTCCATGGACCGGGCTAACTTCCGTACTCGTTGCATCTGTCTCAGAGGACATGCTCGAGGAAGACCTTGATGATGACCCGGGATCTTTGTTTTTACAGGGAGACTCATCCCAGATATTCGGGAAATAGGTGTCTCTTGGGATTGCGGAAGGCGTGGTTAAGGTCTTTGGTGGCGCTTCGATCGTAGCATCCCACGAGAGAAGGGGAGGAGAAGTAGGATGCGATCGCTCGATCCTTCGTTCTTGCAACGAAAGGGGCGACTTTGGTTGATTTAAGCGCACGGCTGACTTGGAGGACGAGGTGACAAAGTGGAGAGGTGTCGGAGGGAGAGATAACAGGCGCGATTGTGGCGCAGGAGGCACTTCATCGACATTTGGAGTTGGCAACGTAGTCCATCTTACAGGTGAACCCAATGATAGTGAACCTATTTGTTGAACAGGTGTTGTGGGTTCGGCGACTGCCTCGCTGAGATTTGGATCAGGAGGCTCAGGGGCAGTCTGGTGAAGATCATGATCCTCAGGCTTTGCGGGGCGTGGTCTCATAAGATCCAAACGCCCCTCAAGGGGCATGCTCTTGTACTCGCCCTCTCCTTTCAATCGATCACCAGACCGGAAGCCCATTATACCCATGCCCTGAAGGGCCAAACGACGTAAGACGTCGAGACCAAGTGGACCTCCACTTGGTGCTCCCGCAGTCTCTACCACCGCAGGGGAATTCCCCTCATCATCCCATGCAGACACGTATTTGCTGACAGGAACACCGAGATCCGGTGAGATGGGTTTTGATCGAAAGTGCTTGTCATAAACACTATACCACCGATCGACGAGCGAACCATAGTCGTAGGCTTGTTGAGGTTGCTTTACTGGCTCTGACACTGTAGACTGTTGTTCCATCTGAGATGATGGTACTTGGGTGGAGGATCCTGGGGCGCGATAAGGGATGGAGTGCCAGGGCTTATTAGGTCCGATGAAATGCACCACTGATATCTGGGAACCGAACCGTTCATATGCAGGGGCATACCTGATTCGTAATAAATATGTCATTAACCACACAAGGGAAAGGTGATACGATATTACTGACGTATAAGCAGCAGTAGGAGTCGTGTTGTAAGTGAAGCTAAGCCTATTCCAGTTGCCTCCCCTCCATTCATTCAAAATACCTTGATCTCCGCCGTCCCAGCTTCCATTTGTTTTCAGAAGCTCTTGAAGCTCCGTGAACTTATCTTCGCTAGGAGAGAGCACCATCACACCCGAGTTGAATATATCGGGCCATCCTACGTCAGGTGCCGCAGAGAACTCGTGATCAAGGTGGAATAGGTGGGATAGGGGGCGCAATGGGAGAACATCCGCATCAAGGAATATCACCTTGGAGTACTGCGCGAGGCGGAATACGTGTAGTTTTGTCAGGACGGTATCAAGGTCAGGGCGTCCTGCAATTAAATGAACATGATATTAGCCTAGCTATTCCCACTGTATGCGGGTGGCTGATGGAGAAGCTTGGACACGATGCATTCATACCCCACATCTGGGGCACAATGTGCACAATACAGAAACTGGCCTGGGAATCGTTACGGATATTCCGACAGAGAAGTTTTTCGTGCCCTCAGCTGATACCATTCAGACGCGACCCAGTCAACGCAGCAACGACTCACCCAGTAAATTTAGTCCAGTAGGATCGGATTGGCCTATAACCTCAACACCAATGACAATATCATATGTCCTTCTGAGTAGCTTGATTGTAGTGATATCAAGGGTTTCTGGTGTGACCATGCACACTGTGTCGTACTCGACCTCACGAGGTTCAGTTTGGTGCACATCCTTTAAGGCACCCGAAATGGCGAGGGCACCTGGGAGATAGGAATCTGACGTTACGAGAGTCACAAAAGCAAAATGAATGGACATGGTGAGGACAAGAAATGCCTTAAACGCGTCCACAAGGACGCGTCAGACGTATAACTTAGTGGAACTAGGTGAAAGAAATAAAAATACCAACAGAGCTTATCGTAGGAGAGTGAAGCTTTGAAGGTTTGCTCCAAACATGTTGACAAAGTTCACAAGGTAAATTATTTATAAAAATAAATAACACACGTCATATCCTCACTCTCTCCATACAGCACAGGGTTCGCCTAGACTTGAGTTCTAGCCCAACAAAACGAAGAAATGAGGATTCTAAACCGAAAGTACTAGCGCATGCACGATACACCGAATAGTGACAAAAATAAGCTGCGTGAGAGTTTATTCGTCTCGATTCTTGTGCATAAGACCTTGGCGCTCCTCATCTGCGCCATCTTCTTTATCACCAGATGTTCTACGCTCCCCACCACGCCGCTTCTTTGCGGCCGTCTCACCTTCATCGTCGCTTCCTATATCCTCGTCGCCGATCTCAAACACGACGTGATCCTCTGCCAGCGCTTCAGGTTCTCGCCGTGAGTTCACGAGTGTGATCTCATCATCCTCTCGGGCAACCGTACGTTGTTGAAGTGTCTCGAGATCATAATCCTCAGCATCTTCATCTTCCTGTGCGATTTCATCGGACATGGCAAGGCGGCGGTTGTTTTCTGATGGTCGCCAGAGGTACGCAATGCTCCAGAAGGTGAAAAAGTAGAGGAGGGCGAGGTAGCCGTCAAGGAGCCACCAACGGATTTTCCACGATTTCGCTGCGTAATCTACAAATCATATATATTCAGACGGATCAAAAATTGATTCGCGGATAATGACACACCTTCAGCTAGTCTATCAGAGAATGACATCGAAGAGATAACGAAAAAGACGGCGATGATAACTACAGTGCCGAGGAGGATATAATACAGGCGTTTGAACATCCTGAGCTTATATCTTTGCTTTCGCACACTGAGCTGCGTTATTGTACCTAAAACAGCTACATGAGAAAGCATGTAAGGTGAAAAAAATTGGACATACCATTCAACGAGTACAGGATCCACATCAGGAACCCACTCAACGTAAATGCCAGTGGTATGACGAACATCAACAGTATCAATGCTGACGTCGACTCGAGTTCCAGTTCAACTATACCCACGGCGTACAGTACTGATGACGACGGTCATTACACCTCTGATATCATGAAGAACTGAGCTTACCTCCGAAAACAAAGTGCAGCCCTGCAAGGATCTGACATTTGAGCATTGTGCGCCCCAGAGATTCGCGGACGACACTGAGCCCCAGTGATACAACAAGGAGCATAAAGAAGGAAAGGGCGTTGCGCCCCGCGTCCAGAATGGCAACTGCATAGGGTGAGCGACTGATTGACTATTCCATTGATCGTTCGTACCAACAAAAAGGAAGACGACTGACGCCGCGGTCTTCCCATGTGCGTTGAGGTATCGGTAGTATACTAGGCATGGTCAGTACTGAGGTGAGGTCATGAAAAAATGTCCTACCCCAGTTTGCAACCATTTCGATGACAAGTAACGCAACCAAGCTCGAGAGATAGTACTGAGATAAACATTAGAACACCCAAGGTGTATAGAGCATGACGAACCTGAATGGGTAATAGTTCTGTAACATGTTTATAACAGAGCCATGCCCACGCAGAGCCTGCGATGACATATACAAGGAACATGGCGAGGTAAAACTGAGTGTTGTGATGAGAGAGATGGCAGCAGACCACGCGTTCGGCTCACGTTAACTTTGGGATAGTCGGTCGCAGGAAGCTGTCCATCAAAAGTATTGCGGAAAAGAACGACGCCGTTGTATGTAGGATGAGACGGGACATCCGTAGATGCCTGGCGGGCAGTGGGATTCAATACCGTCACGGGCACGATAGCTGCGGCAGAGATAAGTCGGGAGAGACAAGACGATATAACTTGGACTTGCCTGCGCAATAATATCCTGTCTTGCGAACTTGATACTGTATAGGTTGTGAATATGCAACTGTCCCGTACGGGCTCGGGTTTAGGAGGTCACTCGATTGTCGAAGACTGTGGTGTAGGTCTCGTGATCTCCACGGTGAAGTGTAATTATCAGCAGGCGGAGTAGGGTTACCCTCTGAGCTTTCCCACAACCCTGATGAATCTGAGGATGCGCCGCTGGTCTGGTTAAGGGCAACGCTAGCAGTCCAAAAAGTAGTTTGATTTGCGGTGGTCCCGTCATCAGATGAGAATATGAATTTCCCGACATTATCATATGCACAGAGGCCAACTCTGACTGCGTCTGTTGTGCATACGTAGGTCTTCTGCTGGGGTATAATGGCTGAGTTCGGCAACAAATCATGTTGTAAGGGGTTACTCACGGGTAGGGAGTCATCCGTCGTGGAGGTAGTGACACCAAGATACTTGACATCCTTCCATTCATATATAACCATTGCTACCTGTCCTTGTGAAGAACTTTCATCAAACGTGACTACGACACGTCGTGTAAGTATCTGGCGAGCATATGTAGTGCACCTGCTGCGCACCGTTGATGAAAGTCGACTGGCTTGCCCACATTCCCGAACATACTTGGCGAGAATAGTCCGCGTCTGAGAACTCGAGCTCATATCCAGTTGCAAGGGAGCAAGCAAACAGAACACCGAGCGCGATCGCCTGCAGCTTCGAATTTTGGCGCATCCAGAAAGCGTTTGTTGTGGCTTGTTTCTCAAAGGCTTCTCGTCTTAAGTTAGAGTCGACTTTGTCCACAGCAGTTACTGCGCTCAGCTTCAAGTAATTAACCGGGAAGCACTGCTCCACAGCACCAGCGGCGAACCAAAAAGTTGATAGTCGTTCACCGCTGATTCAAGTATGCTCGGCGACGAAGAGGACGTTTTTGACAGTGTCACTTGGGAGTCCCCTTCAGCACCCTATCACGCCGATCACACCGTCCAACCGTCTGGCCCAGGCTTCAAGCAGAGTACGGCAGGGGCAGAGGATGAGCGGGGTCCACACGATCCAAAGTGGGAGGGATATCTCATTGTTACCGTCAAAGATCCTGTAAAGGAGCTTGCAGAAACTAAAGACGCATACGTCTCCTACCTAGTCTCGGCAAAGGTGCGTTGTAATATAACTCGAGCTCTTGTGCATAATTCTGAAAAATCTGCAGACCAATCTTCCAATCTTCTCTACTCCTAATCCTTCCTCTCGTCGACGATTCCAGGACTTTGTATTTCTGCGAGACCACCTTGTAAAGGATTTCCCAGCATGCGTAGTACCTGCTCTTCCCGACAAGCACCGGTTAGGTATATATTACCGTCATAATCTTAATGTTGTCTAACCACGCATAGAGTACCTGACGGGCGATCGCTTTAGCCCAGAGTTTATGGAACGCCGCAGACTAGAGTACGTATGTGTGGCATGCAGACGCGTTCAATTTCTCATCTTTGACAGCCTGCACCGGTTTCTCGAACGGATATCCCGACACCCCACCCTACAACGTAGTACTCTCGTTCGTGCGTTCTTTGAGTCGACAGAATGGGTACGTCGATCAAGCGCAGTCCAAACACTCCACACACCCCTGACACCTTCCAGCACGTTCATATGCATCAACATCTCGCACACCCCCCAGGGCCAGAACCCACACCAGGACTCATCGATAACATCTCAGACACCCTCCTAAACGCGTTTGCACGTGTACGCAAGCCCGATGAACGCTTTCTCGATATGCGCGAATCTGTCGATAAATTTGAGGATGGGCTTGTCGTTTGCGAGCGCCTCTGGAACCGCGTCCGTGGTCGTACAAACGGTGAGCCTACCTTGTAACAGCGTGAGGGAGTATCTGAGGCTGAACGAGGTGGCGGTCTTGCTCCCGGCGAAGATCTGACAGCGGATTATCACGATCTAGCCGTCGCCGTGCAGGGACTTGGTTTTCTGGAGTCGGGGATTACAGACCCATTGAGCCACTTCTCAAATACCCTGCTCGAATTTTCTGCATTGCTCAGACATAAGGCATGATGTTTCGATAGCATTCAAGTTATATACTTACCCCTTCTTTCAGACTCAAACGACTACTGACCCTTTCCTTGTCCATCTTCATTCACTGCTAACCTACTCCCATGCAAACCGTGCAGTCCTGAAACTCCGTGACCAGAAGCAACTTGATTTTGAGGAATTATCGGATTACCTTTCTGGAGTAACACAAGAACGTGATCGACTGTCTGCCGTTATCTCAGGGCATGCAGGAAGTACCGGGCTGGGGCTGAGTGCATACCTAAAGGACAAAGTGGATTCTCTCAGGGGCGCTGACGATGATCGGAGCCGAGTTGAGAAGATGAGAAAGTTGGATGTCAAGATCAAAGAAGTGCGTGCACCTACTGCAATATTTAATTGTCTGTTTTTCCAATCTCAGAGTTAGCTGCAAGACGCTGTAACAACAGCGCACGAGACATCAGATGCATTCAGTGACGAGACACTGCGAGAGCAGACTATATTCCAATATACGAAGGAAGCGGAGATGAAAGAAATGCTGGGGAACCTTGCAGACGGTGAAATTGAATTTTATCAGTCGGTATGTCGTTTTTTCAATCAGTCTAATACCCGAGTTCATAATTTGGTCTAGGCAATGGAGGAGTGGGAGCGGATTATACCTATCATCCAACGTATACGGGTTGACGTTTAGTGTTCACTAACATGATCTAATGCTTTCATATTCCGTTTTGCTGTTATCTCGCACATCATGCAAGGACTTCGTTCGCAATGTATTATTAGTAGTTTAAATTAGGTTATGATCAAGGATGTCAACTAGCTTCGGCGTTTCCTTGTCCTTCGATATCGTGCGCGGAATCATCTGGATCCTTGGTGGGTTGGAGCTTTTCTTCGGATTCTTGAACTGCAAGAGAGATCTGTGATACTGTGAATGACAAGCTTCGATCCTCGTCAATGTAACCTGCGTACATTGATGATACCTGTGTCCACTGCCCGAAGGAGGTGCAACTGGGCTTCTTCAGATGCCCCAGAGGTTGTGTGCTGACGATCTGCGGGCACCCATGGTGGGGGTTCCTTTTGCAAGCTAAACTGTCCGTTATAAACATCGAACTAGGATCCTTACATCGTCCTTGGAAGATGAGGGCACTGTGTTTTCCTTGAGTTCAAGGACTATTGCAAATGAGGCCTCATCTATCTCAGCTCAGGTGAGAAATCTATTGTGAGGGACGAAGAGAGCTTACCACCAGTGGGAAGTTCGAGAAGCCCCAGTTGAGACTCGATCATGTTCAGTTTGATGAGAAAGGAGCGAAAATACTGGCCGAGTTGCGCGGAAGACATCGCATCCTGCACGCTAGGTAGACGTTATTGCTTGCCCACGCAAGTGAATGATGCAGCGCACCTCGTATCTTTGTTATAGGACTCGACCTCGATCATGTTTTGGACTGAAAAGATGAAGCGCTCAAGGGCGACTTGGTGCCTGTCTTTGATGACGACTACCACCTTGTCCACATTACCCTGTTTTATCGCGAACTTCTTTGCAGTGAAGATGTGAAGCTAATGCTAAGAGCTCACAAGTACAAGTTCATCGGAAACAGCCTTGACAGTGCCGGAAATATATTCATTCAACGCGGGATGGCGAGACTGGAAGACGGGCGTGTCGTACTTCTTCCGTCGTACAAATAAATCTGCTGGGTATATTTGTCTGACGTAGAGGATAGTATGGATGGCGACTTCGACTAAATATTGATTAGATGGTGGTGATGGGAGTCGTGTTTGAACCAACTCACTGAATTCAGTTATCCCCTTCACTGCTTCTACACTCTATCTCTTCAGAGATTTCTAAGGAACACAGAGGATATCACTCACGATTCCAGGTCAGAGGTGTCTCCGACATGGCCTATTAGATTTTGGTGATGTGTATCGGAATTCGAAGTGTATAGTGTTTCCTTAGGACGAAAACACTTGACTTCAGTTCGTGCTCGGCTTGAAGTTGTGGAATACAGGGGTCGGTGGCAAGTACCACAGCCTGAGTTATACGTAGGGCCGTACGGTGTAACCAGAATCCAGTGCGTGTGCTAATCACGTGGTTCATGAAATCACGATTCACTCCTCCGAGAGACGCGATGTTAGCTGGAGGATTAATTAAGTTACTAAGGTTCCACATCTTTCGGTACCTAATCGTACCAGCGCCTGATTTAATTATTCCTTGCATGTTCTGTGTCCATCAAAGTAAATGCAAACTTATAGTCTTTTATGTTGGCATGAACTGCTAATCCTGTGTGATTCTGTTCTAATTTGATTTGTAGACTCATCTGTCACAGCAGCTAAGCATCACAGGACAGTAGATTTGAAACCTAGGTTTTTTCTATCAGAACACACCCCCGGCGGGGCCGACAAGTACTATAGATGCTATGTTAACTAGTCTTAGCTAAGTGGGTACAACAATCGATCTTGGACTCTACTAGTCACTGCGCAGGTTTGAAACTTGCTAAAGTTCAGTTTTTTTTTTCTGAATTGCCGAGTTTGACTCCTGCTGTCGTGAATTCTTTTCATACAGATGGGCCTCATCCCACAAAATCCCCTCTAAGTACTCAGTGATGACAGCTAATAATCTGGCACTGCATCCTCTGTCCAAACAACAATCAATGTAAAGACTACATAGTGTCTCTCGTGATACATGAACCAACAACTAATCATGTTGCATCCCTGACACGACCAGTGGAGACAGTATACAGACGAGCTGCGATGTTCATGCTTTGCAGTTCCTGGCGACCGTGAAGTTAGCAGAACTCTACCATCAATTGAGGGTGAATGCGAACCTGGAATAATAGTTTGGCAGCATAAGGAATATACAACTGTGAACACGCCGTCTTGTTTTTGCATGCACGGCACTCGAAGCTTTGCTTTTTCTATTTCACGGATATTAATAGGTGATGTCATCGGTCATGAAATATGAAGGTACTCACGAGGTTGGCGATTGCAGTAAGTCCGCAGCTGAAGATTCAAAGTGAGTCCACGAAACAAGGCCAAATGAACCAAACTTACATGTCGCAAACATGCAGGCGGTAGGCATCACTAGCCTCAAACAGACGCTCCTTCAGGAAACCAGCAACACCATGCGAAATCATACAATCACGTTCCATCTCTCCGAAACGAAGACCACCATCACGACTACGACCCTCCACAGGCTGGCGCGTCAAGATCTGCACGGGACCTCTCGCGCGCGAATGGATCTTGTCGTCCACCATGTGTTTGAGACGTTGGTAGTACGTAGGGCCGAGATAAACCTGTGCTTGGAGCTTCTTGCCTGTGTGACCATGGTACATGACCTCAAGGCCTCGGGACTGGTAGCCCTTCTGACGTAGGAAGGTCGATACGGACTCGACTGTGAGATCGGTGAAGGGAGTTGCGTCACCCTCGTTACCGATCAACGTTGCCACCTTGGAGAGCAGACACTCGACCAAGTGACCAATGGTCATACGTGAGGGGATGGCATGAGGATTGATAACAATGTCAGGGACAATTCCCTCGGCAGTGAAGGGCATGTCTTCCTGTCGGTAAGTGATACCAATAGTTCCCTTCTGACCGTGACGAGACGCAAACTTGTCGCCAATTTGGGGAATACGCGTCGACCGAACACGAACTTTGACGAACTTCTGGCCCTCCGAATTGGTCGTGATCAACACTTGATCAACGATACCATTTTCTGTGCTCTTCAATGGAGTCGAGACATCTCGCCTCGTGTGCGTCCGAGTACGTTGCCCAAGTTCCTCGCTGTCAGGGGGAATGGGTGCAGTTTTCCCAATGATGATATCTTCCCCAGAGACACCAGTACCGGGAGCAATTAGACCATCGTCCTCGATTTTGTCGTATGTGCCGTGCTTCATCCGCAACGTAGTATCACGAGTAGGTTTCTCGAACTCTTCCAGCTGCTGTACACCACTCTTCTTCTCCAGGTCCATATAACTGCGGTAGTATATACTTCGGAAGAGACCTCGGTCGATTGAGCTCTGATTCATGATGACGGAATCTTCTTGGTTGTAGCCACTGTAACAGAGAATCGCCACGATGGCATTTTGTCCAGCAGGAAGCTCTCTGAATTTCAGGTACTCCATGGAGCGCGTAGTGGCGAGAGGTTTCTGTGGGTAGTACAAGATATTGGCCATGGTGTCCATACGAACCAAGAAATTTGTGAGGTAGATGCCCATGGCTTGTTTGCCCATAGCGGATTGATAGGTATTACGAGGAGACTACAAACGGTCAAATTTCATACACAGAAAAATCACACCACTCACCTGGTTATGGTCAGGGAAAGGAATGATACTGGCGCAGACACCCAGAATCATGCTTGGGTGAATCTCACAGTGAGTCCAGGTATGCGCGCTGATCCCTGCCTTCAGCCGAGCAGCTGGGTCATAATCGCCGTCATTCTGGTGTGGATCGATACCCGCTGACTGCAACCTGGAGTTCTCGAGGTCCTCCGGAGTCATACTAATCATGACAGTCTCTTCTTCCTCCGCATCCAACAACTCAATGATTCCGTTCTTTACTAGCTGCTCCCACTTAAATTCCTCTCCGTCATCCTCGCGATAACCTTGGTTCAACCATTTGATATGCTTCTTTTGAAGGGCGAGTTGCTGGTTCTCGACAATAAACAGTGGTCGACAGACACGACCAGCGTCTGTGTATAACCGCAGCTCCCGTTCACGTATGTCGCGAACAACGGAGACTTCAGGACTGATATCGTCCTTCCTACGAAGTTTCTTAATTGTCTTCACGAGATTCGCGGGATCGCGATGTACACCCATCCAGACACCATTGACAAAGACCTTTGTACAAGGCGTCGACGAGTGCGCATTCTCCTCCAGTGATTCAAGACCCCACTCCTCCAGGAACTCAATGACGGGTGCGGAATAAGAACCGACGGAGATACATGCCATGAGGGCGAGGTTCTTGACGAGACCACAAGCCTGCCCTTCTGGCGTTTCGGCAGGACAAACCATACCCCAGTGCGTGTTATGTAATTGACGAGGTTTAGCAATCTTGCCCTCGCGACCGAGAGGGGTGTTGGTCCGACGCAAGTGGGAGAGAGTAGATGCGTAAGTGTACCTGTTCAACACCTGAGACACACCGGCCTTCGAAGACATAGCCTTCTTTTGGTCGCCCCAATTGCCGGTAGCGAGTGAATATTTGAGACCGTTGGTAATTGTTTGATGCTTGACGGCTAGCGAGAGATTGAACTCCTTGTGCGTCTCCACACACTATGAAATAATAAGCATAGAGAAACGTGCAACTAGACAGGTGACGTACCTTCTGGAGATAACGGTAAACATCCCTCGTCAACTTCTTGAACAGCATGCGGAATAGACCAGCAAGTAGAGGACCAGCCAAATCAAGACGTTTCTTCCCGAAATGATCACGGTCATCCAGCTCTCTCCGTTCAAGAGCGGCGAGGAGTAGTCTGTGGATCATGTATCCGAAGAAGTAGGCCTTCTTTGACTCTGAGCCCTCCGACATGGAGACGTGAGGAAGCATCTCCTTCTGCAATATCTCCTGAGCGTAGCGAATACGCCGCTCCCGCGACAAACCAGTCGTGGTTCCACGATTTCCAATAAAATCTAGAGCAACCTCGCGGTCTTGTATGACAAAACCGTCATCAATACATGGCTTGAGCATTTCAAGCATCTGGGCGTCCTGCATGTCATAGCAAATGTGCTCCAGGATGTCTCGATCAGAGATGACGCCGAGAGCACGGAAAACCACCCAAATGGGAATGTCGACACGGATGTAAGGGATGGTTGCTTTCATGACATTACCCAGCTGTGAAAATAAGATGAATGGGGAACCCGAGATAGTATTGAGCTGTGCTTACCGATCGCTCCTGATTTCTGTGAAACATTTTGACCTGGAATTGACTAATAGTCTTACCACCTTTCTCTACAGCACTCCGAATCTCGGCCAAGAAATTTATCGGTGATGGCTGTGCCTTGGCAAAAACATAGACGTGGTTAGTCGCCATACGCTCCTGGGCGATGAGGACCTTCTCTGAGCCATTGATAATGAAGTAACCTCCTGAATCATACGGACACTCGTTCAAGTCGTACAAGTCCTGATCTTGCAAGTCTCGAAGTATGCAGAATGTCGAGCGAAGCATGATAGGGACCTGTACATCAGGCTGAGGTAAGAAAGCACCCTCTCTTCATTGGCTTGTGACACACCTTGCCAATCCAGACCTTCGTGGTATCCTCGGGTGCCTCATGTCGCTCTGCTTCCCATAGAATCTCTCCAGGTGCCCCGTCAGGGTCTTCGCGCCCGAGAAGAACTCTCTTCTTCATCTCAATGTACAATGGGGCCGAATACGTCAAGTTCCGCAAGCGGGCCTCCTGAGGAAACACTGGAACCACGGATCCATCTGCTTCAGTGACAGTTGGTCGCGACAGGTAAATCTGGCCAAATTTGATCTCGTAGCGTCGCGTCATATCTGTGTCATGGCCAGTGTGTTGATCGGCCTGGTCGAGGATAAGATCCGCATTCTCGTCCACGAGTTCTTGCATGGTGTTTTGTACAAACTCATCGAAGGAGTCCAACTGCTGTCTGACAAGACCTTTTTGTTCGAAAAAGCTAGAAATGACAGTCCAGCAATCTTCCTGCGTTATCTCTTCAAACTCTTCTTCATCTTCCTCCATGGCATAGTTTGGGTCGTCATAATTAATCGACGGCTGGGAGGGCTCAATTTCTAGAGAGTGCATATCAGTCAGGACAAGGATGTGAAGGAAAAGTGAAGATTACCTTGGCTCATGATTCCGACAGAGAAGCGAGAATGCAATCAGAGTTGTTGAGTTTAGGACACAAGTCCTAGTAATTGTAGCCAATGCTGAATTGGCTTTTACGGTTTTTAAAAACACAGAGCCAATATAACGAGCAAGAGAGGGAAAACAATGAACTGGACGTCGACGTCGGTGAGCAAGACGCGTTAGTGAGCTTTGTTGACTGGTGTTGTTGACAAATACTCTGTAATTCTGACAAAAAACATGCCAGGACCGTGGATTGAACACGGGACCTCCAGAACTTCAGTCTGTTGCTCTCCCAGCTGAGCTACCCCGGCTTATGACGCCAGTCGTTCATCAAATTAAAGAAGGTAAACAGAACTTCAACAGTGTAATTAACCTTCAAGTCTTTACCTCAAAATTATAAGTAACTAGATATATCACCAAGAACCTCCTCCCCGTTGTCTTCCAGAGCGGGTGTCTGACCCGACTGTTTCTTTTGGATTGCTCCTTCATCCCCCTCAGGTTCAGCAAGTGTAAGCACAGGCGGCGGTCGTATCTCTGGAGTCGGGCCACTAAAGTCCTTTCCCGTCATTCGCGACAAGGTTTGCATATCTGGCCACAGCGTAAGCTCATTTCCTAAGCAGTTAGTCAGTGAGACTTACCATATGGTTGACGGTTGTTCAAACAGTAATTGATTCTTGCCGAGTTCTTCTTATCCTCGGCTTTGAACTTGTTCTTGCATGACTTGCGGTCACGACCAGGTAGCACATAAGATATTAATTCGTAGTTCTCGCCAAATTGCGATAACGCCTGCACGTGTACATAAGTAAATATCCTCTGCATGTACCTTATTACTTACCTCGTAGAATAACTCCGTCTCTTCAGCACTCCAGCGAGAACCCCGGAAACGCCTCCCATACGTCCCAGAATTCACAAATTTGGAGACGTCCGACTCCTCGACATGAGTGTAGTCTGCAGTCTCGTCTCCGACATTTCTGTCAACAAACAGAGATTCTTCATCGATAATGGTTTCTCCATTGGGCCCGATACGGATTTGAACGTTATATCGACTGGTGGCGACATCTTGCGAATAGTCAAATCCGCTACCACTCGTATCTCCGACCGCATGCTGGTTACCGTTTATAGGTACAGCACTGGGTTCTACGGATGTTGCAGCCTCATTTGTGACGGTGCTTTGATCAGGCGCAGAGCTGCTGTGGTCGGGTTGTGCAGTATCATCTTCATTTCGACCATACTTTCTCGCCTCCATAGAAACTCTCATTCGCGCTCTCTTTTCCCGATTGGTTTTTTTCCAGACCAAGTGGTTATCGACAATTTGAGCTGCTTTACTACTGACACGACCCCATCCGGTATCTTCACACAATGTAGCCATAGTCACGACAGTCGGATCTAAATCTTCTCCAGGGTCTACGCTGGCATCGTAGGGCAAAGATGGAGCACGAGTTTTGCGAGATTTCTTCGAACCTTCAGAAGATGCGCGAGATTGGGACCTACGTTTTCGGGAGCTGGATGCTTCTGAGTCTGGTTCCGCGGGAGTGGGGATAACTGAAACAGGATGTTCTTGGATGACAGGGAGTGCCGGCAGAGGCTGAGGAATCTGCACTTGATGATCTCGAGTAGTGGGAAGAGGTATTGGAGTGTTTATAGGCATGACAGGTCTCTGAGGAGCATGCACAGTAGAGATAGGGAGTCTGACAGGAATCACGATCGGCGGCGGCATGGAAGGAGATGCAACGGGGGGAGAAGGGGGCGTCACAGCTATTGCAGTTGGAGCATGTTGTTGTGACGAAGGCTGAATTGGAGGATGAGCTTCAGGGATTGAAGCCAGTGGTTTCGGTGCGTTGGCCTCCGCGGCGCGAGGTCGCGCTTTGGCGACAGGTCTAAAGACCGTACTTCCCTTTTCTATTACAAAACACAATGAACTTTCCGATGAGCATTAAGAAAGAAAGTACTTACGAACTCGCGTGCTCATAAACGTCTAGATCCTATAATAGATGCTATCAGTTGCTTCAAGTTCGCACTGGTTTACTAGGTTTTGCCAAACATACGCAAATAACGCCTCATGAATCGCAGCCAAAACATCCATTTGCCCGTAGCTCAGGAGCCTGACTGGGAGATAAACAACACCGAGCAAGATCCCTCAAAAATCAAAAGCGCAGCAGACAGGTCACTTTCTCCTCCTCTCTCATGTATCATTGTCTAATATTCCTGTAGTTTCGTCATCCTACAGTCCCTCAAGCAATGTATGTATAATAACATTTATGTTCAACCTACAGAAGACTGAATACTATATACAGCAAGAGAAAAATGGCTACGCTCAACATTCCCAAAATTTTCCAGCCGCTCAAGGGGAGGAAAGCCCGCCGATGCTATCCCTCCACCGCATACGATGTATAATCGCGGCAGGTGCACTTTGGAGATTGGTCCGCACATATTCACAGAAACGACCATATTTGAAGTACACTATCACCCCATCCTTGTGCACACAGCACATGGACCTACCTATACGCAGCAACCAGGTGCTACTAGTTCTGTCTCTGCGTCACAAGTATCGTCTTCTACTCCCCTCCTTTCGCCGTTACCAAACTCTTCAAGTATCCCGCCGACACTTATCAACCAAGTGAATGCAGCAGCCCTCTCAAATCCGACACTGGCCAACTTATTACACCTAGCTGCCTCAGGAAACGCATCCATGGACCAACTCAAAAACCTTGGCGTAACGATACAGCAACTCGCATCTTCATCCGGGGTGGACCTGGGTGCTTCTTCAATGCAATCTGCACAGGCGCAGAACACAGCAACAGCTGTGGCAAGTGGTGCAGCGTCGCCTATTCAACCGGTGTATCAAACCAAGGATTTTGATATCGTAATCGAATTCCGTGAGTGTTCCACAGACCGTTGGATTTTCCCTCGTGGTCTTGCTGTAGGCACTTTCACTCCGGTGCCGGGGTCAACGGGATCATATGGCGAAATAACACTGTCTACGCGTGTCCCGTTTGAACAACAAACTAAAGTAGTTTTGGAGTCTCAACCCGATGGACAAGTTCAGCCGAAGACACCAGAACCTCAAGAAGTGGTCACATTTATTTTCACCGGGGCGGGTGCTCCCGTATGGGATTCTGTATTACGTTGGATCGGCTCTGAAGAGAAGTTAGAAGAAAACCGCAAGATTCTCGAATCCATTGTGAGCATTCAGTCCTTGTGAAGTAGAATCCTTTATATATATATGATTCACCAAGAATAAACCTCGACGAGTTTACTTGGCACATAGAATAGCAGAGGGCTCTCTACTAGCCCAAATTCAAAATGTCAGTGCGCTGCAATCATACAGATCTTACTTGATTCTAACGGTTCACAGGCTGCAGTTCCTACATTCTCTACGAAGCTTCTCAGGTCAGCCGCAGAGAGCAGCAATAAACCAAAACGCAAAGCAGCACCTCGTAAACCTCCTCAGGCCCAGGCCCAGGCCCAGCCTCAACCTCAACCTCAACCCCAACCCCGGTCTCAGTCTCAGACACAGTCTCACCCTCCGCCTCCACCTCCACCTCAAAACGCAGGCCCTGTGCAACAAAGCGCAGAGCCAGCTCCACCTCCACCAAAGAAAAGGCGCCAAACACAGCCGAAATCCACGCCTTCGTTGCCCAAGATAGCTTGCTTTGCGTGCGGTCAAACAGATGTCCCTCTAATTATGGGTGGAAGTAGGTTTTTATACTTTTGCCATGGGGTTACTCTCTGACATCGATCACGATGCCTAGGATATTGCCGACCGTGTGTTGAAGCCGGCTGCGCTATCGATGATATACCGCAAGTAGGCAGTAGCCGGTACTCCTACCAATCCTCCGCCCAACACTCGAGGCAAGGCAGCACCCCACACACTCCAGATAATACCCGACATCAGTCCACTATTGTTTCAAAGACTCACGCGGTATTTGTTCCGTATCCTAAAGCATCAGCAACAGAGCAAACAAGTAATATACCGAATCCCGATGCCAAGCCAAGCTAAATATCATTAGCAAGATAACTTACGTGTACATCGAATACGTGTGTGTGATATGTGATTACAGTGATGCAAATGACCAGGGTCCAAGATCCTAGATAAATGATAGACAGAATAAAGGCTCAGGTAAGAAGGCCCACCGACCAACCCAACCACCAAGCAACCACTCTAAACTCCAGAATAATGATTCCAACCTCGAAGAGAACAGCAAACCAATGAATGAGGAAAGCGATCCATATGCACGGCATGATCAACCATCGAAAACCCGAATTGTCGATCCAGGGATGCCTGTACATGAATGTACAAAAAATGGCTGCGCGCATTTGCAGATAGGTGATGGCGAATGTAGACAAAAAGAGGAAAAAGAGTGTGAACCAGTGGCGGATGGAGCGGCGAGGAAACGACAAGATATCATACCGCTTCGGCTCTCCCGTGAACTCGTTCCGATACCAGGGTATAATGAGGAAATCTGTGATATCTTCGCCAATGGTCCTCCCATAATTCCTCCAAACCGGCGCAACGTTGTCGAGGATGAACGTCAAAGCATCCATTCCGAACTCCCAGATATGTTGGTATGGATCCTTGTAGCTTTCTTCTAGTGCGATGATTTGGGAGAGCTAGAAGATGGTCAGCAGGTATAGCAAAACTATTGATGATGTGGCTATACTTCTGGGTAAGCAATGGAGGTGTGCGAGAGGGCATTGTTGTACTCGTTCTTGACTTGGGTATGCAGACTCTTGACTTTGGCCAGAGCGCTAGCAACTTCCAACTGCTTGTGCGCCAGAGTCTCCCTCTTATGACCCAGTTTGCCCAATGTATCCATAAGCGATGATATGGGCTCATCGAGCAAGCTATCTGGCACCACATGTTTCTCGGAAACAGAAAGGTACATCCTGAAAATTTGTTGTTGACGAAGAATGCGAGTGTGTACGTCCTCAACGGCCCTCCATCCTTTCCGTTCCCGGGTCCCGCCAGTGACCGATGAAGGATCCTGATTAAAAGCGTCTAAAAGCTCTACAGGTAGACCTTGATGAGGAATACCGTGCGTATTGGCCATCCTCGCTTGCAAGTTGTCGTATTCCCGGACATCTGCAGCGATCCTTTGTAATTTCTGGCGTACCCGATGGTTCTGCGCCTTAAGTTCATCTAGCGTCCTTATCGGCCCTTTAAGCCATAGACGCCTTCGAAGGGAAAAGAAACGCTTACTGCAACTTCTTCTCATACTCATGCTCTAGTTCTTTCTCCTCGGCTTCCTCGAGCTGCTTTCGTTCTGGCTTCTTGGCTACGTCGGGGACAGGGAGGGACATCCGGTGAATTAGTCTCTGACGTGTAATTACTTGCGGTGGGGTGGCGAAAGCCTCAGATTCAGGCATGTTAGGTGGCAGTTCAATCCCACGTTCCGAAGGCGGCTCAGAGGGCAATGGATCCTCCATAGGTGCAGAAGTTGCCTCGTGTACATCCGACGTCTGGCCGGGAGCATTGGTCTCTGTTCCTGATTCACGGGGTGATAGTAGATATGATGAAGGCGCATGAGGCTGCCCCCGATCGCGCCTCTTGCGACGATGTCCCGTAACGCCAGCGAAAGACCCACTGTAGTCGTCCGATTGCGAGTGAATGATCGAGGAAGATCCTTCATCACTATCCACCTGCCGACGCCGTATCCGTTGAGCAAACGGAAGGTGCCGACTGCTAGCTGGTGAAAGTCCGCCTGGAGAGCTTTCACGACGGTAAGGAGATGTGGTAGATGCGATACTATTGGCAGGATCAGTGAGGGCTGGGATGACATGACGCAATCCTCGACTCTTTTCAGCAGCGCTCCTGTAATCGCCATCTATCGAGCTGCGCGTAGAGTCAATTCTAGGCTCGAATGAAATTTGGCCATCTGAGGAGCGTATTCTTCTGAGTGAATCTCCGAAAGAATGATGTAGCGAGGGGGAGGATCGGATCGGATGAAAAGGATATGACGGAAGGATTAGAGACACATCTGAAGGGAGTGATCCCCTACGAGCAGAGGTAGAATCGTCACGAATGATAGGCAAACTATAATCTATCCTATTGGATTTAACATATTCTTCCACGATCAAAGCCGACAGATGCCATTTCGATCGTTTGCCGCCATTTTTGCTAAATAGGTGTTTGAGCCAAGTGAGTGGCTCAGCGCTATCTAACCAGGTTTGCGCCCCCGGATCAGAATCGGCGTACCACCGCGCGGCTTTCGCGAGGTTGATGGGGTCCTCGTTCGACATGGAGTTATACACAAGGTTATACCTCCGTCCTAATTGGTCGCTAACAATAGCTGCCTTTCGGAATGTGGGCTGTTTCGCTTTCGATCTGATTCTAGAAATCCTATCTGTGCAGCAACGTAAGCATGTGATTCTGTGGCAACCGTCTCCAAGAGCTCACCCGCAAAAAGAGTGTCTTGCTTTTCCAATACGGCTTTGTTTGAAAACGAGGGTCTGTCTTTGCCTTTACGTTTTCCCAATGTCCAACGTTTTTCAAGTCTTTCTTCTTCAGACTGGGACCCAGTCCAATCCAATGTAGCACCTGCATTCGAAGAAAGGGGGACAGGGTGAAGGGGAACTGCCTGGACAGACGGGCTGAAGTCAATGTCCAGAGGAGGACGTGAGGGATGAGTGAAAGTCGGTGGAGAAGCTGGAGGAGAGTGTTGGAAAGATGTGTCCTGCCGCAGCTCGATAAAGGTTTGATCTTCTATAACAGTTGGCTGGGATGGGGTGAATGACTTGCGATCTCGTCTTCGAGATTGCAGTTCTAGGGCTCGCTGAACATCCTGGATAATCTTGGGGTCTGGATAAATATGTTTATGAGTAGTCACAAAACTAACAATCATTGTACTTGCCCTCGTGAGCTACATTACAATGAATGCGGACCGTCAGTGTTAAGATATAAACAGAAGCATGGGACTCACACAAGTCATATTCATCCGAGAAAGCTGAAGGTTCGAACTCAGCGACAAAAGGGTCCTTAAGAGCAGACAAGCCTCTGCTCTGACTCATTCTCTTAGACCTACGTCGTAACTCAACGCTGCGGGATGAAAATCTCTTCGAAGGAGATATCTCAGGGAAGATTCCAGGAGTGACATCTTTGGAAAGAAAACGACCGTTTCCGTCGCCTAGATCTTTCTGGTCTTTCATTGGTGAAATAGGAGGTCCAGGAGACCCTATGGATGAACGTGACGACTCTCCATGAGGTGATGCGGCAAGGAACTGGTCTGGAAAGCGAATACGAGGAAGGGGTGAAGTGTCGTGCTTGGGAGTTGATTGACTGAAGTTTGTCGATAGAGCAGGACCTGGGTCTGGTTCTGCCATTCACTTCAAGCAAGCAGCTGAGGACGGCGCTATGAAAGGATTCAAGTGCAGAAGCGGTTGGATGCCATTACGGCGAATTACTTTATATGGAAATAAGTGATATACACACATGCCAAGACATTTCCGTGTGATTATAGCGAGGGAAGTAGATACACACAGTACAATCTAACAAGATATCTAGGGTATATTTATATGTTCTAATGGATATACCATGTTAAGGAAGAACATTATGAGTCTAAAGCAATGAATATAGGGATGTGCCAGGGATATCATGCTCTGACAGCAGTTTTGCGGCGAATCTTCTGCGAAGTTGCCGAGCACAGCCTGTTGAAGGGATTGAAGCGGGCTAGCCCAGACGGCTTGGACTTTTCAAACGAAGAAACCTCGGGACCGCGGAAAGGAAGGCGACGAACCGCCTCCATTGAGACAGTGCGGATACGTTGTTGTGGAGGTAGATGTATCTGTAGAGCTAGAGCTAGACGTCACAGATGAAAGAGTTAGAATAATCCATGCACCAAGCTATGAGACGCACCAGTTGGAGGCAAAACATAAACGGGATGCTGGCGTCCATCAGAATGATCGTGGCTAGTTGCGTAGTTGAACGAAGATCGACGAGGATGTCGAGATTGGGGGGTAGGAGGCTTGGAGGAGACAGCGCAGACTGATGGACGAGGAAACGCTACAGAATCAGAATTGTGGTGGCGAGATTTTGGACCCGTGGTAGGATGTTCGAAGGGGACGGCGCACACTGGTGAACCAGGAACCGTCGCTGATTCAGATTTGCGATGGCGGAATTGGGGTGTGGTAGGATGCTTCAAGGAGACAGCACACACTGGTGGACGGGGAACCATCACATATTCAGATGTGCAAGGACGGGATTGCGGGCCTGTGGTAGGAGGCCTGAAGGACACAGCACAAACTGGTGGACGAGGAAACGTCCTAGAAACAGATCCATAATGGCCATGACGTCCAATCGACATGTTGCGCTCGCGATCGTGTCTCCTGTCGATAGAAGCACGATGCTGTCGCTCGCGGTCAACAGATCCACGACGCTCTTGTTCGTGATCAATAAATCCAGGGCGTTCTTGCGGTCGATCGAGAGACATACGACCCCTTCGTTCATGATCGACAGATTCATGTCGTGCACGCTTTCTGTCAATGGACGCGCGACCTCTTTGTTCGCGATCAACAAATTCATGCCGTGTATGTTTTCTGTCAATAGATGCGCGGCGCCCTCGTTCAGTGTCTATAGAGACGTGTTTGTGTTTCTTGTTCTTATGAGCGTGTTGCTCATAATTAATGGAACGCTCGACTTGCAGCTGACAAGCGTACTCTGGATTGCGCCATGAGATTGTACCAACACATCATGAGTAAATAAGATATACCTTGCTCTCTGGCTGCATTAGCCCAATCGTTCTGAACCTCGACATCATCCCACATGGATGAATACTCTCGGCTCAGGATAGGTGGCTGGAAGTTGTCTGTCGCGTGCAAGCCTGGCATTCGCTGTGCATTATGATGGCATGGAGTGTTTGCATCCTGTGTCATCGTGGAAGCACGCGGCCGGCGCGGGAGAGGTGGCTCGTAGTGAGCCTTCGCAGCGGTTATAGGAAACAGAAAGATAGATGATGACTTGGGGATGAGATGCTGAATTACAGAGAAACGAGGAAGTTAAATAGGTGAGCAGCACTGGCGAGCGCATACGCGAGTGGCATCCATTCACAGTTCTGAAGAGTGGTAATTCATTATTGGGTGGCGGAAAATACAAGCAATAGTGGCACAATGCATGGAAATTGACACAGACCTGAGAAGATGGTAGCACGCTTGTAAGGTATCCGCAGTGGCACTGGTGTCCACAGTGGGTATCCGTCGTGGTTTCAACAATGCTCACTTCAATGCATAATAAGCAACTCTATTCTGATTATTTCACACTGTACGAGGTGTGATGAGTCACTGGTGGAGAGACATGGCGAGAGAACGATAAACTATAACTCGCAGGAATCACCCTGCAGTCTTCGTCTGTACAATGTTCATTGCCTTGGTAGTGGGCGGTGGTGATTTTGAGCTCTTCGCTTCAATACAAGTCGCACCAACATAGCTGTAGTGAAGGCAGAGAGGGAAAACCTATTATGGTTCATCAGTATACCGATGGCATACGTGATTTCGAACCGGTACTAACCAGGTAATAACATATGAAAGGTGGGCGTTGCGAACGTCAACAGAAGCTGCGCGTCCAAGTGGTATACCTTTACTCAGGCGCAACGTGGCGTCCTGAGAGGAGCCTTCTGAAATCTAGTATTGGTAGCCGGCACAATGTGGACACTCGAATGCGTACCATAGATTTGTTCTACAAATACTGGCTGTACATTTTTTGCTTCGCCACCAGCGTAGTCTGCCATGGCATCGACGTCAGCCCAGTACCACGTTCCTTCAGTTGGTTTGTTGTCTGGGGTGAAACTGTTTCGGGTATGCGATGTCCTTAACATCCCCAATACTACGATCTCGCCTGTTTCCCCTCGTTCGAAGGTATCGGCATCGGCAAACTCTTTTGCAACGAAACCGCGGTCAACGAGGACGGTTGATCCGTCAGACCTGATCAATGGTGTGACGACATGATATCCATGCGAGCCCTCCCGGACGCGAGGACCGAGAAGCATCGAGTGTTTGTGATCCCATCTACCGCGGAGTAACACTCGACGATATACGAATTCTGGCACTACAGAGAGACTTACTCGACGATCTACTCAGCCTCGACTCAGTAATGATGCCGGAATGTACGCACTTTACTCGCTTGGGAAGAAAGATAGGTTCTCGATGGAGTTTCTCCTGAAGCTCGTCTATCAAGGCCACTTTCCATTGTAAACGTTGCATCTGCCAAGTTCCCAAGGCGAAGGTGAAAACTGGGATAAATCCTAGCACTAAGATCGTTGGGCTAAACCAAGAATTCTTGCGTGCGGTATAAGATTGTGCTGCTTGTGAGTCCCCGCTATGAAGCCATCGACGCGTATTAATAATCGTATCCCGCCATTTTGATCTTGACGCAGCCAACCGCTGCAGCATGTTTGTGAGAGAAGCAGGTTACGGTCTACAACTAGTAGTAGTACTGGTAAGTAGGCTTCAATTCCCACGGCTGCTGACATGGCTGCGGGGCTTTCTCTCGCCAAAGTTCATTCACTCCTTCTCTTCAATCTAATTATTGACATTGGGCATATATGTATGTTGAACCAATCGACGGTTTGAAAATGACTCACAAACTAGATCATGCAGGTCTACCAGGCGACGTCCGAACTTCGATATTGATGGTGACGAGGTTCACTACCCTACCAGGCCGGTCGACAAGGACAAGGCAGAGAACGAGCTTGTGATTAACATCAAGAAAGCAACAAGCCCAGAGGAGTCAGCTCCGAAGCAGAAACATGTCCGAAGTACGTGTCTAATCTTCTATTCTCAATCAGCTGTCTCGTTAATTTCATCAAAGAATGTATCGTCTACACTTGGGATTACCATAGCTCAATATCTTTCTGGAGTGGTCTACGGGTGCAACCTATCTTGTCCGACGAAGTCCAAACTTTCAAGGCTCTCATTACTGTACATAAAGTATTACAAGAAGGCCACCCTGTGGTGTGTGACTTACTCGCCGATGGCCGCCGGCATCTAACTATCGGTTCTCCCTCAGACGATCAAAGAAGCTCACGGCCAAGCGGGATGGTTGGAGACTTGCGCCAGGACTGTTGCCGCAGAGGGTCAACGCGGTAAGGCTTCTGTTTTTGAGTCACGTATGTCATGTGACCCTGTCCATAGGTTATGGACCATTAATCAGAACTTACGTCCAGTTTATTCTGGCCAAATTGCGTTTCCACCGCCTGAGACCAGAATTTAATGGATTGTTCGAATACGAGGAATACATTTCGTTGAAAGGTATCGATGACCCCAATGAGGGGTGAGTATTCACCCATTGCTAGATGTTCATTCATGTCGACAACTTCAATAGTTATGAAACCATCTCAGACCTCATGGGCCTTCAAGACCAAATCGAATCATTCCAGCGGATGGTGTTTTCTCACTTCAGGCATTCTGCCAATAATGAATGTCGTATCTCTGCACTAGTGCCCCTAGTTAAGGAAAGTTGGGGTATTTATCGATTCATTACAAGCATGCTTCGCGCCATGCACCGAAGTAAGGATATCACAGCTACGTGTCGTCAAAGCTCATCGACTTTTCAGGAACGAATGACCACGACGCACTGGAGCCCCTCCGCCAGCGGTTCAACTCGCAACACCATAATTTAAGAAAATTCTACTATGAGTGTTCAAATCTCAAATATTTGACTGGCTTGATCAATGTTCCTAAATTGGGTCAGGTACGCTATGAAGGCTCCTACCACATCCCAAATTGATATCCCGGATAGGAACCTCCGAACCTGTTGGATACCGGAAGTGCTCCCGACCTCCCTGCGAGACCCAAAACTACTACAGCTTCGCCAGCTCCTCCCTTAGCTGCACCTTCACCTGCACCTGATGCAGCTGTTATTAATGAACAAGCCCGTATGCTCAAACAATATGAAGACCAGCAGACTGCTTTACGTGCACAACGTGAAGCTGAGGAGCGTCAGAGGTTAGACCTCGAGGCACAGCAGCAGCGCGAGTTTGAGCAACGGCAACGGGAACAGGCAGAGCGGGAGCGCCTTGCACAGGAGCAACTTATGCAGCAGCAGATGATGCAGTACAATAACCAAGCTGCTCAGCAGGTCAGTGATTATGAGCGCGAGCTGCTGGCTATGAGGGGGCAGTACGAGCGGGACCAACTACTTCTGGAACAGTACGATCGAGTAAGTAATACGTGTGACTTATGTTCCACGTACTCATAAATTCGATAGCGGGTGAAAGCGCTGGAGGGCGAGCTCGGCGGAGTAACGTCCAATATTCATGCACAAATGGCATCGAAGGACGAATTAATCAAGCAACTCCAGGATCAAGTGACCCTTTGGAGGAACAAATACGAAGCATTGGCAAAACTCTACAGCCAGCTACGGACTGAACACCTGGACATGCTTTCGAAGTTCAAGCAACTGCAACTCAAAGCTAATTCAGCGCAGGAGGCTGTGGACCGCATGGAGCGTATGGAACGCGATCTGAAGGCTAAAAACATTGAACTCGCTGATATGATTCGCGAGCGTGATCGGGCACGCTTTGATATCGACCGCCAGAAATCCTCACACAAAGACGAAATTGACCGCCTGCGCCGCGAGATCAATTTTGCTAACGAGCGCGCCGAGGACGCAACACGCTCCAAGAGTTCGGAAGTATCGAGTGTGTTGGGCAAGTATAACCGTCAACTCACAGAGCTTGAGGACTCATTACGGGTATGTTATAATCATCCTCTCTGATTTCTCTAACATTTTTGTTACAGTCTAAGCAAATGCAAATCGATGACCTGCTTGTAAAACTCAACAACGCTAGTGGTGACATGGAGCGTTTGAGAGATGAGAAGGATCAAGAGATTTTGATTCTTCAAGAGGGTATGGATAGCACCATTCAATCGCTTTCTGAAGCACAGCAGGTCTGTTTGAGTCCCTCCATTACATTTACTGATGCTGATGACATCCTTGCAGAACCAAGGTCTCAGCGAAGAAGCAACGAATGCCCAAATCGACACCCTTATTCTTGACAACCGAAAGAAGCTCAACCAGGTCATCGGTTCGTACCATTCAAGCGCTACATGCACCTCATAACAAGCTCACTCGTGTTGCAGATTCAATCTTACAGGCTTGCGTGCAGAAAGTCGATGACGCCATTTACGAGCTTGAATCACCAACTCAAGCTGGCAATATCAATTCCACGCCCGAGTACACGTTGTCAATGATCGAGAAGGCTACAAACAACGCCACGGATTTCGCGATGGTCTTTAATCTCCACCTCAGCGGCGATGTCGGAGGGGATTACGTCGACGTCATTAAAGGCGCCAATGAGTTCGCGCAGGTCCTTTCAGATGTTCTCATCAACTGCAAGGGTGTCACACGACTCGCTAACGACGATGATGCCTCGGACAAGATCGTTGCAATAGCTAAGAGCGCCGGCGATGTTGGCCTGCGCTTTTTCTTGAACTTGCAGTCCTACAAGCTTGATCTTCTGCAACCCGCACAGCGGAAGGAAGTTTCGATGCGCAACAACAGCGAAGCGAGGACTGCCCTTGCCCGTCTTTCAGAAGTCGTTGACACGCTCATACCCAAAGGTACCAAGGGCGGTGCTTTGGCACGGGCCAATGGTGACATCGGTGACATTGTTGAGCACGAAATGCAAAGCGCTGCAGCAGCCATAGAAGCTGCTACTCAGCGTTTGCAGGAGCTCATGTCCCGGCCCCGCGACTCCGCACGGTTCAGCGCAGTTGATTTGCAAGTCCATGATTCCATCCTGTCCGCCGCTATGGCTATCACAAGCGCCATCGCAAGACTCATCAAAGCTGCCACAGAGTCTCAACAAGAAATCGTGGCACAAGGCAAGGGCTCCAGCTCAGTCCAGCAGTTCTACAAACGGAACAACAGATGGACGGAGGGTCTTATCTCAGCTGCTAAAGCTGTGGCATTTGCTACCAACCTTCTCATAGAGAGCGCGGATGGTGTGCTGTCAGGCACACATTCCCTTGAACAACTGATCGTGGCCTCGAATGAGGTAGCGGCAGCTACCGCCCAACTCGTTGCAGCCTCCCGTGTCAAGGCCAACTTGATGTCTAAGACTCAGGAGCGCCTCGAGCTTGCTGCAAAAGCGGTGACAGAAGCATGTAAAGCGCTTGTCAGACAAGTGAAGGCAGTTTCTGCGAAGCAGGTAGTTGAAGAGAAGATGGACTACAAGAACATGGCTGTACTGGAGTTCAAGAGACGCGAGATGGAGCAGCAAGTCGAGATTTTGAAACTGGAGAAGGACCTTGGCGCAGCGAGACATCTTCTAGGCGCGATGAGGCGTGCGGGTTATCATACTGATGAAACGGACTGATGGATGATCGGGATATGATGTACCACTTAGATAGTATTCTTCTAATTTTTTGTTTGTGGAATTGCCAGGAGGATCCGCGACCCAAATATTAAATGCAACCACATAATTCAATGGTTTCGTTTGCCATTGGTCGAACACTCTTACCGCTCTAAAAAGCGAAAACATGTGCCTAGCAAACGACGGTAACACAGACCGTTGATATAAGTGGTTGTTAGGGGTAATGACGAGGGAGCGAAATGTAGTACGACTTAAACTACTAAAACAATGTGTTGAAATGTCAGTATATTAATATTCGAGCAGTAGTGTAAGTAGCGTAAGAATAATGGACTGAATAATTGATCGGTTTAAAAGAACGTGTCTATCGGGAAAAGGGCTGCATCGAATGGGGATACAATCCCCATCTTCGTCAGTCGAAGTCCCGGGAGAGATCAAAAGACTCTTTGCCGCTGTCAAAATCCAGGAAGCTGCCTTCACAACAATTAGCGTCATCTGCAATGTCCAGGAAGGAGGGTTTCCTAATTACGGATCGCTGCGGTACCGTTGTGTCGCCCACGAGCAATGGCATTTGAATTGCAATTGCACACTTTGGGCGCCGCGGCGGGGGCGATAGAGGGATGAATGGGACATTGCTTGATCGTCTGCTAAATAGGTCTTCATGATACATCGTTTCAGCGGTATGTGGACGAGCTCGTGGACGGTGTGGGGGCGATAGACCAGCTTTGGTAGATGATAATCGGGACGTCGACGTTGAAGAAGCCGTTTGTGCAGTGGAGGGACGTGGAACTGATGTAGGTGTGGGGCCTTTGGAAACATTTGATATGCTGCGAGTAGGAGCCAAACGCGGAACAGACGACAGAGCCGTCTTCAGGCCTTCTTTCCTGTACATAGTACCATACATAGGCGTCGATGCAAACGTGGCACGCTGGGGATTTCGTAGAGCCTCTCCGTACTTTGCGTCAAATTCACCCTGCACAATTGCCTCCATCTTCAACATTTCCGCGGGGGACATAATATATTGCGGGGAAAACTCCGCAGCTGGGTAAAATATGTCCGATGCAAGCGGATCTGAAGAAGGCTCATCGAGCAGGGATACAACACCTCTGGGCGATGCTAAGTGGGAGCGTCCTGCTTCTGTTGGAAGACTGAATACCGAGCGTAAATCTTCATCTGTGATTATTGTTGACGGTTTCCTAGAGCCTGAAAACATACGTTTTCGCACGACAGTGTGAGGATGTGGGAGCGGTGGTATACGACTTTCAGCAAATAAAGGATCGTAATCGGATGGTGTGGAAGGGGAGGCTGGCGTAGACGTAGGGGATGTGTGAGCTTGTGAACGATGGAAGGAGTATTGTTTTTTCAACCCCTTGTCTCCTTTAAAGAATTCTTGCGTACCGCCGGAGCCCGATTTAGCCTTTTGCAGGGTTGAATGCGACATAGACTTCTTCAGCTGGTGGAAAGCTAGCGGTGGTGGAGGCGATTCTGTGGTGTTCCTGGCATGAATGCGGCTCGACTCCTTTACCAGTTGATGCTGAGTTCCGAAGTCATGATCAAAGCCTAGGCTAATCACTTTATAACGTTGATTATTAATGTCCTCCATCGCCAGGTCTTGGATTCGCCAGGTGGGTGAAGCACACGATATGCCGGAAGAAGAACTCCCATCCGCCGATAACGGGAATCTATCTTCGGCACCGTCGTCGGCGGGGTCGGATGTGACGTGTGACATTATAGGAGGTGGGGGAAGTTCACGAGCCGGAGCAGGACGAGAGGTGGATTGCTGACGACTGAGGGTACGAGAGCGAACGTATACCTCGGTGGAGGGAGGAGTGGATCCTTTTCGAGGCTGAGACACGGTACTCGCAGCCTGGAACGGGCTGGGCGCTGTATAGCCCCCTCGACACATTGTGGATCGTACAGCCACAGCAGGAAAATCTGGGGAACCTTTGTGACTTTGATCAGTCAAGGTTACCGCAGATGATTGCTTTGACAGCGGAGGTTGAAAGGGTACATCCAAAGGACTGCAATGCACAGGGCCTTCTAGGATTTTTTGACTGTCTATTATCTCGTTTCTCATGAATGTTTCTCTACTGGACGAGTTGAGGACGAAAATTTCTGCAAGAGCAAAAAGTTCCTACCTAGGCGACGTGCCCTGACCGTCTGCTATAGGAGAAGGCCCAGTAGATTCCAGCGATGGTGTCGCATTGCGACTGTCACTGTGAGACTGTGAGGACATCGAGAGATGTGATGGATGTTGCAAAAAATCGACTTCGTCTTTATTTGAAACTACACCATGTGCTGAAGTGTTGGAGTAAACAGACATGTTACCCCGGTCTAAGATGCTTCGGGGCACAGAGATACCGCCTGATGCGAAAGGATCAGGGTCCGATAGTGTCAAAACTGAGCGGGGAAATGAAACACGATCTTTCTGGACATCAGGTGGGGTCCTAGGTTCAAAGGAGTCGTCTCCAGAGCGGATAGTAGATGAAATAGATTTGGCGGGAGGTCTATTAGTGTACTGGTCAGGATTCGAATAGACTGTAGGGGCAGAAACGAGGGGTGGTACTGGAGAATCAGGAATAGCTAAAGTTGGACGCGACTTTTTGGACTTTCTGCCCATTACAGACGCAAAAGGGATGAATTTGAAGCTATCAGAGGGCATTGAATTCTCGACATGCACCGGGAATTTTTCAGTTGGTACTGCTGAGCGGCCAAAGTCATTGGAAGTAGGAGATTTTGGAGTTGTGACACGTTTTGAAAACCAATGTCGAGCGGAAGACATGACGAGGAGTAAAAGAGTGTGAGGGCTTATACCCTGGCAGCGTATAAATTATACAGCGAATCCGTCCTGAGGGGTAATAATCTTGATTGTTAGAATACAAGCAGACTTGAACTGAAAAGGACGGAGGACATTAAATCCCAGTGATACACTGCTGCTTTGAAGTGCTTGCTGGAGCAGATGTGAAGGAAAGGAAAAACCAGCAGGCAAGCAAGCAGGCAATCAAAACGTTTGATTTCCGTAGATACCGTGTAATAATTCGTCGGACAAGCGGATGCAAACGGACGCTTTGACTTGAAAGCAGATACGTAATAAAATCATGTCACACGATCATGTGTTGCTCAGTTTCTTAGTAGGACACCGTGCATATAGTAAACTCTCAGGGAATACGCCAGCACTTCATGGTTCTAGTGCCCCGTAACACACAAGGAAGACTTCGATGTTAGTCACAAGTACGAAGATAATAGGTCTAGCTTAGATTTATTGCACCGATTCAGCGAATGACATGATGTGTAACCTCTTCATGTACTAGTAGTACGAGGGTATAGACCTGTGAGAACGTGGCAACCAAGTTCATGAAGTAATTAGCCCTGGGAAGTGAAATGAAGTCACAGACCTTTCGGCTCCCGTTAGTGCTTTCGAGCGGCTTACCGCGGTCCCGATGGTCATTTAAATTATAATGAGCGTTAGAGTGAAGTTCACATACAAAGCACCAATGAGCAAGCCTAACGCCTATCATGATGAGCGAACCACTCATGATAACTGTATAGAAACACGTCAAGCCTGGGTAGAATTTTGCGACGTCGTCTGATAGCCAATATAAATCGGACCTGAAGTCGCTAAGTAGTACCAACCGGGATGATCCGTGCTGACCTTTGATTTGGCGAGGATAGAATTAATGACAAGCTATAACAAGGTTATCCGAGTAGAGTGTGTCGCAGAGAATCGAATCGAATGTATAACTTAGGCTGTGGATCACCCCTCGCCTCAACCCAATTCCGCCCAGACATCCTCATCATCACGCTCGTGTACAGCCTGCGCAGCCCGTGGCATATCTGACATGCGAGTGGGTTGTTCGTCGTCCTGTGCATCAAATAATACTGCATCTTGTACAAGTGGTCGACCCAGTTCTGGATCATCATCTTGATTGTCATCTTCCAAATCATAGTCGAGACTACTATAGCCTGCTCTCCTGATTGCGGAGATATCGATTGGCTTTGGCCTGGAAAATATGGACTGGCCGGACCTGTCTTTGAGGTTAATGTACGATGCGTAAACTGAGATTTGAAACACACTGTCGCATGACCGCCGCTAGACGGCCGAATTGTAGGACATTACGTGCAATAAGCAATAGAGTGTCCAACAACTCCTCTTCCTTACTCCCTGCCCCACACCCCGCAAATGTTATGACCAGCAAAGTGATCGCGCAGAATAATGTGAGTATCAGATCCAATACATTAAACGGTGATCTCCAGAATTGCTGCTCGTGTCAGGTCACCTCGGCGACCGAAATTCAAACATGAACAAATACGCACCCGACCAAACGCAACGAAACGCACGCCAACCTCCAGGATCATGCTCGTGTTAATTATTATCTCCAAGATATAAAACGACAACCCTGGACATCCGTCCGACAAACTCAGCACGACGGTTGTCACGGACAGAGCCGCCATGGACAAGTAGAGAAATATGTACGTGTGCGAGTGCACAAAGCGATTCGCAATTCCGCGGGTTATTTCTTTGCGGGTTAGCGCATAAATGGATCGTGTGGGACTACAGGTATCAAGCAATACATGAGCAGACTAGAATATGCGTAACTTCAGCATACATACACAGGTTGTGCTGCACCGTTCGAGGTGTCATTCAAAGCATCCGACTCCGCCGACTCGTACACGTCGGGCATGGTTGGCAAAGCAGGCTTTATGGTTGTGGACCTTGTGGTATGAGGCTCATATTGCTACGTACCACAAACAGCAACCGAGAAGAATACGCAGTATACCAAATAACCGCAAATAAAAGTGTTGTAAGCTCAATACTCTTGGAGCGTCGGACTGATCCATTCGGTCCTTTGCTCATCGCCACGGAACACCTTTCATTCAACCTCGTATTAAGAAAAGCTAGCAAAGATGGGTGGTGGGGACTTGAACATGAAGAAGTCTTGGCACCCGCTCCTGCTTAAGAATCAGGAGCGGGTCTGGCTCGAGGAGAAGAAGGCTGTGAGTGCCAAATAGTGCTTGTGGGATCATCTTTGACTGATTCTGTTTCATAGCTCGAGGAAAAGAAGAAACTTGACCAGCTGCGCAAAGAGAAGGAGGAGGAAAGGCAGCTGCAGGAACTGCAACGTTTACAAGAAGAGCAAACAGGAAAGAGAAAAACTGAGAAGCTAGAATGGATGTATGCGACACCTGCGACTGGGATTAATCAGAACGCAAACGATTTAGAGGACTACCTGCTGGGTAAAAAGCGGGTTGACAAGATCTTGACGGCCGATGAGAATGCACAGGTATGTTATGATGTCTCTATGGCTTTCATTTACAGATTAACAAGTGACTTATGTAGCTTGGCGCATCTCACAAGAACTTCATCGCCATTCAGAATGCTAACAATGTTCGAGACATTGCTGCCAAGATTCGTGAAGATCCGTTACTCGCTATCAAGCAGCAAGAACAGGCTGCATACCAGGCACTTATGTCTAACCCCCTCCGTCTTCGTGAAATGCAGGAACGGAATGGTATAAAGCCAAAGAAAGATAAGAAAGAGAAGAAGCGAGAGAAGAAGGAAAAGAAAGAACGGCTGGACCGATCACGGTCAAGAAGTCCTGTAGGGGAATACAAGAGGAATGATCGTCGGTACGATGCTGACGATGACCGCCATTATCGGAGACAAAGCAGAAGTCGTTCCCCTGGCTACCGCAGAGGTCGTGACTCTCTCGACGACGGCGTCCGAACTTGGCCACGCTCGGACGAATCAGACGACAATGGCTATGGGCGTCGCAGAAGCATCGAGCGTAGTGGCAAACGAACAGAAGACGATAGGAAACGGAGATGCAGTCCTAGTCCCCCCCACCGTAACCCATACCCGAAGCGTTCACGCTATAGCCCTCCGAGATCTGATTCCCGCCCCGGACCTTCCGCCAAGAAGCAGCTATCCAATGCCGCGGAAGACCGTGCTGCAAAACTAGCCGCCATGCAGTCGGGTGCCGCAAACATGGAGGTGGAGCGGCAGCAGCGGCTCATGGCACTGCTTGAGAAAGAGAAGGCTGACCTGGAAGCGGAAGAGCGAGCCCGCGCAAAGTCAAAGGGCATGGGTGGTTTCTTAGGTCAAGAACAGAAGAAGGTCTTTGGTGGCATAGGTGGTTTAGAAGACAGGCTTAAGCGGGGAAGAGGCGGCCTGGTTGCCGACGCGGACTGAGATTTCATCGTGGTTGGTGTATGTACTTTTGTGTCTTGTAAATGATCTGCTAAATTATTGTACCCATATTGTTTACTTGTTTTTTCAATAGCTTCGCTACTCCACCAGTTCCCTCCGTCTGACTATATATGCAAAAGTCACCGGTTGAACACTCGTTGGCACTATAGCAACACAATCGTGACCTTCTAGGTTGTCGCCGTGAGGGAATCCGAGGGACAGCTGCGCGCGAGGTTGAAGACACCACATTATGAGATTGCTACAGCTGGTGACAATTGCCCTTGGGCTGGAGAATTTCGTTGCGATTATGTATCTTTCCACCAAGTCATCAACGCTCTTGGACTGGACAGTATGGTCAGTGGTCATTGTCATTCCTACTCTTACACAAGGATGATAATCTATTGTATCAAATATAGCCTCGTGATTGCAGTGCTTCTACCAACCCCCATCGAGACGGTTGCTACTTCCGCCTGATCTTTTCCCTGTAAAGAATGTCAAGTGACATCGACCTCTGGCCCGCGATGATCCTCTCGGAATTTCTCTTGTCGACACATTGCTTGACTTGACTGCATTTTGAGGCCAAGACTTCTACCTTGTCGTATCTTCAGCCCTTTTGGCGCTGCTTAGGACAAGTGGCTCACGAGGAGTGCATGATGTAACGACCACCTCTACACCTTCGGCGAGATCTGGCGAATCACACTCTTGGAGCACCATTATCTGAGCCTGAAAAAAATCCGTTCCGTCGCTCTTACAAGCGCTGGTGGTGCAAGTGACCCGACATAGTCAGCAGCTAGTTTCTTCCGTTGATCCCAAAACCGAATTGCAGACCCTTGGCCGCTCCGAGACGCTCTGGTACCGAGTTGCAGATATATCTGACATCTTTGGAGATTTTGAATGCGAACTGGGCGTCTGGCGTCAACGTGCTACGAGGTGAAGAAGATACGCGCAAGATACAAAATGACTTGTCATATTGACTTTGTCACTTTACTTCGGCAAAGCACCGCTGTGATGCAAATGGGCATGTGTTTACGGCAACTTACATATTGCCCTACTGATAAACGCATACATAGGTCACGCGGTGCATCAGATTTTCGTCAATTTGTTGACATTCTGAATCTCGCCGGACGCCGGGGACTATTTACCTCGAAATCTGGTGTAGTGTCATGTGCAACGTCATGCGTCAGTGAGTGCTATTCTGTCATCCCAATTTCCCGACCTCGTGCTTGCCCAAGACGGAGCGGTTGATTCAGATGCTAGTCATGTTCGGTACCGTGACTTGAGTACGTACTTATGTCGTTTAGCCATAAATAGTGGGCGGCCTTGGTAAGTCAGGGAGTCCCTTTATCATTCCGACCTGAAGGCCTTTATCATAGATCTAGTGGGGTGGTTAGGGCTTGGATCATGGCCCACACTGGACAGACTCATCATATCTCAGTAACCTCTCCTGGGGCTGGGGGTGCTGCAACACATGGACTCGAGGAACAGAAGGTCAACAAGCAAGCTGCAGACAAGCTATATAGCATATACACTCGCCAAGAAAAATGGTTCATTGTAATGATAGCCTCTTTGGCTGCATTGTTTAGGTGCAGTATTTTCATCCGTACGTGGACCAGAGGGACATTCTGACCATCTCTCTAGTCCGCTGACTGCGAATGTGTACTTTCCTGCAATACCGACGATTGCTTCAGCTTTTCACAAATCTATAGAATCAATCAACCTAAGCGTCACCGCCTACATGGTCCTTCAAGGCATCTGTAAGCAGATAACTCAAAAGTTTATGGGAGGAATAATTATTTTCAAACCACATCAGCTCCTATGTTCTGGGGGACCATGGCGGATAGGTTTGGACGACGTCCCATCTTTCTCGCTTGTCTCCTTGTCCTGTGTTTATCTTGCATCGGCCTGGCGTTGGTCCCGACCTCAGCATACTGGTTACTAATGCTCTTGCGATGCGTCCAGGCTGCTGGTTCTGCCAGTACAGTTGCACTAGGTATGTGTGAGCTTCGTTGTTATACCTTTTCATCTTACCGGAGCTATAGGTGCTGGGGTAGTTGGAGATATAGGAACCCCCGCAGAACGCGGGGGATTTTTCGGCCTATTTACCTTGGGACCACAAGTACATAACGTATTACTTTTGCTGCATTATACACTCTAATACCCGCGTAGGTTGGACCTGCTCTGGGACCTGTTATTGGTGGTGTCCTTGCAGATAAGCTCGGATGGAGGTCAGTTCTTATCTGGTACATCGAATGTAGCTGAATGCGTTACAGGTCTATCTTCTGGTTTCTATGCATCATGTCTGCCGCATGTTTTGCTCTTATGCTCATGTGTGCAATTCATTTTATACGGCGTTTCTCTAACCTCATTCATATTATTCTAGTTTCCTACCTGAGACACTGCGTCGATTGGTGGGTGATGGCAGTGTGATACCATCGCCTTTCTATCGTCCCCTCGTGCCAATTGTTGGGAAAGGGCGTATAGATCGTGATGCCCCAAAGCCTCCCAAGCCCGCACTGAACAATCCGCTACGCCTCTTCTTCTATCTGGACGTTCTGAACCTTCTCGTATTCAATGCAGTTATATACGCCGTCTTTTATGCGGTAAATACCACAATATCCACGATATTCGCAAACAAGTACCCGTTCCTGAACGAAATAGATATAGGATTGTGTTTCCTAGCGATTGGTGGGGGGATGACCATTGGCACTGTCCTATCCGGCAAAATGCTAGACGCTGATTTTCAAAGAACCAAGAATAGGCTCGTGAAGAAGGCTGAAGAAGATCCTGAGAAGCACATACGGCCCGAGGACGTGACCAGGGAGGAGAATTTTCCAATAGAAAGAGCTAGGCTAAGGATGATGCCCATATTTACCGCAATTTTTGTCTTGACATGCACTGGTTATGGCTGGTCGCTTCAGCAGGAGACAAATATCGCAGTTCCACTGATCCTGCAAGTTATATGTACGTCTTTGCCTTTCCTTCCCCCCATACCCTTATTTATGTGAATCAACAGTTGGTTATACAGTCGTCGCTACTATGAATGGCGTGCAGACGCTACTCATTGATCTACTACCATCCCAGAGTTCTTCCATTACCGCATGTGTAAGTTTCATTATCGCTCGATTTATCAACAATCTTGATTACTTCGTTTCAGAATAATTTGGTCAGATGTTCCTTGGGTGCTTTGATGGTATCTGTCGTAGACCTGATTGTCAACGCGATAGGTCCTGGTTGGACCTATGTACTGCTTGCAGGGATATGCTTGGCGTGCTCTCCCATGATCTGGCTTGCTATTTGGATTGGTCCACGCTGTCGTGCAAAGCGACGGGCTCGTGATAATGCCGCTTGATCATGGCGTCTACCAATACGCACAGAAAGGAAGTTACGGGAAAGTGCCTGTAGAATATATGCTAAAGTACTTTGGTGCAAGAGAGTGTTATGAATCAACTGAACATGAAATATATGCAGAATGCGTATCCGCCCAGAGCTTCAAGTGAGGGAAGCACACTTTTACAGTAAAAACTGCGCTGCGAATGATTAATGATATCCTATTTCATGCCTAAAATATTCTCTATAGTGCATACATACTCGTATTCGATGTCCCGACAACATGATACCTACCAAAAATATGACACTGATCTTTCATTCATTTATGCAAGTATACATCGTCCGACCAACTGGACCAATTTTCAGCAGTTTCGAGTAAAGATTCCCCCTTCTTTCTCGCAGATTCCAATGCGACCCTGTGCAAAGGGAGGCGTATTGGGGGGTCATCCAAACAGGACAATTTGTAGGCCACTTCTGCAAACTTGGCCGGATCGCCATCAAAATGCGTGTCCTCAATGTCAGGATAGAGAGCTCGGTATTTGCGACTTGGGAGGGTTGGGTTCGATTCATAAGCAGGGTGAACCGGTTCTGTCATACGGCTTTGGATCATCGACGTACGAAAAAGGCCAGGCTCGATGAGGGTGATCTTTTGTCAAGGTAAATTATGTCGAGTCCCAAAGTTGAGCGATACAAGCGACCTACTTTGATTTGCCACTCTGGGTCAAGTTCGGCGATATACCCTTCCGTCAAACATTCCAACGCTAACGACACCCAGTTGACCTTCAGATCTTTAAGATGAAGTGGAGAGCCTACCTACCAGCTTTACTATCATTTGGATGTTAACCTGCGAGAAAAATTGTGCAGAATATATGAACTTACGCCGAAGCATAATGTACAGTGCCAACCTGTGGAATAAAGGCATTCCGGGAAGAAACGTTCAATATCCGCCCTCCTATGGGACGATTCACGTCCCTGAAGCATCGAATGGCTTCACGCATGACATTCTCCGCACCCCAGAACAGCACATCGAACATTTCTCGTGCGGCCTTGTGAGGCATGCCTTCAGTTTCTGATACTATATAGTATCCTGCATTATTCAGCACGACGTCGACACGATTGAAGTGCGAGATGGCCTGATCGAACGCTGTGGTAATCGAGGGCGTATCTGTTACATCGAGCGGGAAAGTGACGAGGCGGGAAGAAGGGTATTTAGCAGTGAGGTCTTCCAACATCGATGGTTTGCGCAGGGTGGCAACTACGTTGTCTCCTTTGCTCAAAGCATATTCGACAACCTTGCGCCCTAGACCAGCCGATGCACCAGTGACTGAATGCGGAGAAGGTTGTCAGCTTCGTTTCCTAGTCAGTAGTAAAAATGAATTAACTGAACCAAACTTTCGGGGAGGCCATTGTTGAATATTGTCTGAGGTAGACTTCACCGTGACTCTGGGTTGGTATCAGTCTGCGGAAGATGGATAAGCGGGCAGCCATACATAGTGACCAGACTGAGCTCTATTATAGAGGAATGGACCGGGCCGGCATTGATACTAGTAGGGATTGGCCGCCATGAGAATATCAACCTTGGGGCAGGCTCCTGACTATTTTCCTCGTCAAGATAACTATACATCATCTGACCAACTAACGTAATTTTCGACAGCTCGTAACTTCCAAGGCTGTTCTGTGCACCGGGGGATAAAATGGGGGATCATCTAGTTGCACGAGCATCTACAAAACTTGTAGATGAGTCTCAGTCCGGAAAATGGATAGTATATGCTGCGGTACTGTCTGGAAGATAAATCTACATCAGAGTACACAGGATGGATTGGCACGAAAACATTGGTTCCGGGTGCAGCAGTGCGGAAACGAGCAGGTTGAAGAACCGTAATCTGTGGATAACTTGCTGATCGTGACGAAAACATGCGAAGGGCGCTAGCTGGTGTCGTTACAAAGAATGCTTACTTGAAAGCTATACCGGACGTCCTCCAACAGTGGTGGTAAGTCAGGCGATCATGACGATGCTGGGGGGACTTGGCAGGTCGTACCTTGATCGTAATAGAAGCGTTGGATGAGAGTGGCGATGCCGATACTTGAGTCTATCTCCTTCAAATATTGGCCGAAACAGTGAACGACGATGAAAGCTGAATCGCCAACCTTCCAGGTGGCTTCCGCTCTCTAGTGACATTGCGACCTCTGCTAGAAACTTTTTGCGATGCATTGAACGATGTCAAGCATATCGCACGAAAGTCTTTGGGTAGTCCGACTTCATGTTAGATGTCATTTTACTAACGCAGCACCGCCAATGAAGTGGCGAGCACCCAGCCTGAGAGACTCGGTCGGAGTCGGAGATGAAGACTTTAGGCTTGCGCGGGAATCTGGCGGAGACTTTGAGTGAGTGCAAAGTGAGTGCCAATCAGGCTAGGTTTTGGACGGTTGATGGCAGAATGCATAACGGCTTAGTTCACCCGATGCATGTTGGGCTTAGTCTAACCATTTGTTCTCGATAATCTTTAATCTTGATCATGACTGGTGATATGGCGAGTATTCAAGTTGACCTGAAAGAGTTCGTGTTTGATCGCGTTCTGGATGAAAGTACGTATAGTAATATTGTCATGACGGCCCTAACAACAATTTGATCATATAATGACAACTTACTAGACGCGCTCGCACATACGTTAGCCGTCCTGGGCACACTACCCTCGCCATCGGCACCCTCTGTACCTCTTCGTGCCATCATTCGCTTCGAGCGCACGTCCCTGTCATCTACTGTCGCTTCCCAGCTCTCATCTGGCATTCTTGAGTCTACCAAGAAGATCGGAAGCACTGACATTGTATGTCCCATTATCCTTTTTCTCTCAACCAGATACTGATTTATCTGTCCATTGTAATTCAGTACTCGTGGTTCTTTGCATGGCTTCACAAGCGCGATGACTTCCCTGACGTGAAGATCTATGTCATCTGCCCCGCTACTGACGTCCACGTCCGCAAGGTCCGTCTTATTCATTTCTCCGTTATCATTTAGGTTGATGGATATGCATTAGTATACAAAGCAGGACGTACTCATGGTGCACGAGACCCCTGCCCTCTACCAGTCTATTGTCAAACCATACATTTTCGCCTTCGACCCCGCACGCACACAATGGTATTCCTTGTCTCAGTCGCAGCCCACAAGCTAACCCATCCCCAGGGTCCAGGACATCCTCGTAGGTACCGCCGAAGCATCTAATATCCTAAATGCCTCTTCGGACTTTCTCATCCTTCCCGACATGAAGTGGGACACAACCAATGTCTCCGACCTCTACCTCCTCGCAATTTATACACACTCTGACGTACACTGCATGCGCGATCTCCGCAAAAAGCTGCACTTGGAAATGCTCAAGAACCTCCGGAGAGATGCTTGGAGAGTTGTGCAGAATAAGTGGGGTATCGGCCGTGGTGGCGTCAGGATGTACATCCATTATCAACCGAGTTATTGTGAGTAGTTATTCGACGATCAAGGATCAATTTAATCTATTGCACAGATCACTTTCACGTGCACATTGTCCACACTGGTCATGTCGGGCTGCACGGTATGACGGTGGGGCAAGCTCACTTACTAGATGATATAATTGCGTTGGTGCGTGATATTTCTATACTAGCACAATACATGGTGATGTCTTTTATATATTGCCTTCGCAGCTCGAACTAGACCCTGACGATGGCTCTTCCGTTCTTGGGCGCATGACGTTCACTTACGGACTCGGCACAGAACATGGGTTGTACAAACCCATGGCTGCAGCACTTGCAGAGGTGCATGATACGGATTAGATGGTGATGGTAGAGCACCAACAGGGAACTAAAGATACCGTAAAAAGCCAAAGGTCGGCAGGAAGTACGAACAGTACTAGTGTAATAATATGCATGAAAAAATCCTCAGACTCGAGTTCTGTGTCCGTCAAGTAATAATATCTATAGTGTAGGTAGTGTCTATCGTAGGGCTCGGCGCCAGCGGACAAGAATCAAAGATAAAAAAAATACTGTAAGAATGCACTGAGTGCCATTGCACTGATCGTTCATCAACCCCTCGGGAACGTATTCATCCTACTCCATCTATCCTTGAGATGTTCAAATGGCGGTGGTAAGGGGAAGCCGCATCATCAAACTTGGCAAGAAGTCCACAGGCTAAGGCAATGGGATCGACGACTCGAGACATGTTCACCGAGGTCTGGTGATCTCCTCGTTGGGAGTAGTCGTAGAGAACAACTCACTGTCTATGTCGATTTCATATGCGCAGAACGACATGTCAATAGTGTGTAGGCGGGGGTAATGATGTATAAGATGGGCAAATCCCATTAAGGTAAGAGATGGCAGGACTGGATAACGATCCGCACTTCCAATCCTAAAATCCTCGAGTTGTAAGTGTGTCGAGCGACTAAACGGCAGCAACGGGGCAACTACGTTAAAGCCAGGTGCTCGGACTCTTATGAGACAGCGATTAAGGGCAGAAAGTGATGGTGCAGCGATGTGCACTTCATCAAGTTGGAAATTTCTCATTCGAGTGGGATTGGATTGAGTGTTGTTATCACGGTATGGCTTGAGGAGGGACTTGAACGATGGTAGAGAAGCCAAACGAAGAAGCTCACGGCGAAAAAGTTCCATAAACCTTCGAAAGTGCGTCTGAGCTCCAAGGGAGGCTAACAAGTCACAATTAGCTGACGAGATGGTGCTAGTATATATCCCAGTTCCAAGAATGGAATGGGCAACCCAAGGGGGTTGCACAACAGCGGCAAGAAGTGCTCTCAGTCGTCACACCAAACCAAATGTCATAGGTTTGCCAAGAACGCGTGGGCAATAGCGCAGAGAGGTCTTTGCATCGTCTATTGTAAATTTTGGGCATTCACTATCATGTGGATCTTTTGCAATTGATTGCCTACAGCTCATCAGCAAAGGTTGTCGAGCACGAAAAATGGATGAAACACTGACCTGCACAACTTCGTAACACATAAAATAAAGCGTGAAGTCCCAAGTCACCTGGAGTCGAATGATCAGACACTGCAGACAATGAGGAAAATGACAAAAAATTACAAGGTCGTCCAGCATGGAGTAGAATGCAAATAGGCTGTCCTGACGTTCAAATGTAACACCGATGAATTTTGCTTTCCTCTGGTTCTCGGCGCAGTGCAAGAGATATGGCAGTGACTGGCGATGACCGCTCGTGTGGTTATTATTTGTGTAGCATGAATTCACCGCGCAGGAATCACAATGTGATAGAATATGGACCAAAAGCTTGAGGACGAATGCCTGGAATCATCCCAGAATCAAAAATTAGCGAACGCCGTACAGAGGAAACGGTAACTTGCCCGTTGGCGGTGGGAGGGTAGCAGCACAACATCCGGTTCAGTCAGAGCAACGGTATTTCGGTAGTTCTATAACGAAATCAAGATAGTAATGCTTCGTGATCAAGCCCTGACGCAAGTTGAAATTGCTGGACGCATCGTGAGGAAGGAAGAAGTATGTAGAGGTCCCAGACAAACTTCAGGTGCAACGCTGCGCCATCGTCTTTCCATTGTAGTGAACTGTTCTCAGGCAAAGTCGTCCTCTTGCCAGAACTTTCATGCATGCGTAGGTGGTGTAGTCCCAGACGACAATTCCGTTAAAATAAATCAATACTTAGGTTTCTGAGACCGGTATTGATTAATCGGCTAGGGAGGCTGCAAAAACTTTGGCTGGAATTGGCGAGCGGAGTTGTGTGCACGGTCCACCCAGGGTCCTGAGCCACTTCGATTTCAAGTTTGTGGACCGTAACACCCACGAATTCGGAAGCATTCACGAAACCACTGTCGTGCCGCAACGCAAAATTTGGCTCAGCTTCAACCACTCAGGCAAACGCAAGAGGGTAAACGAATTTCTTGAATTGTTGATCTTGAAGATCGACACGAGCGGCTTCGATACCACTTGACGCACCCATGGACCCTTTGCAAATCAGAAGTCGCCTTGGACGTATCATGCCCCTCATGAGGGCACGCAAGATGCTTGGTCGCACTTCAAGTTAGATCGGTCACAGTTCGACATTGCCAACTGCGTCGATAAAGGCAAGAACTGCACATCGCGACGGTGAAAAATGCCAGTTTTTTTTGTCAGCAACGGCGCTGGGGGTCTTCATGGTTTATGCAGCTTGATGGCATTTTCTTCTCAGGTTGGATCATTCGGTTCGACATTCTTCACGTCTTGATGCGCGGAAATTTGTGGAGAATTTGGGACAGCTTACGGTGCATGTAGGGGGGCATTGAGCCAACTCATAGTCACTGGTGAGTGTCTTGTTCACTCAAACCATGTTTTGTTTCTGGGGCATATCAATGTTGGCATTGGTTACCACTCGTTGATGTTGATGGAGGCGATTGCGTCAGTTGAAACTTGGGGGGGCGATCTTGATGCAGCCATAGCGACTATATCTTGACTCATATTAATGCTTGACACATCTTGGGAGCTTGAGAGCACGCTGTTGAGTCGTGTTCATGTTTCATGATGGTGGTTGGAAACTTGCCTGGCTCGTGCGCAAAGTTGCTTTGATGCCCCTTTTTGGGTCACGCGATGTGTCACACTTTGTGTCACGCTGTCTTCGCTGACGACGAGTAACCCGACATTGGGTGTTTTTTGTCTGGCATGTTGAAGGAATATGATTGCTCAGGATGGTTGATCAGTATATCACAGATATATTTTGTCCCGTACAACAGAGAGCTCCCCATAAGAGAGTCCACGCACTTACGCTTCGTATGTACTGACTCTTCTTTTCCAGCCAGGGATGCTCTGGCTTGTGCATGATGCTCTAGGCAGTGCATGAGACTCGGTTGAACATGTCGAGGTCTGTGGCGTGTATCGTGGAGGTTCTGCAACGGCGGTCCATAGCTTTGATAGAGCAACCTGGTGCTCAATCATGATCATCCTGTCCCTCCTGCGCTATTTCATGCCTCTCGTTTAGATGGTTGTTCTGGGTCAACGAGGTCGCTCACGAAGATGGACTGAGAATTGGTTCCGCGGAAGCAAATGTCGTACCAACATTTGCAAATTTGAAGATCCACAAGTGACACACTGGAACAGGCGCCCACCAAGCAATCGGCACTAAAGCCCTGTCGGGATTGCGAATTCGGAGTTCTAGAACTTAGACTATGGCCGCCCCAATTTATTTTCGTTCGATCGAATCTTCGCTGCTATTTAAACCCCCAAATGTCTTCACGCAAAGTAAACGACATCCCTTTTCCTTCATTTTCACTCGTAATAAACCAGTATTCGATAAGCAACATGAGATTGCCAAGCTACAGGGCGTCTTATTTGCTTCGCTTCCACCCTTACCCGAGAGTCAAACTCAGCCAACGTGAGATTATGGTGAGCGATGCCACGAACATCATTTCAGCGCTATTTTTGACCCTTGTCGCGAAGCACGCTGTTAATGATCATCCCAGCAGCCTGTATGATGATATTGTTGAAAACGATGACAGTGCTGGACCGGTGATCCTCAACTTTGTACGCGTTTTCTTTTTGTCATTTTGTAGTCTTATTCAATTCTCAAATGCAGCCCGACCTCCCTGAAGAACAGCATCCTAATGCTGAGAACCCGCAAGAAGCTATTGAAGTTGCCGAGACTGACGCCCAACCTCACGTCAAGCATCTAAACTTCGCAACTCTAATCATCGTACGTTTTCTATTCTTGCTTACAGCAGCTGCTCGCCCTCACACGTTACGTCGGCAGGACCTTGCCATACTAGTTGCGAGGAAGTTGTCTTGGAAAACCAAGTAGTTTGTCATAGCTGCATAATCTACTAATCTCGCAGCTCGTGCTGTTGGCTCTCGTTCAACCTGTGTCTTGCTTTCGCTATCGTTGTACCATATGGTCGGTCCTTAAACCACAGGAATCTACTTTACATCAATCAGTCCTTCCATTGCTCTCTATGCTATCGTCTAACACACACGAATATCTGTGCTATATCTACCATCAATACATCTAGTGGAAATTTCATTCTAGCTTTACAACTTGTATCAGTGAAATCGAACAAAAGACGTGGGCTTCACAAACCATGACTGCAACACTTCCAAAGATGCACAATGATGCGGGAAAACAGAGGATACCGTGTAAGAAGACCCATACAAAGGCCTCTAATAGTGTAGCGCTGAGATTCGGATTCCCGCGTGCCTGTCAGAGTGACGCTACGTGACTAGCTTGTGGTTGCATCTGTCCATCTCAGCACGGAAGGTTCCGTCTGTCATGCATGGCAAAGCCCGCTACAACTCATGTCAGTGCTCAATAGTTCTTGGTGAATTCGTTCATAGACCTCATTGTCAACGCAGTAGGTCGCTGGCTGGACCTACATACTGCCTGCGAGTATATGTCTGGTGTGCTTTCCCATGATCCGGTCTGCTATTTGGATTGATCCACGCTGTCATGCAGAGCGATGGGTCCGTAACACTGCAGCTTGATTATGGTTTCTTGTGCATACAAAAGGGATGTTACGGGCGAGTGCAAGTAGAATATATGCTATGATATTTCAGTGCAAGAAAGCGACATCGACTAAGCACGAGGCATGCAGAACTCGTGACCTGCTGAGAACATTAGCGCCCAGACCCATTATTAGTGCTTGAGACGGAAACCCACTAATACTATGAGAACTGTGTTGCAATTTGATCCCCTATTTCCTGTAGTTCCTTACTTCCCTCGAAAAACAATCTCGTGCTCTCCATAACCTCTTTCGTAATGAATTCTGCATCCTGATTTGCCATGCTTGTAGCGCTGATGAAATCAGAATGTCGCAGATTGTCAATGGCCTTCCTCGTTCTGTCCCCCCGGATGTAGTCATCCCGTAAGCACTTGATCAAACGAGCTTGTGCTGATGGGGTGTACAAAGTTGAGCTCCGTACGAGGATTTCGAGGCGGCGGCATACAGCCGTCCGAGTATCGAGAGCATCCTGAAATTTCTCAATGAGAAGGATATTAGAGTAGTTGGGAGCGGGAGCAGTCTGAGTGGTTGAAGTAGATGCAGCAGATGAGGACTCAGTAGAAGCAGCTTCTTCGGGGGCAACTTCCACTGATTCCTTCATGAGACGGGCGAAGTGATCCTTTGGGGAGAGACGCCGCTTCTTGTGCTTGCGCGTCGGTTGACCTTTGGGTGTTTTCGTTGATTTGGCCATCCTGGATCGTGCCCGCTCCTGCGGTATACTTAAATAATGCAACGCGTAGAGTGGGGAACCTTAATACTTGGTATAGGAAGCAAGCGAGGTGGTCACTTGAGATACGAAATTAGTAATTCAGGTATTCATTGGGAAAGAACTTCGTAGACTCACAGCCGAATAAATACGAATGAGAAAAGCAAACAGACGGCTAGAGGACCAGAAGCTATGAGCAACCATGAGCGCGTGTCTGGCTATAAGAAATGACCAGGTCGAACAAGACGTACTAGTACAGGTGCACTGGCAGGTTCCTTCCTAATCTCTCGCGAAAATGAACCACTTATAACGTTCAAAATTCCCGCAGATGATTCGAGAGACTTGTTGGTACAATACCGGTGCTGGTAGTGATCTTATAGCATGGGGGAGGTAGTGGTGGCCCGGCAGGGACTAATGATTTCACCGCAAATATTCCCGGTCACGTGAGCGATATCACAAAGAATAATCAATGATTAATCAATTATGATACGCGTGAGTCGCGACCACCAACAATCGAACATCGAAAGCACGACAACAACGATTCGAAAAAAATGTACAAGCGTATAAGATTATTTTATTGCGCGTTTGTTTTTTGTGAACAATCAAGAGTCAAGACGCATTGACCATGTGCACGTGTTATGGAGTAGTTCCCAAATATGGACGCCCCGAAAAGCAAACGCAGGACCCAGGCTGTGACATCAATTATCGCACCAGGCTCCTAGTAGGTCATCACAACTGTACTGGAGTACGTAGCGCTAATATCTGGTTTGTGCGTTTCGACCTTCTAGTCCATGACAGTGAGTTGTTCACTCTAAGATAATTTCGAGTCACTAATTTGCTCTGCAGAGCACTGGCTGGTGTCTTCCCAACTAACGTGTAGAAATACACAAGTACTGTCTCAGTGCTACGAAAGATGCAGTTTCAGCGTATACATGCACTTCCCTCGCAAATGCGGTTGCTGGTGCTATCTCACCGCCTCAGTATCGTCCGTGGGTCTGGGTCGAGCCTCCGTCATACCTTCCAGCGATCACAACATACTGCTCTATCTCATTTGCAGTCATTCAAAAGCCCTAACAAATCACGCACACGACTATGGCGCAATATTGCATGGCTTATTCCCGTGACTGGCGGTGTCGCACTTTACCTCTATCCTAGACAACAGCTCCACCTACCTTCCATCTTTTCCTCGCCGACACTTATTCCGTGTACAGAACACGACTTAAACGTACAAGAAAGAGACACTATAATAGGATCACCGGCGGAACCACACATGTCTATTCCCTCGCGGATATTATCTCTGTTGCAGGAACACTTGTGGGAACCTGTGTTGACGGCACGAAGATTCATTCACCTGTTCTACCTGTTCATACCTGTCATCATTACCATGCCTATGCTGCTTATTGGGAAGCCTGAACGTAGATATAAGGGTGACAAGTGGGGAGCCGTTTGGTGGTACGAATTTCTTGTCAGGAGAATGCAGACCGCCGGGCCAACATTCATCAAGGTATCTATCCCATAGCGTTCTTTCCATCTCACTGTCTGATCATTCAGCTTGGTCAATGGGCAGCATCGCGTGCTGATCTCTTCCCGTCATTACTTTGCGAGAAAATGGGGTCCTTGCACTCTCGCGGCAAGCCTCATTCACTCATGCACACTAAGCAAGTCATCGAAAGGGCCTTTGAACGGCCATTCGACGAGGTTTTCGAAGTTTTCAATGAGAATCCGATAGGAGTCGGCGCCATTGCACAGGTGGGTTTGCTGCTGGCTTCTGTGGGCTACTAATGGACTCATTATCCGTAGGTCTACCGGGCAAATCTCAAGCATGACCTTATACCTCCCTCTTACCTTGGTCCAAAACGGCAAACCAAATCACCCACAGGGTCACTGGCTCCCGTTATCCTGCAAGACCCTCCGCCTTCAGTGCCTACTGCATCTGTCGCCATCAAAGTGTTGCATCCTCGCGTCGCCAAGGATATTGCGCATGACCTATCTATAATGTCGTTCTTTGCGCGGGTCATTAACCTTTTCCCCGGTATGCAATGGTTATCACTCCCAGAGGAGGTCAGCGTCTTTGGTGAAATGATGCGTCGACAACTCGACCTCAGAATCGAAGCAGAGAATCTGCTGACATTCGAAAATAACTTTGCTTCGAGAAATGTGCCAGTATCCTTTCCACGTCCTTTGAAGACGTTTTCGACTGCCGACTTACTTGTCGAGGAATACGAGAACGCCTTGCGCATGGAGTACTTTCTGAAAAACGGAGGTGGACCATTTGATGATCAATTGGCAACCGTCGGATTGGATGCTTTCTTGGTTCGTGAATTATCTCTAGTAGTTTTCTTTTACCCATTTTCCCGCAGAAAATGCTACTACTTGACAACTTCGTGCACTCCGATCTTCATCCGGGCAACATCATGATCAAATTCACAAAGCCCCCGACCACCCGTGACCTCCTCATGAACTTGTACTCCTCATATTTCCCACAAAAGGGCTCTGCCGAAGTTCTTGTCGAGCGCCCGCTGGAATCTGATGAAATAGTAGTCCGACTACGCTCACTCAGACATTCCCGTGAGGAATGGCAAAAAGAACTTAGGGTTTCATCGGAGCAGGGCTACATTCCTGAAATCGTTTTCATCGATGCTGGTCTCGTGACAACGCTTAACGCGGCAAACCGCAAGAACTTCCTCGATCTTTTCAGGGCTATTGCTGAGTTCGATGGCTACCGAGCCGGTCAATTGATGGTCGAACGTTGTCGGACTCCCGAACTTGCGATCGACACCGAAACGTTTGCACTGAAGATGCAACACATTGTTCTGAGCATCAAGCGGAAAACGTTCTCACTTGGGCAAATCAAGATTTCAGATATTTTGACTGATGTTCTAACGGCTGTGCGGCAGCACCATGTCAAGATGGAGGCGGATTTCATCAATACGGTTATCTCCATATTACTTCTTGAAGGCATTGGGAGACATTTGGATCCAAGTCTAGATCTTTTCAAGAGCGCATTGCCGATTCTACGACAGCTTGGACGGCAGATGACGACTCAAGAGTCGATGACACAGTTGCCCTCAGGAAACTTTGGAGCGTTGTTGAAGGTAGATGCTGGGTGTTTTCCCTTCTACCAATACTTATCTTCGAGACAGGTCTGGATGTGGGTAGAAGCTCGTCAAATGGCCTCAACAGCATTCATTGATGTTGACGAGTTAGTTAAATATGATTTGTTGGTGTCCTGACCCTTGGTTGCATGGTTCAAGTGCTGACAACGATTGTAGGCTTGTCCCGACTGTATAACGCGGAGTCCTTATAGATATCTTGACGGCGTCCTTTAGCATTACAGGAGTAATAGGAATATAGACACAACTGACACATGCATACATACACACATAGACTAGGATCATCATCTTACATCACCACTCCAAATATTGCGATCGCCGGTTTCCGTAACCATCCAGTCGGAATCCCTTCTAATCAGATATACTTTTGTAATTTCGTTCTTTACCCCGCAATGGCAGCCCTGCTACAAACGGATTTGCCAGACCTTCAACTTCTTTCCAGAGGAAAGGTCCGCGACGTTTACACAACTTCGTCGCCCGATCATCTATTGTTTGTCGCAACCGACCGGATATCGGTGTACGATGTCATCCTCAACAGCGTCCGTAGATCTCTCTGAACTCTTTTCTGCCTGATTTAATGTGCCCTGCTTTTAGGGTATTCCAGACAAGGGCAAACTCCTCACAAGCATCTCGCTGTTCTGGTTCGAGAAGCTGAAGCACATCATTCCTAACCATCTTGTTACCGTCAATATCGATGAGATGCCAGATGAAGTCCGGCAATACCGTGAGCAACTCGAGGTCCGCACTATGCTTGTAAAAAAGGCCAAAATAGTGCCCATAGAAGCGATCGTCAGAGGGTACATCACTGGTGAGCTGATTTGTTGTCCAGATAATCTCCTGGAGCCGCCGGAATAACTTTGTGAATAGGATCAGCCTGGGCAGAGTACCAAAAGTCACAGACTGTCTGCGGTATCCCAATACCGGAGAGGATGGAAGAATCTCAAAAGTTCCCGACACCGATCTTCACTCCGTCTACCAAGGCTGAGCAAGGCGCCCATGACGAGAACATCTCGCCTGAAAAAGGTGCTATCGTTGGAATAGCTTGTTTCAAGTCGCTCATACCCCCTTTATCAGCCGCTCAACTCGTTGGTCAAGATCTATTCGACCGTATTCAGGCTGCATCTTTGCAACTATATACGGCTGCTGCTGAATATGCAGAATCATGTGGACTTATTCTCGCAGACACGAAGTTTGAATTCGGTCTTGTTCCCTCTGCTTCTGCTGGGCAAGACGAGCTCATCCTTGTGGACGAGGTCCTTACGCCTGATTCGTCGCGATACTGGCCCCGAGACCAGTATGAACCTGGCAAAGGACAACCAAGCTTTGACAAGCAGTATGTCAGAAATGCATTGACTGCCGCTGGGTACAGAAAAGGATTAGAGAGTGGACCAAACGCAAACGGCAAGGGATGGGGAATCGATGATATTGTCATCGAGGGGACTAGAAAACGATATAAAGAAGCTGAACAAATGCTGAAGTCGCTACACTCATAGAAAAATTTGTCTAAATTATTCGTTATTCGTATCTCGGTAATGGAGAACGAGTGTAAAAGGAAAGAAATTCCTGATGATATCTATTTAGATGCTAGCATCTCCTTGGATCAGCAACGTTCAAAAAGCTTGGTCGATGGTTTAACGTTATAACCTTGATACGAAAGTGCATGCCGCCATCAGAGTACAACGAAGATTTATATGAGCTCACGGAGAGGTAACGTGAAGTCTATCTTCCCATCCCTGATGGTTCACGATCAAACCAACGGCTCCAAAAAAGTGTCTTCCTCGATGAATACCTGCACAAATTATTTACCGACGCCAAGGGATGATAAAAATCGACTTTTGTAGTCTGCCATTACGACCGTGTGTTGTTGTCACATCAGAGTCCCTGACACCATTCCTTCTGCGTTACAATGCCGCAGCTGTGGATACAGATAAGACAAGACCCATATTGAAGTCTCTAGTTCTCCGACTAACTCTGCCCAGAAATATGATCATGAGGCCTTGAGGACCCGCCGTGAGCGTGAACCTTGATGAAATCGATCGCGCGCGTTAGATAACCTTCTTGCAATACTCTATTTGATCGTCTTTCCGCAACTTCTGCATGATCGTGAGTCCACGCGAAATAAGAAGAGCAAAATCCACACCTTATTTTGATGGACTATAGCGTTTATGGGAAATTGCGGTCACCTTCATACGCTTACCGCAGGCGACAATGTCACACGTTGAGATAAGGGCATACTCCCTGATGCACAAGATGCCAATCAGCGGTGGTCTGGCCAACTAGAGTTGCTGAAATTAGCGACTGATAACGT